TCATAGAATCAAAGAGTTGGAAGAGACCTCATGGGCCATCCAGTCCAACCCCCTGCCAAGAAGCAGGAATATTGCATTCAAATCACCCCTGACAGATGGCCATCCAGCCCCTGTTTAAAAGCTTCCAAAGAAGGAGCCTCCACCACACTCCGGGGCAGAGAGTTCCACTGCTGAACGGCTCTCACAGTCAGGAAGTTCTTCCTCATGTTCAGATGGAATCTCCTCTCTTGTAGTTTGAAGCCATTGTTCCATTGCGTCCTAGTCTCCAAGGAAGCAGAAAACAAGCTTGCTCGCACCTCCCTGTGGCTTCCTCTCACATATTTATACATGGCTATCATATCTCCTCTCAGCCTTCTCTTCTTCAGACTAAACATGCCCAGCTCCTTTAGCCGTTCCTCAGAGGGCTTGTTCTCCAGACCCTTGATCATTTTAGTCGCTTTCCTCTGGACACATTCCAGCTTGTCAATATCTCTCTTGAATTGTGGTGCCCAGAATTGGACACAATATTCCAGATGTGGTCTAACCAGAGCAGAATAGAGGGGTAGCATGACTTCCTTAGATCTAGACACTATGCTCCTATTGATGCAGGCCAAAATCCCATTGGCTTCTTTTGCTGCCACATCACATTGTTGGCTCATGTTTAACTTGTTGTCCACGCTGCCATGCCATGCCCAGCATGCCTGCTCTCCCCTTCACGCCTGGAGTCTCAGAAACAGCCCTCCCCTTGGCTGAGAGGCTGGCCAACCACAGCAGGAGAAGGGCTTTTGGTGGGAGGATTTACTGTATGTTTCCAAAAGGGAAGAGAAGGTCAGGCAGAGAGATCTTCATCCTTCTCTGCCAAAGTGGTTCCTCAGAAATATCTTTTTCTGATGGTCTTTGCCAGCCCCTCTGAAACTCCCTCACAATCCCCCCAGGGGTCCTGACCCCCAGGTTGAGAAACACTGCTCTAGATCCTCGGGTGTGATTCCATGGTCAACATTCTCCAGTTGTGCCAGGGGACCTACAGATTTCCCGAGAAAACACCAGCATTTCTAAATGCAGCACTGAAATTTGGGGACAGCAAACTTCATTTTAGTGGGCAGAATTCTTATCCTTTTTTCTCTTAGTACTGATACAAAAAAGTGAGGGGGGGGGGACGACACACAATTTCTTAATTCAGTTTTTCACTTTCACAGGGTTCCCCTGCCCCTAACCCCACTATTTACAATGTAGAGGGCTGACTGTGTAAAGAATCTGTGATCATTTCACATAAATCACACTGACCACTCACAACTCACTGTAACTGAGGGAATGTTACTTTAGATATGTCTGTTAATGGAAGATTAGTGTAATGTGAATGTTTAAATGTAATTTTGTGCAATGCTTGTGAATGTAACCGGATTGCTTTAGCAGAGAGTATATTGCCACTGAAAGGTTTAAACAGTCAAGCCTTTAATGAACTGTGAAGATGTGACCCTGAGTTTGCCTGGAACACGTAGGGAGGATCCAGAGATAAGGTTTCGTTCCTCCTTCTTACTTCAGTGTCTTTCGTCTTGTTCTTGTCTGTTTGGTTGGATGTTCATGCGAATGTGTGCTGAATATTTGCTCTACTCAGTAAAGCTAAATGTTTGCTTTTACTGAAGTCTCAAAGTGTCCATTCTTCTAAGCTTTAAAGCTTCTGTCGCACTCTGACAATGTCACTATAACTGATCCATACATCTGTTCTTTTTTATTAACTAATATTCCTATTGAGAGAACAGATATATGGGACAGTGATTAAAAATTTAAATAAAAATATAAGTGATCCTGTAAATTTGGATGAAACAGCAAAAGACAGGGAGGAGTTAAAAAACAAATGTGGATCAAGCAACTGGTTTGTTACGGCATGGAATGTCGCAAGAGAAGATGAAGAAGGAAGGTCCCAATATAGATATGGATCAAATATTACAACGGAAAACTGAGAAAGAGAAAGGAATTATGAGATTTATATAACAAATTAACCAATATAATTAGAAACCCACCCTGTTAGAAGTATGGAAAGAGGAAATAAACTGTAATCAGAAGGACTTAGAACTGTGGAGAAATTGAATAAAAAATGTAAAGGTCAAAGAAATACAATGGAAAATACTGAAGAAATGGTATAGGACCCCTCAGAAAATAGCCCATATTGGACTATTTGATTATGACCTGTTAGGATCATAACCTATTAGGTAGCAGAGTTACAGAAATGTTCCTTTAATGTATTGTCGAAGACTTTCATGGTCAGAATCACTGGGTTGTTGTAGGTTTTTCGGGCAGTATGGCCATGTTCTAGAAGCATTTTCTCCTGACGTTTCACCTGCATCTATGTCAGGCGTTCTCAGAGGTTGCGAGGACGTCATTGTTGCCAGCAGGAGGGATTAGAACACCGCTCTGGGCAAGGGCAACCATTCATAAACTGGGAGGCAATAACCCGTGAAATAGCGAGTCTGCGAAAAGCGAATCGCAAAGTAGTGCGGGAACACAAGAGTCTAGAGGAGGAGGAGGAGCTTGTAGGATGAGGGGAGGAGCTTCACAAAGAAGGCAGAGCCAGTACTGACTCTGCCCCCTCCAGGTCCCTGAATCTATAGGGGCCTAGAGGGGGAGGGGCTTGGTGAAGAAGGCCGGGGCAGTTCTGACCCCGCCCCCTCCAAGGTCCTTAATAGAGGAGGCGGAGCTAGAAAGAAGTCAGCTCTGGCCCCGCACCCCCAATGGCACTGAATTTCACGTCTAGGGGGAGGAGCTTGTTGAAGAAGGCAGGGGCAGTTCTGGCCCCGCCCCCTCCAGGGCCCTTAATAGATAAGCCTAGAGGAGGAGGAGCTAGGAAGATGAGTCAGCCCTGGCCCCACCCCTCTCTGGTGTTGTTGTACATTCGTTCAGTCGTCTCCGACTCTTCGTGACCTCATGGACCAGCCCACGCCAGAGCTCCCTGTCGGCCATCACCACCCCCAGCTACTTCAAGGTCAGTCCAGTCACTTCAAGGATGCCATCCATCCATCTTGCCCTTGGTCGGCCCCTCTTCCTTTTGCCTTCCACTTTCCCCAGCATCATTGCCTTCTCTAGGCTTTGCTGTCTCCTCATGATGTGGCCAAAGTACTTCAACTTTGTCTCTAGTATCCTTCCCTCCAGTGAGCAGTCGGGCTTTATTTCCTGGAGGATGGACTGGTTGGATCTTCTCGCAGTCCAAGGCACTCTCAGAACTTTCCTCCAACACCACAGCTCAAAAGCATCGATCTTCCTTCGCTCAGCCTTCCCTAAGGTCCAGCTCTCACATCCGTAGGTGACTACAGGGAATACCATGGCTTTGACTAGGCAATGGATCTTGGTTGCCAGTCTGATGTCTCTACTCTTGACTATTTTATCGAGACTGGACATTGCTCTCCTCCCAAGAAGGAAGCGTCTTCTGATTTCCTGGCCACAGTCTGCATCTGCAGTCATCTTTGCACCTAGAAATACAAAGTCTGTCACGGCCTCCACATTTTCTCCCTCTATTTTCCAGTTGTCAATCATTCTTGTTGCCATAATCTTGGTTTTTTTGACGTTTAGCTGCAACCCGGCTTTTGCGCTTTCTTCTTTCGCCTTGATTAGAAGGCTCCTCAGCTCCTCCTCGCTTTCGGCCATCAGAGTGGTGTCATCTGCATATCTGAGGTTGTTAATGTTTCTTCCAGCAATTTTCACCCCAGCTTTGCATTCCTCAAGCCCCGCACATCCTCGCATGATGTGTTCTGCATACAAGTTAAAAAGGTTGGGTGAGAGGATGCAGCCTTGCCGTACGCCTTTCCCAATCTGGAACCAGTCTGTTCCTCCGTGGTCAGTTCTGACTGTTGCTCCTTGGTCCTTGTACAGATTCCTCAGGAGAGAGACAAGGTGGCTTGGGATGCCCATCCCACCAAGAACTTGCCACAATTTATTATGATCCACACAGTCAAAGGCTTTAGAATAGTCAATGAAGCAGAAGTAGATGTTTTTCTGAAACTCCCTGCCTTTCTCCATTATCCAGCATTCGGAGATTGGCAATCTGGTCTAGCAAACTACTGGAAGCGAGAGCGAGCTTGTGCTCGAGCTTGCTCCGAAGCCCCGACTTTTTTTCCCCGAGGCTGCTCTCTCTCTTGCTAGTGTGCCTGTTTTCCCTTGCTAGGGAAGCAATGCGAGTGTACTCTCGCAGTTGGCAGAATTCAACTGTGAGCGTACGCTCGCATCCCTGCCCTCTGCAATGGAAAACAGGCACGCTAGCAAGAGAGAGAGCAGCCTCGGGGGGGGGGGAAGGCGGGGCTTCGGAGCAAGCCCGAGCGCAAGCTTCCTGTAGTTTGCTGCGGCACGAGCGTACGCTCACAACGCTGCCCTAGCAAAGGGAAATAGGTGGATGAAGAGGCGGAGCATTGCTCTTGCTGGCTTAGTTTGCTCTCGCAAAATCCTAGTTTGCTACGGCTCTTACCTTCCTGGCATGAGAAATAAGGGCCACTGTACGGAAGTTTGAGCAGTCTTTCGCATTTCCCTTCTTTGGTATGGGGATATAAGTTGATTTTTTTCCAGTCTGATGGCCATTCATTTTAATTATTGTATTGTTTTTTGCACTACAAATAAGATATATGCAGTATGCACAGGAACTCATTCTTTTCTTTTTTTTCAAATTATAATCCAGCCCTCCAACAGTTTGAGGGACTGTGACCTGACCCTCTGTTTAAAATGTTTGAGGACCCCTGATCTATAGGGGCCTAGAGGGGGAGGGGCTTGGCGGAGAAGGCGGGGGCAGTTCTGGCCCCGCCCCCTCCAGGGCCCTTAAGAGCCTAGAGGAGGAGGAGGGGCTTGGAGGAGGAGTCAGCCCTGGCCCCGCCCCCTCAATGGCCCTGAATTTCTAGCCTAAGGGGGTGGAGCTTAGCGGAGAAGGCGGGGCCACGCATAGCCCCGCCCACCTCAACGAACGCTGTTAGCTTAGTTCTGGCCCCGCCCCTTTGGTACCCGGATGCGAGAGGCCTAGCTCTCCTCAGCCACCTCCAACCTACCCGGCACGAGTCCCTTCTCACCGGCTGCTGGCTCCGAAGGAAATGGGGCCTAGAGTCAGGCTTTCCGTTCTTCCCTCCCTCGCGCCGGCTTTCCACACGCGCCTGCGCAGATCAAGCCGTTTGTGCTCCCTCAGGCTTTTCGGGGTGTAGTACGCATGCGCGGGCTGCCGCGCGTGCGCCCTTTCGATGGGGGAAAAAAAGAGTCGGGAGGGGTGTCTACAGCGCATGCGCGGCCATTTGGGCGCTCCCTCTGAGGGAGCAGCAGCAGCAGCAACGGAGGCGTCCTCGAGCCGGACCTGGCTGGGTCAGTGAGGCTTCGGAAGAGGAGGTAATTGCGCATGCGCGTCCTGAGGGCAAGGCAACTGAGGGAAGGGAAGGAGGGCTGCTTTGAGGGGGGGGGGTCATTGTAGGGGGTACACACCCAAAGTGGAGTGGATAAAGACCCACAATATTGGGAGTAGGGGAAATAGAGAGAAAAAGGAGGTTTGTGATATCATAATAATAATAATATATTATATAATAATAATGTTATAATATAATATATACTAGCCATGCCCTGCCATGCTTTGCTGTGGCCTAGTCTGTGTATATTTGTTTTGTGTGTATATATATTTGTATTATGTGTGTGTGTGTGTGTGTGTGTGTGTGTATATATATATATATATACACATGGTTTTGCACATGAATTGTAATGGTTTTTTTCTTGTTTTTTGGCTTTATAATTCTCTTCTCCTGTGTTTTTCAGTGTTTTTTTGAGTGAAGGACATACATTGGCCTGAGAGGTGTCTTGTGTCCAAATTTGGTGTCAATTCGTCCAGTGGTTTGTGAGTTATGCTAATCCAACAAACAAACATTACGTTTTTATTTATATAGATAATAATAATATTAATAATGTTAGAATATAATATATATTCTATAATACCACAAACAAACATTACATTTTTATTTATATAGATAACATTAATAATGTTAGAATATAACATATATTCTATAACTTATGATATAGTACAAGGGTCCTTTTAAGCAGAGGGCCAGGTCACAGTCCCTCAAACTGTTGGAGGGCCGGATTATAATTAAAAAAAAAAAGAATGCATTTCTATGCACACTGCACATATCTTATTTGAAGTGCAAAACCACTTGAAACTATACAATAATTAAAATGAAGAACAATTTTAACAAATATAAACTTATTAGTATTCCAATGGAAAGTGTGGGTCTGCTGTTGGCTGATGAAATAGGGTTGTTGTTGTTGTTGTTGTGTGCTTTCAAGTAGTTTCAGACTTACTTTGACCCTGAGCGAGGGCCAGATAAATGACCTTGGAGGGCCCACATCCGGCCTTAGTTTGAGGACCCCTGATATAGTACAATATGTTGTATAATATACTGGTAGTGTATTATATACTAGCCGTCCCCTGTCATGCTTTGCTGTGGCCCACATGGGGGTTCTGTGTGGGAGGTTTGGCCCAATTCTAGCATTGGTGGGGTTCAGAATGCTCTGTGATTGTAGGTGAACTATAAATCCAAGCAAGTACAACTCCCAAATGTCAAGATTCTATTTTCTCCAAACTCCACCAGTGTTCACATTTGGACATATTGAGCATTCGTGTAGAGTTTGGTCCATATCCATCATTGTTTGAGTCCACAGTGCTCTCTGGATGTAGGTGAACTACAACTCCAAAACCAAAGGACACTACCCACCAAACCCTTCCAGTATTTTCTATTGGTCATGAGAGAGCTGTGTGTCAAGTTTGGTTTAATTCCATCGTTGGTGGGGTTCAGAATGTTCTTTGATTTAGGTGAACTGTAAATCCCAGCAACTACAACTCCCAAATGACAAAATCCATTTTTTGAGTGAAGGACATACATTGGGTTGTTAGGTGTCTTGTGTCCAAATTTGGTGTCAATTCGTCCAGTGGTTTTTGAGTTCTGTTAATCCCAGAAATGAACATTACATTTTATTTATATAAATAATAATATTAATAATGTTAGTATATAATATATGTTCTACAAATTATGATATAGTACAATATGTTATATAATACTAATCATATAACATACTGGTAATGTATTATATATTAAAGGCCTGGGTAAACTTGGGCCCAGGTCCGATATATAATGTGGTACAAGAAAACGGCACTCCAAACCAGAGCTGACAGCTGGCACAACAAAGCATTGGATGGGCAGTTCCTTGACAAAATTGAAGGAAAAGTTGACAAGGAGAAGACCTGGTGTTGGCTCACGAATGGAACCCTGAAGAAGGAGACACTGGTTGTGTAGTCTGACATGGTGGTCTCACAACCACCATGTCAGATTACACAAAGAAGCCATTGAAATACACAAGCATGTGGACAATTTCAACAGAAAGGAGGAAACAAAATGAACAAAATCTGGCTACCAGTATTTAAAAAACTCTAAAATTGCAACAGCACAACAACAGAGAGGAAGCCGGCAATAAAATAAATAAATAAATAACAAAAGTTTGCTCCAGGCACAGTCAGCCCATTGTATGCTAATCAAGGTGGTCAGTGGAAACAGTCACACCTAGCCCCAGCAGAGAAGAGTCCTTTGTCTCACCCTGGTCATTCCACAGATATATAAACCCTTTTTCCTAGTTCCAACAGACCTCACAACCTCTGAGAATGTTTGCCATAGATGTAGGCGAAACGTCAGGAGAGAATGCCTCTAGACCATGGCCATACAGCTCGAAAAAATCTACAACAACCCAGTGATTCCGGCCATGAAAGCCTTCGACAATACATCATACATCATATATTTATAATATTTATGTTGTTGCAATATAATATACACTACAACTATATATAGTATATGTTATATTGCAACATTATACATATTATAAATAGTACAATATATTATATAATACTGATAGTATAATATAATGGATCCCTTGGTGGCACAACTAATTAAACTGCTGAGCTGCTGAACTTGCTGACTGAAAGGTCAATGGTTCAATCCAGGTAGTGGGGTGAGCTCCCACTGTTAGACCCAGCTTCTGGCAACCTAGGAATTCAAGAACATGCAGGTGTGAGTAGATTAATAGGTACCGCTTCTGCGGAAAGGTAACTGTGCTCCATGCAGTCATCCTGGCCACATGACCTTGGAGATGTCTATGGACAACTCTGGCTGTTCGGCTTAGAAATGGAGATGAGCACCAATTAATGTCAGGGGAAACCTTTGCTTTTACTTTAATAGGCAAGGACAATATTAAGACACCATTCACACACATAACAATTCAAATGGGATCTTTGGGAATGAGGTAGGGAAGATGTGTACTCCTTTTGGAGAGTTTTTACCTGATGGATTGATTTCTAGAGTTGAAAAAGACCCCCAAGGGGCACCCAGAGCCCTTCCACACAGCCATATAACCCAGAGTATCAAGGCAGAATAACACACAATATCTGCTTTGAACTGGATTATCAGAGTCCACACTGTCATAGATCCCAGTTCAAAGCATATAATCTGGGTTTTTATTCAGCTGGGTGGAAGGGGCCCAAGTCCAACCCATTTCTGCCAGACAGGAAGACACAGTCAAAGCGTTCCTGGCAGATGACTTCTGCTTAGAAACCTCCAGAGAAGAGCTCTGTGATAATTCCCTTTGGAAAGTTCTTCCTAGCATTGAGGTACAATCTCTTTTCCTGCCATTTGAACCCATTGCTCCATTGTATTCCAAGCAGCAGAAAGCTTTCCCCCCTTCTCCTCAATGTGACTTCCTTTCAAATATGTAAACACTGCTTTCTTTTTCTATAAGCCAAGCATACCCAACACCTAAGCTGATTATTGTGATGATGATGGTACAATAACAATAATAATACATTTTATTTATTACCCGCTTCTCCTGATTGGATTGAATTGAATAGCTTTACTATTTATTTATAGTGTCAGGAGTGAACCAAACTGTTGTAGTGCATTAAGAACAAACAAACAAACAAACAAATCACAAGGTCCCTGGAACTTTTGGTCATTTCTGATGTTTATCCCTGTGTGTTTCTTGGACACACAGCGCATCACATTTCTTATCTTAGCATGGTTCATAGAGTAGTGGTTCTTTGGCAGCTGACATGCCTTCAATGTTGATTGAGATTATTGTCATGGTTGGTCCTGAAAAGGTCCGTTGGTTGGTTTGCTTGCTTGGTTGCATGCTGCAAGTCGCTTCTGGAGTGAAAGAATCAGCCGTGTACAAAGACATTGTCCAGGGGATGCCCGGATGTCTTGCAATCTTGCGGGGAGACTTCTCTCATGTCCTCCAATAGCTTTACTGTCATTGTGCTATTTCACAATGAAATTAAATGTGTTCCCCAGCACACACAAAAAAACAACACACTCATCCCTCCATACTCCCACCACCACCTCACAGCCCCCAATGCCACATCAGTGAGAAACCACAGAGTTCAACATAACCACAGCTCTAGGATAAAAGCTATCTCTCAGTCTGTTTCTCCTTGTCTTTGTCACCCTGTACCCTCTGCCAGATGGCAATAATTCAAAACAAGGATTATGCTGGGTGAGATAGATCACCAAGAATGCTCTGAGCTCTCTTAAGGCTGCGGGACCACATATGTTGTGGCTCAAGGCAGAGCACAACATATCAACATTAAGTATATACAATAAATTACATAAATAAAAACACAAAAATATAAATAAAACTTCTACCAAACACAGATTCAGAATTGACATATAATAGCAATAGAAACAAAACTCATGCTTGAAAGTTGACTAGGTAGTAGACCTTCTGTTGGAAGAGTTTGTAGGGTTTGGCTTCTAAACTTTGATCATTGTGGTCACCCTATTCTGGAGACTCTCCATCTTGTTTATCTCCCTCATCTGTTCCTCAGAGGGATTCATGGTTTCTAGACCTTTGGCCATTTTGGTCGCCCTTCGCTGGACACCTTTTGTATTGACCATCTCCTTTTTGAGTTGTGGTGCCCGGATACAAGGTTAATGTCTAGGTCACTGGAAGCCAATCATAGAGTTGTACTAGAGAATTTAGACATTGTTAGAGAGAACTTTAATCAAATCCATGAGTCAACTGTGATGCAGCAGCTAAAAAAGCCAGTGCAATTCTAGGCTGTATCAATAGTAAGTGTCGAGATCCAGGGAAATCATAGCCCCAGTTTGATCCGCATTGGTGAGATCTCACTTGGAATGATAATCCTGTGTCCAGCTCTGGGCAAAGAAGTTCAAGGAAGATATGGAAAAGATGGAGTGTTTTCCAGAGGAGAGCAACCCAAATGGCAAAAGGTCTGGAATCCAAGTCCTTTGAAGCATGGCTTAGGGCAGTGTTTCTCAACCTTCCTAACGCCATGACCCCTTAATACAATTCCTCATGTTGTGGTGACCCCCCAACCCTAAAATTATTTTCGTTGCTATTTCATAGCTGCAATTTTGCTACTGTTATGAATCGTCATGTAAATATCTGATAGGCAGGATGTATTTTCATTCTCTAGATCTTGGGAGTTGTAGTTGCTGGGATTTATAGTTCATCTACAATCAAAGAGCATTCTGAACTCCACCAGAGATGGAATCGACCCAAACTTGGCACACAGAATGCCCATGACCAGCAAAAAAAAAATGAAAGGATTAGTTGAGCATTGGCCTTGGGTTTGGGAGTTGTAGTTCACCTATGTCCAGAAAACACTGTGGACTCAAACAATGATAGATCTGGACCAAACTTGGCACAAGCAATCAATATGCCCAAATGTGAACACTGTTGGGAGTTTGGGGAAAATAGATCTTGGCATTTGGGAGTTGTAGTTGCTGGGATTTATAGTTCACCTACAATCAGAGAGCATTCTGAACCACACCAATGATAGAATGGGACCAGACTTCCCACACCGAACTCCTATTACCAGCAGAAAATAATGTGTATCCTGATGGTCTTTGGCAACCCCTCTGACACCCCATCACGACCCCCCCCAGGGGTCCTGACCCACAGGTTGAGAAACACTGGCTTAGGGACCTCTGCATGTTCAGTTTGTAGAAAAGGAGGCTGAGAGAGAACATGATAGCAGTATTTAAATAATTGATAGGATGCCCCATTGAGGAGGGCGAAAGGTTGTTTTCTGCTTCTCTGGAGCCATGGATTCAAATTGCAGATTCTGAAACATTAGGAAGACCTTCCCGATTGTTAGAACTGTTCAACATCTGGTGGAGTCTCCTTCTTTGGAGAGTTTTATACAGAGGTGAATGGTCATCTGTCTGGAGAGCTTGGACTGTGTAAGCCTGTGTGGATGACCTTAGCAGTCGCTTCTGACTATGATTCTAAACTGCAAATGCAGAATGTCTACGGGCTGATTGTTGCTACCTTGAATATTTATCAAGCCTGTTGTGTCTTCAGTGCTGATGTGGATTAGAACAATGCTCTAGCTGAAATAAATCCATTCATCCTAACATTGCTGCTTGACTGCTCTCCCACTCCATCCTTTCTGCTCTACTTACATACATCCCTGATAAGCTGGTGTGTTATTCTTCTGAGGTTTTGCTTCTGGCAAGAGCTGGAAATAAGGAAAACGAAAGCTAGAAGAGGTATGCGTTGCACCCACAGCATTTTTTAATGAAGGATTTTACTCTTGATGTAAATTTCCCTGAGCATAGAATTTATTATGCTGTATGGTGGCTTCTGTGTTAGATTTGTGGGGTATCTGTGCAAGGATTTATCAAAAATGTCACAGGAGTTATCCATGGTGCTGAATTGTACTCCCCGGAGAGGTTAGAATGGCTGCTTTGCTCTCTTTTTGCCATTTGTGAAGACCTTATTCTAGCAAGCCCCTGAAAATTGGCTTTTAACAAGAGAAAGACTTTTATTGTGGTTCATTGTTTTCAATCTTTGTTTTAAAACTAAAATCAGAAATGATGTTACTTTTCTTGTCAGTTTACTCTCTGCTTCTGCACACAGTACAAACCCTGTACGCTGAATTTACTGTGGGAACAGGAAACCATGGAGACTAGTGAAAACAAATTATTTCTGCTGGAAATTGCCATTGAGCCAGTATATCTGAAAAATTAACATTCCAAGTAGGACAAGAGAAGGGAGAAATAAAAGAGAATTTATTTGATGTTATAAGGAAACCATTCATCAGCTAGATGTGTCGTAGCAATAGTAGTTATAAAGCCTTAAATCACATTAGATTTTGGATAGAGACCAAGGGAAGATATGACTATTATTAAGAAAATTAGACAGCAGTGTAGATGATAATTTATTAGTAAGAGAACTGAGAAAGAAGCAGTTTTTAAGCCACTATCACTTGGAAAAGAGAGGGAGGGAGGATTGTTGTAGGTTTTTTCGGTCTATATGGCCATATTCCAGAGGCATTCTCTCCTGACGTTTTGCCCGCATCTATGGCAAGCATCCTCAGAGGTAGTGAGGAAGGGAGGTTGGGATAAGCCAAGAATTTAGATTGTGATTTGTTGCTGCGCAGTGATATTGTATATGTTGTGGGAATTTAATGGAAATTAATTTTAAAAATTAAAATGTATTTTAAAAAGTAATGGACTCTTTTAAAAGAGTCACAGAAGTCCTAGACCATTCCTAGAGAGTTAATCTCTTTCGGAATTAGCTAGTTCCTCCAACATGACTCAGATGTAACATCTGGTGGAAGCATGCCATAGAATTGTCTGGCAGCCCTAGCAAATTCATAGAAATAACCTATTTTGTCAGATATATAGGATAAACTGCAGGTATGGGATCTGTACTGTAATTTTAACTTTATCTGTTAAACTTACAATTGTAGTTGTGAGCTGTATAAAGTCCCACTCCTCAATAATGCAAGAAAGAAATGTATATAAATAAAAATGTAATGTTCTTTTGTGGGATTAACATAACTCAAAAACCACTGGACAAATTGACACAAAATTTGGACCCAAGACACCTAACGGACCAATGAGTGACCATCACTCATACCCCCCCAAAAAAAAAACAGCAGAAAGGACTTAAAAACCCAAAAAGGCTAAATGACAATGCAGATAAAAGGGAAGAAAGGAGAAAAAGAAAGAAAGAGAAAAAGGGAGGGCAATAAAGAAGGAAAGAAAAGGAAGCATGGAAGCAAAGAGCAAAGGAAAGAAGGAAAGAGGCAGAGAAGGAAGGAGAGAAAGAAAATAAGGGAAGGAAGGAGGGAAAGACGGAGAGAGGAGGAAGGAAAGAAGGAAAGAGAGGGGAAGGATAGAAGCAAAAAGTGAAATAAGGAAAGAAGGAGGTAGAGAAGGAAGAAAGGAGAAAAAGAGGGAGAAAGAGGGAGGGCAAGAAAGAAGGAAAGAAAAGGAAGCATGGAAGCAAAGAGCAAGGAAAGAAGGAAAGAGGCAGAGAAGGAAGGAGGGAAAGAAAATAAGGGAAGGAAGGAGGGAAAGAAGGAGAGAGGGGGAAGGAAAGAAGGAAAGAGAGAAGGAAGGGTGGAAGCAAAAAGTGAAGTAAGGAAAGAAGGAGGTAGAGAAGGAAGAAAGGAGAGAAAGAGGGAGGAAAAGAAGAAAGGAGAGAAGGGAAGGAAGGAGGGAGAGAAAGAGAGAGAGAAGATTGGCCACAGCAATGCGTGACGGATACAGCTAATAAAGTAATAGAGGGACTCCCAAACTAGATTCAGAACCTTGGAGAGCTCTTAGTGTCATTTAAATGATATTCAGAAATGATTCACAGCACCTACGATACGGAAACCATCAATCGCCACTAGATATCATAAAACTGTGGAAAATGTGTCTCTCCATATGTTGTTGGGTTGCACATCCATCATCCTTCACAGTCTGGCAAAATCTGGAGCTCTTGTCTCCTTTCTATTTCCTGCAAACTCTGGAAAGCTACAGGTTTTCCCTGGTGTGGTAGATAATGTAGTATTCATAAAGTGCTATAATGTTTACTAGGGTTTTTTTTTATTTTCAGAGAAATGCAAAGGATCAGATTAATGGCACTGAGTCAATTTATCTTATATTATCCCAGGTTTCTTCACAATAAATGTAGGTCGTGATCGCTCTTCTGTATCAAAAAGAGAGGGCTGGAAAAATGTACCTAGGGAGGAGAGAGAGATCTTGCCTTAAAGCTATTCACTAAAATTGTGGATGGCTTAGAAGGCTGCAGTTGTAGAAACTATAAACGGCATGAGCCTCATCCGGGTTGTAAAAGCACAGGATTTGGACAAGAGGGCATTGTGCCAGCTTTCTGTCTTGCTCATCCTTCTCCTTCTGGTGTTGCTAACATTTGCTCTCCATTTCAAAACAAGTCTACTCTGCCTGCCGGTCTGTAGCAAGCTTGGTCTCTTGTGATTGATAGTTTGAGGCCACTGCTTCGCACAGTGTGAGACACAGGCAGCTGCCAGGCGAGGGAGGCAATCTTCAGCCAAACCAGCCATAGTATGTATCTGTGAAGGGATCTTAATTTGTTCTTTGGAAAGTGTATGAATGGAGCAAATTGGGAAGGCTGCAGATTTTGCTCCCAAACAAGGGGAGGGAGAAGCAGCAACATTTACATCTCAGATGCAGCTATTTGCTTCATGAGTGTAATGTACAGCTATATACTTAGAATCATAGAATAATAGAGTTGGAAGAGACTACATGAGCCATCTAGTCCAACCCGCTTCCATGCAGAAAAAGAATATCAAAATACCCATGATAAATAGTCATCCAGTCTCAGTTTAAAAGCCTTCTCTGTTATCCCCAAAGAGCAGCTACTTCATGGAATGTGGGCAGAGGAAATAAGTAATATTTGAATATTAGAAGCTTCTTTATACCAAACAAACTGTCGTAACATTCATTTTGGTCCACCAATGGTCCATTTGTTCTGGTTACTCCACAATTGGCTTGGGTGGATTTTATTATTCGCACATTTGATTTAAAAGCTCTCTCAAAGTCTTCCAGTGTGACTCTATAGTCAACTTCCTCCAGTCCTGCTGAAGGACCTAGAGCAGTGGTTCTCAACCTGGGGTCCCCAGATGTTTTTGGCCTACAACTCCCAGAAATCCTAACAGCTGGTAAACTGGCTAGGATTTCTGGGAGTTGTAGGCCAAAAACATCTGGGGACCCCAGGTTGAGAACCACTGACCTAGAGCAATCTGGGGGTCGGGACCCCTAGAGGGGTCCTGAGGGGGTTCCAGAGGGTCACCAAAACAACCAGAAAACACATATTTCTGGTGGTCTTAGGAACCCCTTTGGCAGAGAAGGCTGAAGATCTCTCCATCTGTCCTTTCCCTTTTTGGAAACAGTGAATCCTCCCACCAAAAACCCCTCCTCCGCTGTGATTGACTGTCCTCTCAATCAAGGGGAGGGCTGTTTCTGAGACTCCAAGAAGGGAGATGAGAGCAGGCATGGTCAGTGCATGGTGGCATGTGCAGGCAAGGGAGAGTATGCAAGGCTGGAGGGAGGCTCACACTAGTGAGTCCCTTCAAGGCATGGGGGTTTCTCTGTAGGAAATTTGGCCCAATTCTATCATTGGTGGGGTTCAGAATGCTCTTTCATTGTAGGTGAACTATAAATCCCAGCAACTACAACTCCCAAATCTCAAGGTCTGTTTTCCCCAAACTCCACCAGTGTTCACATTTGGGCATATTGAGTATTTGTGCCAAGTTTGGTTCAGATCTATCATTGTTTGAATCCACAGTGCTCTCTGGGTGTAGGTGAACTACAACTCCAAACTCAAGGTCAATGCCCACCAAACCATTCCAATATTTTCTGTTGGCCATGGGAGTTCTGTGTGCCAAGTTTAGTTCAATTCCTTCGTTGGAGTTCAGAATGCTCTTTGATTGTAAGTGAAATATACATCCCAGCAACTACAATTCCCAAATGACAAAATCAGCCCCCTCCCCAACCCCATCAGTATTCAAATTTGTGCGCATTGGATATTTGTGCCAAATTTGGTCCAGTGAATACAAATACATCCTGCATATCAGATATTTACATGACAATTAATAACAGTAGCAAAATGGTAGTTATGAAATAGCAACAAAACTAATTTTATGGTTGGGGGTCACCACAACATTTATTTATTTATTTCTACCATTTTTAACCCGCCCTTCTCAACCCCTGGGGGGACTCAGGGTGGCTTCCAATTGGCAATAATTCAATGCTGCATCATAAAATACAAAATAGCAAATATAACAATTAAAACATAAACATTAATAAATAAAGATTAAAAAACAGTATACTTATGATCCATTTAGCTATTGCCAGTCTGGTGGCTATTTAGCTAGCCATATACTAATGATTACTTCATTTAGCTTATCCAAATCCTCTTCCAAGCCATAGTCAAACATTATCAATTGTCCTTTTAACCTGATTGCCCGAAGGCCTGGTCCCACAACCACGTTTTAACCTTTTTTCTAAAGGTGAGGAGGGATGACGATGACCTAATTTCCCCGGGAAGCGAATTCCATAGGCGGGGGGGGGGGGGCACCACCAAGAAGGCCCTGTCCCCCGTCCCCGCCAAACGTGTTTGAGACAAAGGCGGGGCCGAGAGCAGGGCATCCCCAGAAGGTCTTAAGCTCTAAGGTGGGGCGTAGAAGGAGATACGTTCGGACAGGTACGCTGGACCGGAGCCGTATAGGGAACATGAGAAACTATTAAGGGGTTGTGGCATTAAGAAGGCTGAGAAACACAGACCTTGAGATTTCTAGAAAGATCGTCTCTTTTTGGAATTTCTAGCTCCTGTAATGCTATTCTGTGTTCAGATTCTTGCAAAAGTTGATCATAGAATTGTTCTGGAGGACCTAAACATTCCTAGAGAGGTTATCTTTCCGATCTTTATTTGTGGTTTTTCACTTTCCTGGATGCCATGTGCCCCTAACTTCAGTGAATATGGAGGGATGACTGTTTTTAGCCTTGTCTAACTCTAAAGGTTTTTACGAAGGCACATTCGCTGCTCTCTGTTCCCTTCCTGAAGATTCAGGGGATTGAACTTGAAACCTCCCTTCTGTATATTACAAGGCCTTTCAATGAACCACCCTCCCCTCCCGTGAGATTTTGATTCGTGGTTTTCCTGCAGCTGCTTTGATCCAGAATAAAATGATGTGACATCTAATTAAGGATCTTCCCTCCGTTGCTTCTGCTTTGGTCTTCGGAGTGTCTGTTGGCATCTTCCTCATCTGGGCATGCAAAGTGAAGGGTTTGCCCTGCCTCTCCTCCTCTTGTTCAAGTGTGCTGTGTCCTCTTTGCAGTCATTGATTTTTTTAAAGGCTTCCCTATTGCAAGTCTTGCTGCCATAGATGTCTTGTGTTATATCGAACAAGTGAAATACTAATTATCTTCATTGAATGTTAGAGATCTGGGAGCTGCTTTTTGACATGTGTAGGTTGTGTTTTTTTTAATAGTGGATGTGTTGCTGTTTGTTTCTAGAGATCAAGAGGAGCCTGCCTGTGAGTGCCATTCTGTGGGAAATGCCAAAGAACCAAATTAGCACGGTGCTGCTTGCAAATGCTATAGTGTTGAAGAGAAACAGCTCTGTGTGGGTACATGGGCTTTAGCAGCTGCAACTCAGTCTAGCCTTCCAACCTTTTTGTCTTCAAGAACAAACAACAGCAAAGAAAACAATCAGCCATATCTCTAGATATAGCCAAATGGCAAGGTTTTCCAGCAAGATTTGGAACTGGACTTTTTTATGCTATACCCTCTGTCTTTCCTGATCCCTCCTTTGCTGTTTGCTCTTTTTAATATATATATAATATATATATTTACTGGTCTTCCAGTCCAGCTATTTATTTTAGAATAACTTAATTTTGATCTGTTTCGGGACACTTGCAGTCGCCTGAATGGACAGGGACACCTTTTCTCACGCCACCAAGTTTTTCCGCGATTATAGCGGCCTGCCTCGGGGTGCCAGCGGACAGCTCCACGAACATGTGGACTACATCGAAAAGCCAGAAAATTTCACGTATGCAGACTTTTTCAAGGATTACTTGATCCCCAATGACCCCTGTGTTTTCTCAGCAAAGTTCACGGAGGGCTGGGGCAGCAGGAGGAACTGGGTGACACCTGATGGGAAGCCTAATTTTGAGTATCTTCTGCGCACATTTGGTAAGTACTTTCCAACTGAAAGATGTTGTTGTTCTTTCTGGTGGGCACTAAAGGGCCACTACTATCTACTTAATTACTAGCTTGGGGACCCAGCGGTGCCCACATTATTTGAGAAATGCATTGTTTGTTTTGAGAAGTTTGGTAATATCAGTTTGGTAATGTGTAACAGTATTTATTAGAAAAAAGCCAGTCTTTCCCTTTATTTTTAATGAATGCTCCCATTAGAAAAATGCATAAAAATGTGAGTGAACAACAGTTATCAGAATTGTGAGTCAATCCTTCCCAAACCCTGCCATTATTCAAAGTTGGCCATGTTGGGTCTGTGTGCCAAGTTTGGTCCAGATACGCCGTTGGCTGGGTTCACTGTTCTCTGGGTAAGGGTGAACCACAACTCCCAGATTACCAAAACTTCCATTCTGTTGAGTCAGTCCCCCAAGCCCCTCCAGTCTGTTCAGTTGCTAGCCAATTCGTCTGTGTTTGCTGTGTGCCATAGGAAAGGATAAGAAAGGGTTAAGGGAGAGGCAGTGGGCGGGGTCATGCAAATTTTACACAAGGAACCCAGGGATGCCTGTCTGTGGTGGAGGAAACACGTCAAATCAAGGATGAAATTCTCCCTGATGAAAGCATTCCATGGGTGGTGAGCTGTAGTGATTGGACGCTCTCTGTAATCTGCAATGTCAGTGGAGAGAGTGCCTTCGGTGATGGAGGTTTGATCCAACAAGCATTTGAGAATGGTTAGTAGGTAAAGGTAAGGCTTTTCCCGTGACATTAAGTCCAGTTGTGTTCAACTCTGGGGGTTGGTGCTCATCTCCATTTCTAAGCTGAAGAGCCTGCGTTTTCTGTAGACATCTCCTAGGTCATGTGTGACTGCATGGAGCAACGTTACCTTCCCACCGGAGCAGGAGAATGACTAGTCCCTACGTATAAATGCCCAGTCCTTAGCCCACCAGATAATACTGTTTTCTGCACTTCTTCCAATTCCCTGGCCCTATATTACGCTGTTTTACTCTATCCCATACCTGGTCCTTTTTATAGCCTGATCATGTCCATCTTACTATTTCTGGCTATCGGTTTTTTGTTGTGTATTGTCTGAGTGAGTTTTAAACCTTCTGTTTTTATACCCCTATGTTTTTATTAAATTATGTTTTATCTGATTGTTACGGTATGTTTTGCTAGGTTTTATTTTAATCATATTTTTTGTTTTTGCTTTGATGTTCTGTGGACATTTTGTCCCATGTGTAAACCACTCTGAGTCCCTTTGGGGAGACGGAGGCAGGATATAAAAATAAAGTTATTAATATTATCTTTGCCTGAGGAACACAATGAATGGGCCCCAGTCTTTCTTGAAGTTAATCACCATAGTAAGCTTATCCATTTCTGTGAGTTCACTTTTCATAAGCAAATAGTCTTGTGTTGAAATCATTGAGTCTTTCTATCTTGGAGCATAGAGAATTCTTGCTGCCGTTGTTATGTATAGCAGTAACCTTACACATTTTCTTAGCAAAGAGTTCAGGTTTCATTTCAAATTTAACTTTAACATTGGGTTGTTGTGGTTTTTTCGAGCTATATGGCCATGTTCTAGAGGCATTCTCTCCTGACGTTTCGCCTGCATCTATGGCAAGCATCCTCAGAGGTAGTGAGGTCACTACCTCTGAGGATGCTTGCCATAGATGCAGGCGAAACGTCAGGAGAGAATGCCTCTAGAACATGGCCATATAACCTGAAAAACCACAACAACCCAGTGATTCCAGCCATGAAAGCCTTCGACAAAACTTTAACATTTTTTAAAAAATCATACATATTTGTACCCAATATTTCTGGGTCCTTTTACACGACTACCACATATGATAAAAGGTGCCCACCTTTTCCCCACATTTCCAACAATCATTAGAACTATTTTTATACGTCTTAGCAATCCTTTCCAGTGTCAAATACTATCACTTCCAATGGGAAAAAAAATGAGGCTGCTTGACCCTGCTTTTCAATACAAGATTGTTCATATTTATTCAGAGGTCTCATTCCATTCAGTGGCAGCTAAATAAAGGTAAATGTACAAGAGTTTGGTCTTGGATTACAAACTGTGCCCTTATGAAGATGAAGGGCAGTGCTGTTTGTTTCTGCATTAAATCAGAGTCAGCCCTCAAATTACATCCAGCTTCAAGCATCTAGACCAGAGCTTTCTGAACATTTCGTGAGTCGTTTTGTAATGCAGTAATTCAGTTTTACTAGCAAACCAGAGGTTAAACCAACCCCTAATAATAATAATAATAATAATAATAATAATAATAATAATAATAATAAAACTTTATTTATACCCCACCACCATCTCCCCAAGGGACTCGGAGCGGCTTACATGAGGCCAAGCCCAATAACACATCAATAAAACAACAAGCAATAAACAAAATAAACAATACAATTAGTATAACTCACACGCAGACAATAAACACAAAAATTTAAAATCCTATGGCCAGTCCTGATGTAATAGTTAAAACTTTAAAAATAAATGCTGGACATGAACAAAGGATGTATCTAGTAAGAGGGTTTTAAAACCAAACGTGGAGAACAACCCAACCGGTAATTATGAGAAATACGGACACATACATAAATTATAATAATGAAATGTATGAAGACGCAACATATCCTATGAAAGCCTATCAATTATTGATTATTTGTAAATTAATAATATAAATTTTTGACATTTCCCATTGTGGTCATGTGGCACACCTACACACTGCAATTGACACATTAATGTGTCACAACACACAGTTTAGAAAGACCTAAGAGAGTGGAGCACCAGCACAAATAATGTGGTAGTTTCATACATTTGACATTGATTGTATTTTGGCACCAAGTGAAAACCTGGTTGTTCACCAAAGCCTTGGGGCCCTATTGATTTCTCCCAAGTGCTAAAGCACATAATTTTAAACTGATTTAACATATTACTTACATTTTAGTTCATTTACTATTGTTGCTTTTACCCAGTGGTTCCCAACCTGTGGTCCATAAGAGCGAAAATATGGTCGACGTCCTCACCATTACTACACCGTTGCCTTGAAACCATGCGGCAACAAGAGTGACTGGTGTCACGAAACCCTCTTATAGTGCCAAGGCAATGGGGATCTTGGGAGAGGAAGGGCTGAATACCCACGAAAGATTACTCCTACCACATCAGCTCTAGATAGTTAAATATGGTTTTCTGTAGTCGAGTGGATGGCGGCTACTGGATGACATCTGTTCTGTATCAGAAACTAGAGCTGATGTGGTCTATCCAATGCAATTTTCTGAATCAGCACCCCAAATAACCAAACTGAATTTAAAAAAGACCAAAAACTGATTCGTAGCCCTTTTGATACTAATATTGGAGAGTGGTCCATGGTCAAGTGGTCCCTGGGAGTGGTAGTTTTGCAAGAGTTTTTGCCCTCTTGGTTTGGCGCCTCATCAAACTACAACTGGGATCTTGGGTGGCGAGGGGCTACTACTACCACATCAGCTCTATATTGTTAAATATAATTGTCTGTGGGCGAGCAGATGACTACTGGATGGCACATGTTCTGTATCAGAAACTAGAGCTGGTGTGGTCTATCCAATGCAGTTTTCTGAATCAGAATCCAAATAACCAAACTGAATCTAAAGTTGACCATAAACTGATTCGCAACCCTTTTGGTAGTAATGTTGGAGAGTGGTCCCTGGTCAAAACAAGGTTGGGAACCACTACTTTAATGTGTTTGTACCTATTTTGCTTGTAAGCCATGCTAAGATCTTTTGATCTCTTGTTGCTATTGTGTATCTTCAAATATTTGCTACTTAGTTACCTGAGGTCAATGTATCACAAGGTTTTGTGGAGTTGAGACTATGTGACACAGTGGATTATGTTAGTAGGGTATAAAATATTTCAATAATAACAATAATAATGTATTGTCAAAGGCTTTCATGGCTGGAATCACTGGGTTGTTGTAAGTTTTTCCGGGCTATATGGCCATTTTCTAGAGGCATTCTCTCCTGACGTTTCGCCTGCATCTATGGCAGGCATCCTCAGAGGTAGTGAGGTCTGTTGGAACTAGGAAAATGGGTTTATATATCTGTGGAATCACAGAAATTCTGGACCACTTGAACAACCACCATGTCAGACTACACAGAGAAGTCATTGAAATCCACAAGCATGTGGATAATTTCAACAGAAAGGAGGAAACCATGAAAATGAACAAAATCTGGCTGCCAGTATTAAAAAGGTCTAAAATTACAACAGAGAGAAAACAATTAGGGACATCTAATCATCTCTCAACAAAAGATTGCCCCAGGCACTGCCAGGCCATTATATGCTAATCAAGGTGGTCAGTTGAAACATTCACACCTAGCTCCAACAGACAAGAGTTCTTTGTCCCACTCTTGTCATTCCACAGATATATATATACCTAATTTTCCTAGTTCCAACAGACCTCAGTACCTCTGAGGATGCTTGCCATAGATGCAGGCGAAACGTCAGGAGAGAATGCCTCTAGAACATGGCCATATAGCCCGAAAAAACCTACAACAACCCAATAACAATAATATTCCTTATCACTGTGTTGTCAATTGAAGCAAACTTTTCAGCTCCAATCTAGAGAAAGAATGTGGAATTCCATAATTTATTACTACAGAGCTCTGGGAAACCCCCCATGGGTGGTGAGAGCATAAATGTATATTTAGAATCAATTGGAATTTTTAATCACCCATCCGTAGTAGCAATCATATATTTTTAATTCTTCCTGGAAGGGAGCCTATGTTGCATCCTACGCTGGTATCCCAGGATGCATTATTCCAGGGTAAAATCAGTAAACATGTTGCTCTAAGTATTGTCAAGGCTTTCATGGCCAGGGTTGTTGTGAGGTTTCCGAGCTGTCTGGCCATGTTCTAGAAGCATTCTCTCCTGACATTTTGCCTGCATCTATGGCAAGCATCCTCAGAGCTTGTGAGGTCTGTTGGAAACTAGGAAAATGGGGTTTTCCCCCATTTTCTTAGTTACTAGTTTCCCAATTATCCCGTTTCCATAGGGATACCAAGGTGCTTGCCTATAAAGCTATTGTCCTCCCAACCCTGCTCTATGCATGTGAAACGTGGACTGTCTACAGACATCACATGCAACACCTGGAACGATTCCATCAGCGCTGCCTCCGGAAAATCCTGCAAATATCTTGGGAAGACAAGTGGACAAACGTCAGCGTGCTGGAAGAAGCAAAGACCACCAGCATTGAAGCGATGGTCCTCTGCCATCAACTTCGCTGGGCCTGCCACGTTGTCCAGATGTCTGACCACCGTCTCCCAAAGCAGTTGCTCTACTCTGAACTTAAGAACGGAAAACGGAATGTTGGTGGACAAGAAAAGAGATTTAAAGATGGCCTCAAAGCCAACCTTAAAAACTCTGGCATAGACACTGAGAACTGGGAAGCCCTGGCCCTTGAGCGCTCCAGCTGGAGGTCAGCTGTGACCAGCAGTGCTGCAGAATTCGAGGAGGCACGAGTGGAGGGTGAAAGAGAGAAACGTGCCAGGAGGAAGGCGCATCAAGCCAACCCCAATGGGGAACGCATTCCACCTGGAAACCAGTGCCTTCACTGTGGGAGAAGATGCGGGTCAAGAATAGGGCTCCACAGCCACCTACAAACCCACAAAAATAGTCATCAAGGAAGACCATCTTACTCGTCCAACGAGGGATCGCCTAAGTAAGTAAGTAAGTTTCCAACAGACCTCACAACCTCTGAGGATTCCTGCCATAGATGCAGGTGAAATGTCAGGAGAGAATGTTTCTGGAACATGGCCAGTCAGCCCAGAAAATTCACAAATAACCCATGTTGCTCTATGTTAGTAGCAAAATAGATTCATCCTTTATAGATGGGATTATTTTCCTCTCAGTTTAAGTGTTTAATGCATGCATTCCTCTGCAGGGGTTTTGAAGAAAGGGATTGAGCAAGCTTCGGTTGAGAATGTCTGAGATACAGGAAGATGCGCCTTAGGGAAGAACTTGAACTTAGAACTGTTTAATGCAGACATTGTGCATTCATGCTCCCTTTGCTATTAAAACTTTTATGTTTGTGCTTCGAAACTCAGTGCAAAGTAAAGTGGAAGCAGTTTTCTCTTTGGACTTGGGTAGACGTACTATGAATGGGAGGGAGGGAATGATAAAACATCTTGGTACTTATCTAGGGTGTTTTATAATCCAAAGCTCCACAAGAGCACACAAAGTATATTTCTGGCTACTTGTGAAGCTTCCTTGAAAAGTCCCACAAGCAAAAAATAAAATTTAAAAAGTACGTAGACCTTTGGTTCCTCCAGAGTGCTTTTCTTCAAATCTAGTGAAATGGCAGCAATAAGGTTTGAGGAAAAGAGACAAAAGAGAGTTCTTGTAGGTTTTTCCGGACTATATGGCCATGTTCTGGAGGTAATTTTTCTCCTGACGTTTCGCCTTCATCTATGGCAAGCATCCTCAGAGGTAGTGAGGTCTGTTGGAAGTAGGAAAAAACCTACAACAACCCAGTGATTCCGGCCATGAAAGCCTTCGACAATACAAAAGAGAGTTCCTGGGGATCTGTAAAAGCACGGTTTATTCTCGGTTGGCGCCAACCGGATATGGACCCTGCTGGTATTCCAGGAAACAGGGTGCTGAACAAAAGAATTGCCTTGGTTTATATACCCTTTAAAATAATATGCATGTATCATACAAGCATCACAATGTGCGTCACAAAATTCTACTTTTACATTGACTTCAATAGCATATTTTAACTTCAACACCTTTAATTTCCATTAAGCACCTTTATCTAAAGAGCTGCTTATTAGTGGACCATCCTGTACCCCACCGTGCCAGAGTGTCTACTGATAGCAAGAACTTCCATCCATCTTAAGATAGGTCCTTTCCTGGTTTGAGGGCTTCTAGACAGCAAGGCTCATTAATCTTATAAGCCCTGCTTGGTATGAAATGGAAGGGTCTCTTGATATTTGCCAGAAGCCTTAGACATTCCTTTCCTGGACCCCGGCCTCTTTCTGTTCTCTTTGTGGCATCTAATATTCAGCTTTTAAGAAGAGAATATTTTCCCAAGTGAACTGAAATTAATGCATACATATCCTTTTGTGATTTCATATATATTTTCTAATTCCTATTTCTAATATGGTTACATCCAATGTATATTTTTCAATATGTATTATGTATTTTCATCATGCCTTCATCACTAGCACTTACAAATATGAATATATTGTAGTTATAAGAATAAATCTATTTTGTCGAAGGCTTTCATGAGCAGAATCACTGGGTTGCTATGAGTTTTCAGGGCTGTATGGCCATATTCCAGAACCATTCTCTTCTGACGTTTCACCCACATCTCTGGCAGACTGCTCAGAGGCTGTGTCCTCACAATCTCTGAAGATGCCTACCATAGATGTCAACAAAACATCAGGAGAGAATGCTTCTGGAATAATGACCATGCAGTCCGGAAAATTCACAGCAACCCAATCTATAATGTGTTTGGTGTCTTCTCTGCATTTTTATTGGAATGCACTGTGGTAGTTAATGCATCTTGAGATTCACGTCTCTCAGCGCCTTAGGAAACTCCACAGTAATGGAAAGGAATTCCTTTGGTTTCTGCGGAGACTTTGCGAAGCATTTAGAAGTTTTGTAGTTGAATGATCAGACTGGCAAGCACCCTTCCACTCTTTCCATTGATGACCTCAAAAGGCAGCCATTATTTTCTCCAAGAGGCTGAAAGAGTTTATGTTTCAGGGGAGGCTGTAGTACCGGTGGCCAACTGTGATGTCAAGGAATACAATTCTAACCCAAAGGAACATCTTAAACTCAAGGAGTACATAAGTTATTGGAAGGAACACATTAAAAAAAACTATCGCTCGCCCCGGGGCTGCCTTTACCTCAAGGATTGGCACCTGCACAGGTAAGAACAGAAGGTCTCCTCTGCATGCGCTTTGGCAACCCCTGGCATGCAGCTACATTGCACCACTCTGGTTCTTTTGCCAAATGATTCTGCTTTTGTTAGTAGCCACCTGATCCAAAGCTTTGCACCCTCAGAAGTTACAGGTATGACTGTTGTTGGAATATTTGGTATCTGTAGCAGAGTGCAGTGCAGGATGACCAGTGCTATATATGAGCTTATGATAGGAAACAGGAGAAAAAAATACTCAGGATGATATATTATGTATTTTGAAAGGTAAAAGCTTCTTTTATTGAGTTGCTGTGAGTTTTTTGTGCTGTATGGCCACCTTCCAGTAGCACTCTCTCCTGATCTTTCTCCTGCATCTTCAGAGGTTCTGTTGGGAGTGAAGCAAGTGGAATGTATAGATACCTGTGGAATAATGTCCAGGATGGAAGAAAGAACCCTTGTCTGTTTGAAGCAAGTGTGAATGTTGCAGTTAGCAAGCTTGAATACCATTGAGTAGCCATAAAGCTGCAAAGTCAGTGAGGTTATTTATTTACAGCATTTATATTCCGCCCTTCTCCTCACCCCGCAGGGGACTCAGGGCGGATTACAGTGTACACATATATGGCAAACATTCAGTGCCAATTTTGACATACAACATATACAGACATAGACAGAGGCTATTTAACTTTTTCTGGTCACCAGGGGAGCTGTCGCTTTCATTGTCCATCTGTGACACTGATGAAGTACTTGCGCATTCTTTTCCTGGCGCCGGGGGAGCTGTCGCTTTCATCGTCCATCTGCGACACTGATGAAGTACTTCCGCATTCCCCACATGCTTTTTTGCTGGAGTGCTTGCTGGAGTCTTTTTTATGGCCTCATAAATTAGTTAATTTAGCCTCCCCACACTTTAAGGTGGTACCTAATTTTCCTACTTGACAGATGCAACTGTCTTTTGGGTTGCAAAGGTTGACAACAGGCTACACAATTGGTTGGAAACCCACTCCAACCCGGGCTGGCTTCGAACTCATGACCTGCATCACTGCATCTTTTTATTGTTCCAGATGACACGTTCTGTATAAAAGAACAGATAAAGAAAGTTGCCTATACAGGGGGGGGGGGGGGGGGGGGGGGGGGGGGGGGGGGGGGAGGGGGGGGGGGGGGGGGGGGGGGGGGGGGGGGGGGGGAGTATTTAGTCAGATACCAATTGTACAAGAGGCCTGTAACTGACATCCTAGGTGGGCCTCAACTATGAGAGACAGCATGAGAAAACACATCCAGAAAATCACATTGTCTGAATTTTAATGAATTTATTTGCAAATTATGGTGGAAAATAAGTATTTGGTCCATAACAAAGTTCATCTCAATGTTGTTGTTCATTCGTTCAGTCGTCTCTGACTCTTCGTGACCTCATGGACCAGCCACGCCAGAGCTCCCTGTCGGCCGTCACCACCCCCAGCTCCTTCAAGGTCAGTCCAGTCACTTCAAGGATGCCATCCATCCATCTTGCCCTTGGTCGGCCCCTCTTCCTTTTGCCTTCCACTTTCCCCAGCATAATTGTCTTCTCTAGGCTTTCCTGTCTCCTCATGATGTGGCCAAAGTACTTCAACTTTGTCTCTAGTATCTTTCCCTCCAATGAGCAGTCGGGCTTTATTTCCTGGAGGATGGACTGGTTGGATCTTCTCGCAGTCCAAGGCACTCTCAGCACTTTCCTCCAACACCACAGCTCAAAAGCATCGATCTTCCTTCGCTCAGCCTTCCCTAAGGTCCAGCTCTCCCATCCGTAGGTGACTACAGGGAATACCATGGCTTTGACTAGGCAATGGATCTTTGTTGCCAGTCTGATGTCTCTACTCTTTACTATTTTATCGAGACTGGACATTGCTCTCCTCCCAAGAAGGGTCTCCTGATTTCCTGGCCACAGTCTGCATCTGCCGTCATCTTTGCGCCTAGAAATACAAACCCTGTCACGGCCTCCACGTTTTCTCCCTCTATTTCCAGTTGTCAATCATTCTTGTTGCCATAATCTTGGTTTTTTTGATCTTTAGCTGCAACCCCAGCTTTTGTGCTTTCTTCTTTCACCTTGATTAGAAGGCTCCTCAGCTCCTCCTCGCTTTCGGCCATCAGAGTGGTGTCATCTGCATATCTAAGGTTGTTAATGTTTCTTCCAGCAATTTTCACCCCAGCTTTGCATTCATCAAGCCCCGCACATCGCATGATGTGTTCTGCATACAAATTAAAAAGGTTGGGTGAGAGTATGCAGCCTTGCCGTATGCCTTCATCTCAATACTTCGTTATATATCCTTTATTGGCAATGACAGAGGTCAAACGTTTTCACACAAGGTTGGCACATACTGTGCTGGACTGTTGGACCATTCCTCCATGCAGATCTCCTCAAGAGCAGTGATGTTTTGGGGCAGTCGCTGGGCAACATGGACTTTCAACTCCCTCCAAAGGTTTTCCATAGGGTTGAGATCTGGGGACTGGCTAGGCCACTCCAGGACTTGAAATGCTTCTTATGAAGCCACTCTTTTGTTGCCCTGGCAGTGTGCTTGGGATCATTGTCATGTTGAAAGAACCAGCCACGTTTCATCTTCAGTGCCCTTGCTGATGGAAGGAGGTTTGCACTCAAAATCTCACGATATATGGCCCCAGTCATTCTTTCATATATATGGATCAGTTGCTCTGGTCCCTTTGCCGAGAAACAGCCCCAAAGCATGATGTTGCCACCCCCATGCTTCACAATAGGGATGGTATTCTTTGGATGCAACTGAGCATTCTTTCTCCTCCAAAGATGACGAGTTGTGTTTCTGCCAGTCAGTTCTACTTTGGTTTCATCTGACCATATGCCATTCCCCCAATGCTCTTCTGGATCATCCAAATGCTCTCTAGCAAACTTTAGTCGGCCTCGGACATGTACTGGCTTAAGCAGGGGACACGTCTGGCACAGCAGGAGCTGAGTCCCAGGTGACATAGTGTGTTACTGATGGTAGCCTTTACAGAATCATAGAATCATAGAGTTGGAAGAGACCTCATGGGCCATCCAGTCCAACCCCATCCTGCCAAGAAGCAGGAATATTGCATTAAAAGCACCCCCGACAGATGGCCATCCAGCCTCTGTTTCAAAGCCTCCAAAGAATGAGCCTCCACCACACTCCAGGGCAGAGAGTTCCACTGCTGAACAGCTCTCACAGTCAGGAAGTTCTTCCTAATGTTCAGATGTAGTTTGAAGCCATCGTTCTGTGTCCTAGTCTCCAGGGAAGCAGAAAACAAGCTTGCTCTCTCCTCCCCCTCCCTGTGACTTCCCCTCGCATATTTATACATGGCTATCATATCTCCTCTCAGCCTTCTCTTCTTCAGGCTAAACATGCCCAGCTCCCCAAGCCGCTCCTCATAGGGCTTGTTCTCCAGACCCTTGATCATTTTAGTCACCCTCCTCTGGACACATTCCAGTTTGTCAATATCTCTCTTCAATTGTGGTGCCCAGAATTGGACACAATATCCCAGGTGTGGTCTAACCAAGGCAGAATAGAGGGGTAGCATTACGTTGGTCCCAGCTCTCTGCAGGTCATTCATTAGGTTCCCCTGTGTGGTTTTTGCTCACTGTTCTTGTGGTCATTTTGACCCCATGGGGTGAGATCTTGCGTGGAGCCCCAGATCGAGGGAGATTCTCAGTGGTCTTGTATCTCTTCCATTTTCTAACTATTTCTCCCACAGTCAATTTCTTCACACCAAGCTGCTTACCTATTGCAGATTCAGTCTTCCCAGTCTGGTGCAGGGCGACAATTTTGTTTCTGGTGTTTGTCGACAGCTCTTTGGCCTTCACCATAGCGGAGTTTGGTGTGATTGCTTGAGGTTGTGGACAGGGGTCTTTTATACTGATAATGAGTTCAAATAAGTGCCATTAGCATCAAATAGCAGTGGAACTCTCTGCCCTGGAGTGCGGTGGAGGCTCCTTCTTTGGAAGCTTTTAAGCAGAGGCTGGATGGCCATCTGTCAGGGGTGATTTGAATGCAATATTCCTGCTTCTAGGCAGGGGTTTGGACTGGATGGCCCATGAGGATCCCTTCCAACTCTTTGATTCTATGATTCTATTACTACAGGTAATGAGTGGAGGACAGAGGAGCCTCTTCAAGAAGAAGTTACAGGTCTGTGAGACCCAGAAATCTTGCTTGTTTGTAGGTGACCAAATACTTATTTTCCACCATAATTTGCAAATAAATTTGTTAAAAATCAGACAATGTGATTTTTCTGGTTGTGTTTTCTCATGTTGTCTCTCATAGTTGAGGTCTAGCTATGATGTCAATTACAGGCCTCTCTCATCTTTTAAAGTGGGAGAACTTGTACAATTGGTATCTAACTTAATACTCCCCCCCCCCTCCCACTGTATTTGGTACAAGCATCCATAACGCTCATGTCTGTGAGTAAGGCATCTTGAGAAGCCTCCTGATGCTCCCTTCTCAAATTCAAGGTTAATAAAACACACTAAAAAGCTTTGGGAGGAAATAGAAAGTGACCTCTTTATGCAGGCAGGAAACAAAACACATTGAGTTACAAAAATCTAGGAAAGAGATGAAAAACAAGTTGGGAGGCATGCGCCCTCTGTTCCTAATTGCTCTAGATACAGGTGTGGATGCTTCTGCACTTCCAATAACCCTGTGATAGGAGGGAAGGCCAAGTGATGTGTTTTGATTGTGTGTGGTGCCTGTCTTCTAGCATGTGTGCCTGGCATTGGCTGCTCTTGAAGGAAGTTTTCACCCTCTCCCATATTTGCTTGCATGTGGCGTCTGCTGGAGTTGCACTGCATGGGGCTGATTTTCCTCTCTGAATCACTGTCCTTATCTTAATCTTCCTGCCTATTTGTATAATTGCCTTGGAACAAGTTAAAAAAGAAGCAGCAGCAGGGAAGCTGTTCAGGACAGAGCACCAGAGAACACAAGGGCATTGTAGGCACCATTAGCACTCACAATAAGAGAGGGAAGAAGGGATTTCAACCCCCAGCTTTCTGATTTCAGAAGGCGTAATTTGGGAACTGGAAATATGGTGTTCTCTGAAACTCTAAAATAGGTGGGCAACTGTGGAAGGCCTCATTTCCCACCCCACAGCCTCCTGAAGTGATGTCATGTCACTTCTGATTTCAGTTGGGATGGATGTTTTCCCCAAGTTTTTCATTTTTGGGACATAAGGAATACTGTGGAGGGAAAAACTGTTCCAATTTGTAGCAATTTCAGACCATGGAGGATGAAAAACAATCCATTTTAAATTAATTTTTGAGTGCATGAATTGTGGCTTTACAAGTCATTTATGGCCATTGGGCCACATATTCCCCACCTCTCCTCTGGGCTCGGCAAAACTATGGTTAGGTGGATCTGTAATTGGTTAAATGTATGAACCCAGACGGTGATTCTCCTCAATGCTTCCTCTACACCCTGGAAAGAAGTGACAAGTGGTGTGCCATCAGCAGGGTTCTGTCCTTTCCAGGATCTTTATCAGTGACTTAGATGAAGGGTTAGAAGGCATGATCACCAAGTTTGCCAAGTTGGGAGTGATAGCCAATACTTCAGATTACAGGAGTAGAATTCAAAACAGTCTTGACAGATTAGAGAGAGATGATTGGCCAAAACTAACAAAATGAAGTTCAACAGGGACAAATGCAAGATACTCCACTTAGGCAGGAAAAAAATGAAATGCAAAGATACAGAATCGGGAACGATGCCTGGCTTGAGAGCAGGACGTAGGGAAAAGATCTTGCAGTCCTCACAGGGAGGAAGGGGAACATGAGACAAGCATGTGATGTGGCAACTAAAAAAGCCAATGGGATTTTGACCTGCATAAATAGGAGTCTAGTGTTTAGATCCAGGGAAGTCATTCTACTCATATTCTATACTGCCTTGGTCAGACCAACCTTGGAATCACAGTGTTTCCAATTCTAGGCACCACAATTGAAGGGAGATGTTGACAAGCTGGGATGTGTCCAGAGGAGTGCGTCTCAAAGGATCAAGGGTTCGGAGAACAAGCCCCATGAGGAGCAGCTTCAGGAGCTGAGCATGTTTAGCCTTCAGAAGAGAATGTTGAGAAGAAACATGGGCCATGGATCAAGATGTGAGGAGAAGTCATAGGGAGCAGGAAACAGGCTTGTTTTCTGCTGCCCAGGAGACTAGGATATGGAGCAGTAGCTTCAGCTATAGGAAAGGAGATTCCACCTGAACATGAGGAAGAACTTCCTGACTGTGAGAGCTGTTCAGCAGTAGAACTCTCTGCAGTGTGGTGCAGGCTTCTCCTTTTGAAACTTTTAAACAGAGGCTGGATAGCTATATGTCGGGGGTGCTTTGAATTCAATCTTCCCGCTTCTTGGCAGGATGCTTCTTGGACTGGATGGCTCATGAGGTCTCTTCCAACTCTGATTCCATGATATCCTTTAAGTACAAGTGAGCTGATATAGCTGAATTTCTTGGTCTCCCAAGGCATCATTGAGCTCTCAAAAGCATTCTTTATTTTAGAATTTAACCCAGGGCAAAATCATTCAGTCAAGGGAGGAAGCCAACAAAGGACGTGTTTGAGATTAGAGCCTTAGCTGTCAAGTTATGATCTATCTCTTTCTATATACTTGTGAAGTATTTTTCTGAGTTGCCAGTGTTCACTCTTTTCTCTTTTAGAGCTTTCCCAGAACAAGATGTTTACACCACTCCCATTTATTTCTCATCCGACTGGCTGAATGAATACTGGGATGCCATAGCGGTGGACGACTATCGTTTTGTCTACATGGGACCCAAAGGCTCATGGTACAGGCAATCAAATACTTTTGTGTGTTGTCTTTGGGAAGAGGTAGAACATGCAGTTTTTTTCAGGGACCTATTTCCAAATAAATGCATTAAGAATAGACTGAGAGAGGAGCTCACTTATTCAAAGTTATATTCAACCATACAACCTGGAAGTCTCTTTCACATCAAAGCAAAGGGTTGAGATGTCTCTATTCCAATGATGGACCAGTGTATGTTCAGTTCTTTGTATTTTGTAAACTGTAGCACTTTCTTTCAGTGTAATGTCAATATATATATTGTACAAGTTTAAAATCTCCATGCTGCTAGCCGTGGAAGAGTTAAGTTGTGGAGCATTATGAAGCATGCTTTGAACAGACAAAGAAGTTGTTGCAATAAGCTAGGAGGCTGGACGCTGAATTAATGAGCTGATAACAGTGGGATGTAAATAGAGCAAACACCATTTTGTTCTTTCTCTTGGCTCCTCGCCCTTGCATCTGACGAGTAAGTGTGATTGCAATGAATGAAATGTAAATAAAGATAAGAGCCGCTACTGAAGTAGAAACAACTGTGTCTGAAGTCAGTTAATTGGATGATAAGCAAGTTGGCCAGCAAATTGCACTAATTTATTTATTTATCATGTCAAGAGCAAACCAAACAGTTGTATTGTATTTTTTAAAAACACACACACATAAACACCATTTGCAAACTTGGCATTCTATTAAATGTCTTTTGACCAGTAGCTGGCCACTTGGAGTGTGTCTGGTGTTGCTATAAGAAGGCCCTTCATTGTGCATGTGGCAGGGCTCAGGCTACATTGCAATAAGTGGGCTGTGGTTTGCTCTTCTCCACACTCGCATGTCTGGAATTCCATTTTGTGGCTCCATTTCTTAAAGTTGGCTCTGCATCTCATGGTGCCAGAGCGCAGTCTGTTCAGCACCTTCCAAGTTGCCCAGTTTTCTGTGTGCCCAGGAGGGAGTCTCTCATTTGGTATCAGCCATTGTTTGTGGTTCTGGGTTTTAGCCTGCCATTTTTGGACTCTTGCTTGCTGAGGTGTTCCAGCGAGTGTCTCTGTAGATCATAGAAAACTATTTCTTGATTTGAACGATAGTAGGGAAATTCATAGAAGTACTAAGCTTTCCACAAAAAACACTAATTTGAGGTTTGCAGAATGTTTGAGGAAATATTACATTATGTCTGTCTAATGGCCTAGATCATATTGTTAGTCCTGATCAGTGGGATTCCACTAGATGGAATATATCTCCTCTTCTTAAGACTTGACCATTAATTTCTTATGTGGCCTTCATCTCTGTTTATTTGTAGATTAGGAGAAACCTTTGCAAATCATTGTACTTACTAAAGAGTGTTTCAATTTTTAAAATATTAAACACCACTCTATTGAGTGTTTGCTAACAAGGAAGCCTGTTTACTAACTGGAAGAAATTACAGGGAGCGGTCAACCCCCCTGTTTAAGGAGATCCACTGACTGCCGTTTATTTTCCGGTCCCAATTCAGTTCACACCTACCTGCGTGACCACATGTCCGTTTACAAACCCACACAATCTCTTTGATCTTCCGGAGAGACCTTTCTCTCGTTCCCGCCCCCATCACAGGTGTGACTTGTGGGAATGAGAGAGAGGGCCTTCTCTGCGGTGGCCCCTTGCTCTGGAACTCACTCCCTAGAGATATTAGGCAAGCCCCCACCCTGGCAGTCTTCAGGAAGATCTTGAAAACTTGGCTGTTCCAGTGTGCCTTCACTGAATGAACAATAATTCCCTGACCTGACCAATTTCTGCAAAATGTCCTCAGAAGCACTTTATTTTTCCTGGTAGTGCATTCAAACCCTACTTTACCCTCCGGACCCCCTGTGCAGATATATTACACTGCTGTCTCACCCAGTGTTTTTAATTTTTAATCTATTATTATTATTAAGAATTAAAAGCACATTATCCCAAATTGGCTTTAACTTGGTGGGTGAGTGTCTGTGGCATAAAGTATCTCTCTTCTGGGAGTTGTGTTTTTAAACTGTTGGACATCCTAAGATATTACTGAAAGGATGGTGAGCCCATTCTCTTTTTTCCCCTTCATCTTCTGCATCTTCAAATTTCTTCCATCCCTTTTGGCTGCCACTTCCAAATCTTTGAATGTATTCTCCCCTTCATAGGACTCCATTTCACGCGGACGTCTTCCGCTCCTACAGCTGGTCTGCCAATATCTGTGGGAAGAAGAAATGGCTCGTCTTTCCTCCGGGACAAGAGGAATTCCTACGAGACCGTCACGGCCACTTGCCATTTGACATCACTGCGCCTGATCTGAAGAAGAGCCATCTTTACCCACGCTACGCCCAAAGCAGCCCTCCGGTCGAAATCATACAGGAAGCCGGAGAAGTCGTCTTCATCCCAAGTGGGTGGCACCACCAGGTTTACAACCTGGTAAGGAGGATCTTTTAAGTAGTTGTTACAGATGGATTTATGATCGAGGTTTTGGCTGGATCACATGCATTGAATATCGAGCATCCCCAATTCAGTCCTCAGGATGCTAGGTTAGCAGGGCCTTTGCTCAGTCATTTCTTAACTTGCTTCTAAAGGTAAAGGTAAAAGTTTCCCCTTGACATTAAGTCTAGTTGTGTTCGACTTTGGGAGGTGGTGCTCATCTCCATTTCTAAGCCAAAGGGCCAGTGTTGTCCATAGACTCCTCCAAGATCATGTGGCCGGCATGACCGCATGGAGCACCATTACCTTCCCACTGGAGCAGTACCTATTGATCTACTCACGTTGGCATGTTTTCGAACTGCTAGGTTGGCAGAAGCTGGGCCTAACAGTGGGAGCTCACCCAGCTCCCCGGATTCATACTGCCAACCTTTCGGTTAGCAAGTTCAGCAGCTCAACAGTTTAACCCGCTGTGCCACCGGGGGGAGGGGGGGGCATTATATTATACTGTTAGTGTTATATAATATAATGCACTATATCATAAGTTGTAGCATGTATAGTATATAATATATTTTATTTATTTTTTTACAGTATTTATATTCTGCCTTTCTCACGCCGCAGGGGACTCAGGGCGGATTACAATGTACATATATGGCAAACATTCAATGCCAAAGAACACAACAGATATAGACAAACAGTGAGAGGATATTTAACTTTTTTTCTGGCCGCCAGGGGAGCTTTCGCTTTTCATCATCCATCTGCGACACTGATAGAGTACTTCCGCATTTCCCGCATGCTATTGCTGGAGTCTTTTTTATGGCCCCGTAAATTAGTTAAATTAGCCTCCCCACACATAGGTGGTACCTAATTTTCCTACTTGACAGATGCAACTGTATTTCAGGTTGCAAAGGTCGACAACAAGCTACACAATTGGTCGGAAGCTCACTCTGACCCGGGCTGGCTTCAAACTCATGACCTTGTGGTCAGAAGTGATCTTAATGCAGCTGACACTCAGACAGCTGCGCCACAGTCCCGGTGCAACATTATAATTATATATAATATTTTAGTATTGTTACTTTACAATAACCACCTAAGTTGGGCTCCACAGGCCAATGTAGACTTTCAGCAGAAAGGAGGAAACCATGAAAATGAACAAAATCTGTCTACCAGCATTAAAAACCTCTAAAATCAGAACAGTAAAGAAAAGAACAACACTCAAAACAGGGGAATTCCAGACAAGAAACAATCAGGACCAGCTAATCACTTTCCAACAAAGGATTCCCCCAGACAGGAAGGAGCCAAGCCTTGAAGCTGCAAGGCTATTCAATGCTAATCAAGGCGATCAATTGCAGCATTCACCCAAGAGTTCTTTCTCCCACCCTGGACATCATTCCACAGATATATAAACCCCCCTTGCCTTGTTTCCTACAAACCTCACAACTTCTGAGGATACCTGCCATAGATGTGGGCAAAACGTCAGGAGAGAATGCTTCTGGAACATGGCCAGACAGCCCAGGAAACTCACAGCAACCCAGTAAATACGGTAGTGTTTGTATTTTGAAGCATAGCTGTGTTCATAATAGAAATCCAGTTGTATTGACTAACCACCCTTTGCTAAATTAAAGCAGAGAGGGATATAGGCTGATGATTCCTTATCTGAGGTACTTGGGAACAGAAATGTTTAGGATTTTGGATTTTTTTTTCCAGACTACCTGCATTTGCATATGCACACATAGAATAGAATCATAGAATAATAATAGAGCTGGAAGAGACCACATGGGTCATCTAGTCCAACCCCATCCTGCCATGCAGGAAAAGCACAATCAAATACCCCCGACAAATGGCCATCTAAGGCTCTGTTTAATGAGATATTTTGGAGATGAGACCCAAGTGTAAACACAAAACGAACATGGTTTTGATATGCACTTCATACACATAGCTTGAAGATAATTTTATCCAATATTTTAATAATTTTATGTTTGTGTCAAAATTTGTTTGCATTGAAGTATCAGAAAGCAAAGGAATCGCTATCCCAGCCACTCATGTGGACAATTTTGGAGTATTTTATAAATCCCTAAATGACTCAAGCCCACTTTACCTGTCCGAACGGATTCCCCCCTATGAACCATCAAGGTTGTTAAAATCTTCTGGAGGGGCCCTGCTCTCGGTCCCACCACCCTCGCAATCGCGTCTGGTGGGGACGAGGGACAAGGCCTTCTCGGTGGTGGCCCCTCGGCTCTGGAACTCTCTCTCACTGGAGATTAGAACTTCCCCTTCTCTCCTGACTTTTAGAAAGCTGGTGAAATCTTGGCTTTGGAATATAGCATTTGATGAGTGAGTCAATAACTCTTGACCACACAGACGGATGGTGATGAATTGTGATTTCATTCTGACGACTTGGCCTTATGTAATTATATGTTTATATTTTAATGTATTTTATGGATTAGTGTATTATGAAGTGTGATGTTTTTATACTATTGTTTATGAATCTCTTGTTGTGAACCGGCCTGAGTCCCTCTTCAGAGGTCGAGAAGACCGGGTTATAAAAGTTCTAAATAAATAAATAAATAGTTTTGGAATTCCAGAGAAAGAATGCTCAAGCTATTCTTCCAAAAGTTATAGGAAATATTGATGGCTTAGGGCAGTGGTTCCCAAGCTTTGGCCCTCCAGGTGTTTTGGACTTCAATTCTCACAATTCCTAACAGCTGGTAAACTGCCTGGGATTTCTGGTAGTTGAAGTCCAAAACACTGGAGGACCAAAGGTTGGGAACCACTGGCTTAGAGACCCCCCCAAAACAAGTCTAGTATGGGAACTCTCAGAGTAATATGCACTCCATCTGACAAGCCCCACTTCCTGTCTGGCGTGATTTTGGAATTCTGGATAAGCGATACTGAGCTTGTCCTTATCCTTGGTTCTTGCAGGAGGACACCATCTCCATCAACCACAACTGGGTCAACGGGTGTAACGTGGCCATCATGTGGAGCTTTCTCCAGGACGAGCTCGCTGCGGTCCAGCGGGAGATCAGAGAATGGAAAGACAGCATGGAGGACTGGCACCTGCAATGCCAGGTAACAGAGCTGGCCATCTGAGAAATGCCCACGAGAAAGCAGGCACCCATTAGCAGGCAGGCACAGCAGCACCAACAGCAGAGGGACTACATAAGTTTAAAACAGACAATACACAGAGGAGAAAGGAGGTGTTGTTGACTTAGTGTCCAACTGTTTTGTTTTGTTTATTTGGGGGGGGGGGGTGCCAAGGAAGGTGAGTCCAACCACAGGGGGTGCTGTTGCTCCATTCTCTATAAAAAAGCCGTCGGGACTTCCTCCTTCCTTTTTTGGTCACCCAGCATTTTCTGATCTTCTTTCTTTATGGTGTTGTAAAACACTTCCCCTGCTTTTAGAAGTACCTAATTTCTCTAATTACAGCTAAAGCTGTTTTTTAAAAATAATCTTTATTGAGTATTTACAGCTTGCAATAGATAGATAGATAGATAGATAGATAGATAGATAGATAGATAGATAGAGAGAAAAAGAGATAAAAGGTGTAAATAAAAAGCAGTTAAAAGAAAGAGAAGAAAGAACAGCTAAAGCTGTTTTTGAACTGCTTAGGTAAATGGTGAGCAGGGCTGACAGTCAACTGCTCACACCGACCCAGGGCTTCAATCTTGCAACCTTCGGTTGACAAATCTAGTTGCTGGTGATTTAACAGCTGTGCTAAACCTCTGGCCCTGTTACTTGAAAACAATCCCTATTACTTGAAAACAGGAACATGAACAAAGGCATGAAACTAGAAGTCTCTAAGCAGGCATGGCTTGACAAGAGCTCTTGTCTCCATTATCAACGTTGACCAGACTGCTGGGCAAAACTCCCGACCTCTCTAATATACCCAAAAAATCATGCCTTTTCTCATGAGATTCAGATATGGGCCTCTTTTCTAATAAGCACCGTGACCTTTGTATTCTTTGTTGATCAGCTCTAAGTCTACAAAAACTAGGTCTCCTATCAACAAACTCATTACCATTATATTGAAGCTCATGATTCTCAGCTCCTGGAGTTTCAGCCTCTGAATTCCTTTCCCTACAGATCAACTCCGCTGCATCCTCTGGAATTTAGCTTTGACTAGTTGGAGGCACTGACTGCTCGGTTTCAGGTCTTAAAATCTCAGGCCCAGAATCCCCATTAACAGTAATTTCAGCATAGTTTGAGGTGGACTCAGATACATTGGTGTTCACGTCTTGAATCCTTCTTCCCTCCCCAGGTCTTGATGAAGTCTTACACAGGCATCGACTACAAGGAGTTCTACAACTTACTGAAGATCATTGCGGAAAACCGGATCTACGTCCTGGAAAACCACCATCCTGAGGAAGGCGCCTCCAGGCATTGCTACCGCGCGGCCATCTCTGGCTTGGGCATGCTGCATGCCGTCTTTGACTTGAAGAGGACTGCCAAGGTCTTGACCTCTCTGAACGCCAACGAGGAATTCAAGAAACTGAACCCCGAGAAACTTGTCCCTCCTCCTCAGGCGCTCCTCCACCGCCTGAAAGCAGCAATAGACACAGCCCTCCTCTAGCTCCCCAATTGATTTTGACCACTTGCAAAAAAAAATAATGAGAAGCTTCATTTGCAAGCTGGGTTGCATGCTGAAAACATTAGTTCAATCACCCCATTTAGAAGTCTTAAGCACAGTGAATTTGTGGGCGAATGGGGGAATACAGAGGCCGAATGTTCAGGAATTCAAGTGTGTAGAAAAGTGGCAGGCTGAGAGATGAAAGCAGTCCCTTCCTAAGATTTGGGGAGGGCCCCCTGTTTGCTCACTGAGAACTAGCCATGTGACAAATGTACTAGTAGCTAGGCATAAGCAATCCATGGTTCTAAATGGTTCTAAAGTACTTACAAAACTAAAGTTCTGGTGGTGAAAACTAGGGCACGCTGGTGTTTTGCTTCTACAGTGTTGCTAAATTTCTGGTGGTGAAAATTTCAGAACTCTAACAAACTTTCAAAATTTTGCTATAAATGGCAGTTCCTAATTGGGTCTGTAATAAAAATCACCAATAATGAAATAATTAGAGTTCTGAAATTTTCACCACCAGAACTTTAGTAACACTGTAGAAGCAAAGCACCAGCACCCCCTAGTTTTCACCACCAGAACCTTTGTTTTGTAAGTACTTTAGAACCATTTAGAACAGTGTTTCTCAACCTGGGGTCGGGACCCCTAGGGGGGTCACGAGGGAGTGTCAGAGGGGTCGCCAAAGACAATCAGAAAACACAGTATTTTCTGTTGGTCGCAGGGGTTCCGTGTGGGAAGTTTGGCCCAATTCTATCATTGGTGGAGTTCAGAATGCTCTTTTATCATAGGTGAACTATAAATCCCAGCCACTACAACTCCCAAATGTCAAGGTCTATCTTCCCCAAACTGCACCAGTGTCCACATTTGGTCACATTGAGTATTCTTCCAGAATTTGTTGTTGGTCATGGGAGCTCTGTGTCCCAAGTTTGGTTCAATTCCATCATTGATGGAGTTCAGAATGCTCTTTGATATTGTAGGTGAACTATAAATCCCAGCAACTACAATTCCCAAATGACAAAATCAATCCTCCCCTCAACCCCACCAGTATCCAAATTTGGGCGTATCGAGTATTTGTGCCAAATGAATGAAAATACATCCTGCATATTGGATATTTACAAGATGATTCGTAACAGGAGCAAAATTATAGTTGCGAAGTAGCAATGAAAATAATGCTTTGGTTGGGGGTCACCACAACATAAGGAATTGTATTAAGGGGTCACAGCATTAGGATGGTTGAGAACCATTGATTTAGAACCAAGGATTGCCCATGCCTACTAGTTGCATTCGTCGCTCTAAATTAAACCCATTTATATTGGGATCCTGTAGAGCAATGGTTCTCAACCTTTGGTCAAAACACCTGGGGTCCATAGATTGAGAACCATTGCTCTACAGCAGACGTTCTCAATCTGGGGTCCCCAGATGTTTCTGGCCTTCAACTCCCAGAAATCCTAACAGCTGGTAAATTGGCTGGGATTTTTGGGAGTTGTAGGCCAAAAACATCTGGGGACCCCCAGGTTGAGGACCACTGCTGTAAAGTAAGACCACCTTATCCAAGAATTGGTCTTCCATGGTTTCACTTAACCACAAACCTGAAGTGTGACCATCTCTTGGCTCTCTACTGTGACTCTGTGATATGCTTGGGCCAGAAGTTGACCTTCTGCTTTCAATCATCTGGACAAGAGGAAAGTTTGGAGGAGATCAGCAGCAGATGACCATGGGAAGCACTGTTACCAAGCCCCCTTTAACTATGTGTCAAACCTTATATTTTCAGACGGCCGTTGACTACTTAGACTCAGTGGTTTGAGTAAGCAACTGTGATCTGAAAACATCTGCTGGTTCAGATACTATTATCTTTATTTATGTCCAAGGAAAGGTCTTGGAATGGATCTCCTGTAGAAAAGGGAGTCTTACTGTGTGCTCAAGAAGTAAGCTGCATCCAAAGGCAATAGGACTAGTTTCTGAGTGAATGTGTCTACCTATTACTTTGTGGTGGGTTTGTGGTTGCCTTTTGACCCACGGAAAGACACCTTAAATGACATTTTGAGTGTGATTGTATGGCTGGAGAACGAAAAGTGTGTGCCCCGTAGCAGTTGGCATGTTCGACTCACCTGTCCATAGCGCCCCGTTCGCCTCCCCAGTCAGTCCCTTCCTTGCAGCGTAAGAGAGACACGCCGGGAGGAGACTCCTTCTGCCTCAGGCGTGGCATCACACTTTTCAGGGACTCTGAAACATGGCAGCTGAAACAAGGACACCTTTTTACCGCGGACAAACTGTGCCAATTGCGAACTGCAAGCGCTGTTGGGAATCGCTCCCTTCAGCTGCCTTCTCGTATTCGATAACAGCCAGAACAAGGTGGGCTAAAAATGGCTGGCTTCGATTTCTGAAAATAGTTTTACATTCTTAGTGCCTCGACATTTGTAGCACAATGCTCCCTATAGAATTTAAAGCGGGGGCGAGGAATACCCTTCAAGGCTTCTTGGCATATCTAATCGCCTACATATAATCCAGTGTCAATTGTAGAAGATCCTGGTTCAGTCCTGCATTGTTTTTCTAGGGCCTGTCCTCCTCCTCCTCTTTCTCCTTGAATTATTTCTGTGCCTCTGCAAAGAATTGCAAGGAAACACCAGAAACCAGAGCCACTGAAGGTCAGCAGGGTTGGCAGGGAACGAGGGAGAAAGTGTGAGACGTTGTTCGAAAATGCTCTGAGTGATCTAGAGAAGGAGAGACAGGGCTCTTAAAGCAGGGCTGACTGGTCCAGGGGCCAATTTTTTACTTCTGTGACACTTTGGGGACTGCACGGTCTGCCTAAAAATGCACAAAAGAAACAGAAGTGGTCGAAACTCTGCTCCTGGTTTTGAAAAGGAGCATTTTATGGTTAAATAACGGGGGATAATGGAGCTGCAGGCAGTTTTGCAAGGCAGCCTTCTGGAGGCTATCCTATGAATCAATGTACAGGAGTTATCTGGAAAGTAAGGTTACAAGGCACATAGCTCTCACGGGGAATTTTCACAGGAGAAGTTGGACTCACTGCCGTGTAGCAGGAAGCCAGCGGAAGCAAACGAGCCGTGCCAGTCGTCAGTAGCTCATCAACTGGTGTTTTGGTGAAGGTTAGAGATGAGCATCCTCATTCTATTTCCCTCCAAGTATGAAATTCGCACTGTACGAGGGATATCCAGAAAATAAGGTTACAATATTGTTTTAAAATACAAACACAACAGAACAGAACAAAGAATGTATGGTCAAATGGGCTGAAAATATAGGAAGATCTATAAACTATAAAGAATGGGAGCAATTATGGAATAAGAAGATGAAATACACATACGTGACGGAGCTAAAAGAAAACCACTATAAGATGATATATAGATGGTACATGACCCCACAAAAACTAAGTATTATGTACAAGAAAGCCTCAAATAAGTGCTGGAAGCGTGAGACCCAGGTGGGAACATTTTACCATCTCTGGTGGACTTGCCCCAAGGCAAAAAATAACTGGAAGAAGATTGAGGAAATTTCCCAGAGAATATTAAACATTAAGATCCAGATGAAACCAGAATACTTTCTGTTGGGCATCACAGATGAAGACATTACTTTAGATTCAAATCAAGACACTCTCTTTACCTATCTGATGGTAGCTGCTAGAATTGTCTATGCCAGGAAATGGAAAATGAAAGAACTGAGTACGATAGAAGATTGGTTGGATAAAATACAGGATATAAAGGATATGGATAAATTGTCCTTCTATTTGAAAGACTATACTGGTTCACCTATAAGACAAACCGATTGGAAACAGTTTGAAGACTTCATGAAGAACTTTAAAGAATATAAATGACTTAAACTTATCTTCTTAGAGATATAGTGAAGGATAACATAAAGTAACAAAGAATATTCCTTTTTTAAAAGATTTAAATTGAGGAAAATATATCGCAAAGGATGAGCCGCAATAAGGAAGAAGCAAATAAAAAGAAGCAGAAGGCAAAGACGTCGAGAAGATTGGAAAGTCAACCTTCCCCTCCTTTTTCTTTTTTTCTTTTTCTTTTTTACCTTAAATTCTATCCAACCCCCATTCAGTTCAATACATGTTGTCATTTATAGGACGTGTTTTTGAAGCCTGCATCATAGAAGTTTCCCTCCGCCTTTTTCAGCCAGTTCGTCACTTCAATTTTCACCTCGTCGTTGTCGGAAAAGTGTTTTCCACCAAGGTATTCCTTCAATTTAGTGAACAGATTATAGTCACTGGTTGTGAGATTGGGGCTGTGAGAGGGGTGGCTTAAAACATCCCAACCAAATGAAGTCAACCACTCTTGTGTTGCATGAGTGGTGTGCAGACGCGCATTGTCACAAAGGAGACAGACTCCCACCATCAGCATTCCACATCATTTGTTTTGGATGGCTCTGCGAATTTTCTTTGTGGTCTCACAATATATTCCGTACCCATTTTGTCACATTCTGTCATAACATTACACCCTCTCCATAAAGTGAAACAATTTTGTGATGAATCGCAGCGGCATTTGTGCCCTTAGTATTTAGGTAGCGTATTACAGTGCATACTTTGCACTTGGAGGAAAATGGAATGAGGCCGCTCATCTCTAACTTTTAAGACAATGCCAGTCGATGAGCTACTGACGACTGGCACTGCTCGTTCGATTCTATAGGCTTCCCGTAATACGGCAATGAAACCAAAGTCTACGTGCCTTGTAACCTTACTTTCTGGATTACCCTCATACTTGTTGAGATAGGACACAAAAAAGATCAGGGTTGAGGGCCACAGGAAATGTAGCCCTATGTCTTGATTTTGCCTTGCCTTAAAGAAACAGATGGTGTTGAAAAAGGCAAGCCTGCCCCTCAAGAAATCACGCTCTGCTCTGGAAAGGTGTGGTATGGCACAAAACGAAGCTGGCACATAAAGAGCTGAGTTGTGTATATCTTGAGTTGAGTGCAGCGGTTCCAATTCGCCAACGCTCTGTCATGTCACTGAGCACAAATCCCCGTAGCTAAGGGCTCGAAACCAGTTTGTACAAGAACCCCTTTCCTGTGGCTTTTGTCAGGAGGCTTCCTTCTAAATGGGGACCGGATTGCTTTTGTTCCCCTCCACTATCTAAGCCTGCTAGATTTCCACTTGGCCCCCTTTTGCCGGGGGCCATTTTAAGCACTGAGCCCAAGTTTACTCAACCCTCGACTGTTCTGCCAAGTTGCCCTGAGACCTTTCTGAAACTGCACATTAAAACAGATATTTAAGTGTCGCCGGCGTCTCTCTTTTTCTTTCAGGCAGCGTGCGGACAGTGATATTTGTGCAAAGACATGTGTGCAGATCAATACATGTCATGCAGACAGATACTCAGTAGGACCGTGTTCTGACTGAAGTTCAATGGGGACAAATGCAAGATACTCCACTTTGGCAGAAAAAACGAAATGCAAAGAGACAGAATGGGGGACAATGCCTGGCTCAAGAGCAGAACGTGTGAAAAAGATCTTGGCGTCCTCGTGGACAACAAGTTAAACATGAGCCAACAATGTGATGTGGCGGCAAAAAAAGCCAATGGGATTTTAGTCTGCATCAATAGGAGCATAGTGTCTAGATCTAGGGAAGTCATGCTCCTCATGCTCTATTCTGCCTTGGTTAGACCACACCTGGAATATTGTGTCCAATTCTGGGCACCACAATTCAAGAGAGATATTGACAAGCTGGAATGTGTTTAGAGGAGGGCCACTAAAATGATCAAGGGTCTGGAGAACAAGCCCTATGAGGAGCGTCCTAAAGAGCTGGGCATGTTTAGCCTGAAGAAGAGAAGGCTGAGAGGAGATATGATAGCCATGTATAAATATGTGAGAGGAAGCCACAGAGAGGAGGGAGCAAGCTTGTTTTCTGCTTCCCTGGAGACCAGGATGCGAAACAATGGCTTCAAACTACAGGAAAGGAGATTCCACCTGAACATGAGGAAGAACTTCCTGACTATGAGAGCTGTTCAGCAGTGGAACATGATAGCCATATATAAATATGTGAGGGGAAGTCATAGAGAGGAGGGAGCAAACTTGTTTTCTGCTGCCCTGGAGACTAGGATGCAAAACAATGGCTTCAAACTACAGGAGGAGATTCTACCTGAACATGAGGAAGAATTTCCTGACTGTGAGAGCTGTTCAGCAGTGGAACTCTCTGCCCTGAAATGTGGTGTAGGCTCCTTCTTTGAAGGCTTTTAAACAGGCTGGATGGCCATCTGTCAGGGGTGCTTTGAATGCAATATTCCTGCTTCTTGGCAGAATGGGGTTGGACTGGATGGCCCATGAGGTCTCTTCCAACTCTGATTCTATGATTCTAAGTCGAGGAAGATTTACTCACGTCTCAGAAAATTATCTCCAGGACACTCCAGCGAGGATTTATTTAGTACAAAGTCGTTTACAATAATCTCAGATTAGCATAATAAACCGTTTACCCAGTGTATTCATACCACGAAGGAGGCAATATTGCAGGCGTTTCAGCAGTCTGTGCTTTTCTTTTTAATATAAAAAAGGCATTGTTCAGTCAAGTCTAAAAGGGTTCCTAAAGCTTCCACTCTTTTGCCATTTCAAATCAAATTAGTGTTTTCTCTTCCAGTCGCTTTCAAAGAAACCATTGTTTTCGGCTGTCAGGAAAGACTCCAAAGGAGCCAGTGCCGACTGAGTCCCAAACCAGCCCCTTGCCGGTACATCCGTGATCCGATAAAACATCAATTTGCATTTACATTAAACTTGTCAGTTCCCTTATCATGGGTGTTTCTTTCAGAAAACAGGTTTCTCAGACACAATTTGGGTGCAGAACGTAGGGTTGAATTAAGGGTTTGCCTATTCAGGTGTGATGGAGGTACAGTAGAGTCTCACTTATCCGACATTCCGTCTTACCCAACGCCCCCTTTTTCCTCCAGCATTTCTCCTTCAATTAAAGGAATGCTCCCCAACTCTCTTCGTTCCCAATTAGTGAAAAAAGCAAGAAGAGGAGGAGGGAGGAAAGGGGGGAAAGAAGCAGGACCGGAAGAGGAAGCGTCCTCCCTCCTTCCCTCTGTGATATCCGCGCTCCTCTTCCACATCCGGGCACTTCCTGCTGGGATGCTTTAGCCCCAAGGCATTAGCCCCAAGGCATTTGATTCCTTGTTAGTATTCTAGATGTCTAGCACCATGTCGGATGTAAGAGATTCCGTATTATCTGACATTTTTGTTTATCCGATGTTCTTCCAGACCATATATGTCGGATAAGCGAGACTACTATGCTTAAAAAAACTAGATGCAGTGAGAATCCTGAAAAATTCTCATGCAATAGTTGGATTGTGTTTACGGTCTCATCCAAAGATGACCTTACATTTCAACACTTGGATGCAGCTCAATGTTATTCCAGTCCATATATGTTGGATAAGCGAGACTCTACTGTGCTTAAAAAACTAGATGCAGAGAGAATCCTGAAAAATTCTCATGCAATAGTTGGATTGTGTTTAGAGTCTCATCCAAAGATGACCTTACATTTCAACACTTGGATGCAGCTCAATGTTATTCCAGCCCATATATGTCGGATAAGCGAGACTCTACTGTGCTTAAAAAACTAGATGCAGTGAGAATCCTGAAAAATTCTCATGCAATAGTTGGATTGTGTTTACAGTCTCATCCAAAGATGACCTTACATTTCAACACTTGGATGCAGCTCAATGTTCTTCCAGCCCATATATGTCGGATAAGTGAGACTCTACTGTGCTTAAAAAACTAGATGCAGAGAGAATCCTGAAAAATTATCATGCAATACTTGGATTGTGTTTACAATCTCATCCAAAGATGACCTTACATTTCAACACTTGGATGCAGCTTTTTGGAGCTGTCTGCATCCCGCAAAGGTGACCAGAAATGGCTTATAGTGGGAGACGGGGTCAAAAAAGTGTCTATTTGGTGCAATGCAGCCAACAGAAAGGGTCAGTTCCCAAAAGACAGACTTTGAGCTGCATTTCCAGGAAGGGATTGTATTTAAATCTCACCACAGAGATCATTCTTTAAGTAAGAGGTGTAAAAACAGGAAAGTAGCAGCTATTTTAAAAATGGAATCCATAAAAGAGAGAAGGTTAAAAGTAATACTTGTTTTGCTACTGAATGTGTTTCTTGCTTGGCAGTGGCAGAGAGAAGTGCATGTATTGTCGAAGGCTTTCGTGGCCGGAATCACTGGGTTGTTGTAGGTTTTTCCGGGCTATATGGCCATGTTCTAGAGGCATTTTCTCCTGACGTTTCGCCTGCATCTATGGCAAGCATCCTCACTACCCTCTGAGGATGCTTGCCATAGATGCAGGCGAAACGTCAGGAGAGAATGCCTCTAGAACATGGCCATATAGCCCGGAAACTACAACAACCCAGAAGTGCATGTGTTTGTCAAAGGTGAGCCTGCCTCGTGAATGTGGCTACGGCATCAATTGAGTTCGCATTGTACTCATGTCAGTCAAGGAGCCGATATTCTGAAACAAGTGGATTTCAATCTAGGCAAAGTAACGTTTGTCAACAGCAGAGATATACATTAAAATGTTCAGGCTTGAATACAATGATTATTCCTAAGTAAAGTAAACCCACTGAAGCAAGGGAACTTCCATTGGGTTTAGTGTATTGTCGAAGGCTTTCATGGCCGGAATCACTGGGTTGTTGTAGGTTTTTTCAGGCTATATGGCCATGTTCTAGAGGCATTCTCTCCTGACGTTTCCTGCATCTATGGCAAGCATCCTCAGAGGTAGTGAGGTCTCACAGACCTCACAACCTTTGAGGATACCTGTCATAGATGTAGGGGAAATGTCAGGGCCACATTCACTACCTCTGAGGATGCTTGCCATAGATGCAGGTGAAACGTCAGGAGAGAATCCTCTAGAACATGGCCATATAGCCTGAAAAAACCTATAACAACCCAGTGATTCTGGCCATGAAAGCCTTCGACAATACATACTACATGGGACTGTTCCAGAGTAATTTAAGGCAAGGCCAACTTACTCAGGGTTGTGAGTTTTCACACACCTTCACAACCTTGAGGCTGCCATAGTAGATGCAGGTGAAACGTCAGGAGAGAATGCTTCTAGAACATGGCCATATAGCCTAAAAAACCTACAACAACCCAGTGATGTGAGTTTTCTGGGTTGTATGACCATGTTCCAGAAGCATTCTCTCCTGACGTTTCACATGCATCTATGGCAGGCATCCTCAGAGGTTGTGAGGTCTCACACAACTCACAACCTTTGAGGATGCCTGTCATAGATGTAGGCGAAACGTCAGGAGAGAATGCCTCTGGAACATGGCCATACAGCCCAGAAAACTCACAACAGACTAGTGATTCTGGCTATGAAAGCCTTTAGAAGCATTCTCTCCTGACGTTTCACATGCATCTATGGCAGGCATCCTCAGAGGTTGTGAGGTCTCACACAACTCACAACCTTTGAGGATGCCTGTCATAGATGTAGGCGAAACGTCAGGAGAGAATGCCTCTGGAACATGGCCATACAGCCCAGAAAACTCACAACAGACTAGTGATTCTGGCTATGAAAGCCTTTGACAATACAGCTTTCACTGCGTTGGATGACTGTGTTGCCATTGTTCCAGTAAGTCTACCCAAGTTTGGAGTTGGACCAATAGGGTTTAGGCCTGAGATGACAACTTGGGTTACATCAGAAGAAAAATCTTATATCCTCAATATCATCAAAAACTTGACATAATGTAATTAAATCAACTTATCTTCAAGCCATGCTGCAAGTATAATCTAAGGAAATCAAAACAATGGGGGAAGCTAATGGCAAACTGCAGAGAGCAGAATTGGAAATAAAAAAGGTATTCTATGCAATGGATTAAAATCAGAGTGACTGCTTCTGGTGTCAGTTGCAGGAAACTACTACTCCTCTCCCAAGTATTAAATGGTTATGTTCCCTTTTTGGAAAGGAAAAGATGCTTTGGCAAAGCAGTGAGATACGGAAATGGACTACTGCACACAACCGAGTCCCTTTGTGTCCATCCCATCACGTCAATTTCAAAGAAATCGTGGAATTAAAAACCAAGCGAGCTTCCCATAGGAAAGACCAATACAAACAGCAGCAACAAGGCAAGGTCCTTCTTGTTAACGGAAACCTCCAGCTCCGGGGCTGGCGGAATTGAGCGAGGATACGGGCAATTGCAGTGTGCCATTTTCAGGAAGATTGCAAGGCCTCCCAGTTCTGGTGGAGTCTGAATTCCTTCTGGATCAGTTCGTAGCAGGACTGGCGATGGAAAAGCACAAGGAGGAAGAAGAAAGAGTGTATGCTTAAGTAGAGCACCCATGAGAATGCTAAAAACAATATTTAAATAAATAAAACAATTTCAAGATCAATTTAAACCAACTATGAGTGTTTAGTTTGGAGAGGCACCAGGACTCCTTGGCCAAGAAGGCTCAAAATTTTGCAAAACTAAAACTTGGGCATGGGCAAACTTGGGCCCTCCAGGTGTTTTGGACGCCAACTCCCACCATTCCTAACAGCCTCAGGCCCCTTCCTTTTCCCCCTCAGCCACTTAAGCGCTTAAGGAAAGGTGCTGAGGCTGCCGAGGGGGTAAAGGAAAAGGACTGAGGCTGCCGAGGGGGGAAAGGACTGAGGCTGCCGAGAGGGAAAAGGAAAGGGACTGAGGCTGCCGAGGGGGAAAAGAAAAGGGACTGAGGCTGCCGAGGGGGAAAAGGAAAGGGACTGAGGCTGCCGAGGGCAAAAGAAAAGGGCCTGAGGCTGCCAAGGGGGTAAAGGAAAGGTGCCAAGGCTGCCGAGGGGGAAAAGGAAGGTTCCTGAGGCTACCGAGGGGGGAAAGGAAAGGGACTGAGGCTGTTAGGAATATTGGGAGTTGAAGTCCAAAACACCTGGAGGTCTCAAGTTTGCCCATGCCTGATTTAGATTCATTCTCTGAAACAAAACACACAATTTGCCCGTGTTTTGACCACAACAATCATCGTGCATTTTCTAGCTTCTCCTCACCTCCAGTGCGGTAAGCAGGAAATCGTGCTTGCCCCCTTCATTGGCTGGGTCCATCAGATCTCTGATCAAGTGGATCTCTGCTCCTAGATGCTGTATGCTAGAAGGAGAAGACAAGGCCATTTTGTTACGACATAATACTCTTGTGAACCTTAAAGATCAACTACGTCGTCCCGCAACTTCCCATATAGTCAGCCTGGAGGACTTATAGTCAGCCTGGAGGACTTAGAAGTTGACCTTAGAATCTCACTGAAGGACCTAAAGGTTCTTAGAGAGGTATTCCCTCAGTTTTTTTCTAGTTGGCCCATGAGGTCTCTTCCAACTCTTTGATTCTATGATTCTATGATTCTCTGACTTGCACCATTGCTGGCTCATCATGCAGATATCATAGCCAAAATCAAGTAGCAAGATGCATAGAATCAACAGAATTTACAAAAGCTTCACAGAGCACAGAACGACTACGCTGGTTCTCAGGGCAAAAGAGGAATCTCAGGGTGTCTTGAAATGGAATTGTATTTAGATATGCTTCCTTTATTTGGTAGATTTAGTGTGCTTGATTCGAATGACTTACTACTGTGGTTGATGCTTAATGTTTCACGTTTCATGCCATCATCTTTAGATGTTGGATCATTGCTAGGTATCGTTTTTGGAGCTCCAACCTCAGAGCCAGCAACAGTCCTGACTTGGCAACTCTAAACTTATGAAAGTATGGGCCAGGAAGCCAAATTGTTCCTATATCCATCATCTCAAAGAATGCAGAAAGAGAGGCTGGGAGCCTACCTTGCCCGCGTCACGACATACATCAGCATCGGCAAGAGATCATCCATCGTTAGGCTATATTCCCTCTCCAGAACTCGGTTGGTGGTCTTTTCAATCTCCTCGTACGTCTTTTGGAGAATGTCCAGCTTCTCCCGTGGGTCAACAGTAGTGCTGCAAAGAGAAGGATTGGGGTTTCTGTAAAGCCATGCTTACTTACTTAGGCAATCCCTCGTAGCCTGAAGATGATGGTCCTCCAAGCCTTGCAGTATCCCAGGGAGTCAATATTTCTCCATCCGGCCAACCTTGGAAAGTTGTTGTACAGGAAAGGAGGGAAAGCACAATGCCATTTGTGTTCATCTTCACAAAGAAAGGATTAAAAGCAATTGGGAAAGTATTTCCATCTGCTAGAGATACCACAGACTTACATCAATTTCTGTAGACATTCAGTTGCAGAAAGAAAGCACCGGTCTTTGATAAGGGAGCGTCTCTAAAAGGTAAATAAAGCAAACAACAAATGTTAATCCAGTATACACAATTAGACATGCATTTTTAAAAGGCTGTTCCTAGCTGTTTCCATCTGCAGACTTCAATAATAGCATCAGTGAAAATCTGAAACAGCATTATTTGATTGTAACAATTATGTCGATTATTTTTTCGTGTCAGGAGCGACTTGAGAAACTGCAAGTTGCTTCTGGTGTGAGAGAATTGGCCATCTGCGAGGATGTTTCCCAAGGGATGCCTGGATGTTTTACCATCCTTTGAGAGGCTTCTCTCATGTCCGCACATGAGGAGCTGGAGCTGACAGAGGGAGCTCACCCCGCTCCCTAGATTTGAATCACCGACCTTTTGGTCGGCAGTCCTTCCAGCGCAAGAGTTTAACCCATTGTGCCGCCATTATGTCAACATGACTCGCAGTAAGAGATGACTGTGACTCACCTGGTTAGTTGTCAGTGTGAGATCTTTCAGGGGCCAAAAGTGTCTGAAACAAAGAAGGAGGAGAGTAAAGGTTTTCCAAAGAACTGGAAAATAATATATTCACACTTAGAGTGCATTTACACTGTAGAATGAATGCAGTTTGGAACCACTTTAAATGCCATGACACAATGCTACACAGTCATGGGAGTTGTAGTTTTACAAGGTCTTATGTCAAAGAGAGTGAGTGTCTTGCCAAACTACAATGTGTCAAAAGTCAGAAATGACTTGAAGGCACACAACAATATGTCCCCTCTTCGCTGGGCTAAACACACCCAGCTCACTAAAGATTTGTGTTTCAGACCTTTTATTCTCATATTATTATCTATATAAATAAAAATGTCATGTTCGTTTGTGGGATTAACAGAACTCAAAAACCACTGGACGAATTGACACCAAATTTGGACACAAGACACCTAACAGCCCAATGTATGCCTTTAACTTAAAAAAATTGATTTTGTCATTTGGGAGTTGCAGTTGCTGGGATTTATAGTTCACCTACAATCAAAGAATATTCTGAACCCCACCAACGATGGAATTGAACCAAACTTGGCACACGGTTCTCCCATGACCAACAGAAAATACTGGAAGGATTTGGTGGGCAGTATCCTTTGGATTTGGAGTTGTAGTTCACCTACATCCAGAGATCACTGTGGACTCAAGCAATGATGGATCTGGACCAAACTCTACAAGAATACTCAATACGCCCAAATGTGAACACTGGTGGAATTTGGGGAAAATAGAATCTTGACATTTGGGAGTTGTAGTTGCTGGGATTTATAGTTCACCTACAATCACAGAGCATTCTGAACCCCACCAACGATAGAATTGGGCCAAACCTCCCACACAGAACCCCCATGTGGGCCACAGCAACGTGTGGCAGGGGACGGCTAGTAATATAATAATAAAAATATGTTATTATATCAGATTATTATAATTTTAAAAATTTAATTCTGTGACTTGGGTACACAATTTGTGATTCAAATTGTGTGCTTCTAGGGAAGACTGCTAGCTTCCCAGAGCACTTGCAAGGAATAGCATGATATATATTGATCATCCAAATTGTAGAAATGTTATAATCTGTGTTTACAAAGCAATTTAAATGCTTCTGAATGAGTATAGTCATGGCTTCTTTCTAAGCTATTGCAACTTGGTCCCAGCATAGCTGAATGGCTTAAGCAATGGTCTCAGATCCTGGATACCTAGGTTTGAATCCCCACTTGGTCATGGAAACCCATTTGGTGACCACGAATCACCAAATGGGTGACTCTCAGTGCTAGAAAATCCCATTGGATCCCCCTCATCTGGTAGAAACGGCTTTAAGGTGCACAACAACCATACACGTGTGATATAAGATAGACGATAGAGCCGTCTGTCTTGCTGAAATAGCATACTTTTGGACATCGAGAAACTCTAGCAGCTTCACATCCGGAAAGAGACTCAGGTCGACAATCCCCTGGCAGTAAAGGTCATCCTCCTTTTCGTGGTAAAGCATGTACAACATCAGGAGCTCTGGGTAGAAACACGGCAGGATGAGCGGCAGGATCAGGGCCGGTCCATTCAGGTCACTAAATGGGAAGAAAAACCAAGACAGAGTACCAAATTTATTTTATTTGTCGTGTCAGGGGCAACCAGTCAATTGTATTACATTTCTAACAGAACAAAACAAATAAACAGACAAAACACAAAATTTGCAAGTTTGGTAGTTGATTTGACCAGTCCTTTGACCAGTACTTACTTAGGCGATCCCTCGCTTTCCGAGGAGGATTGTCTTCCAATATTCTTGTGGGTCCGTATGTGGCTGTGGAGCCCTATTCTTGCTCTGCATCTTCTTCTGCAGTGAGGGCATCGGTTTCCAGGTGGAAGGCGGTCTCGGTCGGGGTTGGCTTGACGCGCCTTCCTCTTGGCACGTTTCTCTTTTTCACCCTCCACTCGTGCCTCCTCAAATTCTGCAGCACTGCTGGTCACAGCTGACCTCCAGCTGGAGCGGTCAAGGGCCAGGGCTTCCCAGTTCTCACAGTCTATGCCAGAGTTTTTAAGGTTGGCTTTGAGCCCATCTTTAAATCTCTTTTCCTGTCCTCCAACATTCCGTTTTCCGTTCTTGAGTTCGGAGTAGAGCAACTGCTTTGGGAGACGGTGGTCGGGCATCCGGACAACGTGGCCGGTCCAGCGGAGTTGATGGCGGAGGACCATCGCTTCAATGCTGGTGGTCTTTGCTTCTTCCAGCACGCTGACGTTTGTCCGCTTGTCTTCCCAAGAGATTTACAGGATTTTCCGGAGGCAGCGCTGATGGAATCGTTCCAGGAGTTGCATGTGACGTCTGTAGACAGTCCACGTCTCACAGGCATATAGCAGGGTTGGGAGGACAATAGCTTTATAAACAAGCACCTTGGTATCCCTACGGATGTCCCGGTCCTCAAACACTCTCTGCTTCATTCGGAAAAATGCTGCACTTGCAGAGCTCAGGCAGTGTTGTATTTCGGTGTCGATGTTGACTTTGGTGGAGAGGTGGCTGCCAAGGTAGCGGAAATGATCAACATTTTCTAATGTTACACCATTAAGCTGTATCTGGCATTGGAGAGGGGTTGGCTGGTGACTGCTGGAAAAGCACCTTGGTTTTTTCAATGTTCAATGACAGGCCGAGCTTCTCGTATGCTTCTGCGAAGGTGTTTAGAGTGGCTTGTAGAGCTTCTTCTGAATGCGCACAGACGACATTGTCATCAGCATACTGGAGTTCTATAACAGATGTTGTTGTAACCTTGGTTTTGGCTTTCAGTCTGCTGAGGTTGATAGCTTGCCATCTGTCCGATAGATGATTTCCACTCCGGTGGGAAGCTTCCCATCAACAAGGTGAAGTATCATAGTGATGAAGATGGAGAATATAGTTGGGGCAATAACACATCCCTGTTTGACACCCGATTCCACCTTAAATGGGTCACTTTGGAGCCATTGCTGTCCAAGACTGTTGCCATCATGTCATCATGGAGGAGCCGCAGGATGTTCACAAATTTGTTTGGGCACCCAATTTTTTGGAGGATGGTCCAGAGAGCGCTGCGATTCACTGTGTCGAATGCCTTTGCAAGGTCGATGAATGCCATGGACAGAGGTTGATTTTGCTCTCTGCATTTTTCTTGGAGCTGTCGTGCAGTGAAGATCATGTCCACGGTTCCTCTGGAGGGGCGGAAGCCGTTCTGGGATTCTGGGAGGGTGTCTTCTGAGAGGGGCAGAAGTTTGGTAGTTGATTAAATGTCCTTTGACCAGTATCTGGCTACTTGGAGTGCTTCTGGTGTTGCTGCAAGAAGGTCCTCCCTTGTGCATGTGGCAGGGCTCAGGTTGCATTGCAGCAGGTGGTCAGTGGTTTGCTCCTCTCCACACTCGCATGTTGTGGATTCCACTTTGTAGCCCCATTTCCTGAGGTTGGCTCTGCATCTTGTGGTGCCCGAGCGCAGTCCGTTCAGCGCCTTATTATTATTATTATTATTATTATTATTATTATTATTATTAACTTTATTTGTACCCCGGCGCTAGCATCTCCCGAAGGACTCGATGCGGCTTACACAGGCCGAAGCCTCAAAACACAATACAATAGAAACATAACACAATAATAAACAAAGCAAATCAAAACAATTAAGCAAAATAACAACAGTGACAATACATCAAGACACTATTAAAACTGGTTCGGCCGGCGCAATGGGGTACAGGGGTTAAAAGTGCTGAAATGGCAGGAGGAACGTAGGATTAAAGGTGCGGTGTGCAGTAACAGTGGTTGTGCTAAAGTGCTTCTAGGGCTTGGGATGGGGGATTCCTAATCTGAGAAGGCACATCAGAACAGCCAAGTTTTTAGGTTCTTTCTGAAAGCTGCTAAAGTAGGGGCCTGTCGAAGATCTTTTGGAAGGGCGTTCCAAAGTCGGGGGGCAGCCACAGATCATGTCTCAAACTTGATGATCATGCCTCAAGCCTTCTCATACTGAGGCCTACTAACACACTGAAGCTTCTTTAACATTGAGGGCTACTAAGCTATAGACACACCCGCTAATTTGAACTGCACCTTTTGCTGAGTCATTGTATCCATTTCACCTTTTCAGCGCTTGACTCACATTTTTGTAATTAAAAATACCTAGTTAATTTTAATATTTCTGACAAGCCCCACTCCTTCAGCCTCAGAGAATAGCAACGGCAAGCCCTCAATAAATCTTGCCAAGAACACTATTGAAGAAGGTTGCCATAAGTTAGACTCAACCTCAACGCAGATAACAACTTGCTCCATGTTTGGGGCACATATCTAAGACCTCTTGAAGAAAGTTGTTATTGTGTTCCTTCAAGTCATTTTTACTTATATTGACTTTAGCAAAAAAAAATTGGAGGAAGAGTTGGCCCCTGCCTTCCTCTGACTCTGGGAGAGTGGGACCAACCCAAGGTTCACCCAATGGATTTCCATGGCCAAGCGGGGAATTAGATTTTGGTCTACAGAATCATCTCCCAATGCCCAGATTCTCATAGTATCTCACTACAACACACAGGAGACAAAGGCTCAAATACCCTTTCTGCCAAGAAAATCCACTACATGTTTCTGGGAAAGTTGCATTCTGAGCTGGCCATGTGTAGTTCTTCATCCCTCCTAGAAGCTTCATTTTGAGCAGGATATAGACAAGCTGGTGCCGTTCCAGAGAAGGGCAACAAGAATGAAGAAGCATGGAGGACAACACCCATTAGGAAAGGTTGAAGGAGATGAAGTGGTTCAGCTTGGTGAAAAGAAGACGTGGTTGTCCTCTTGAAACATCTCAAGAGTTGACCCAGAAAAGAGTGTGGATGCCAGCCCCAAAGTGGTAGGACCAGGTCTAATGGTTCAAGGTTACAGAAGGGTGGATTTGGACTGAACATGAAAATCAGCTTGGTGGTAGTGGAACCTTCTTCTTGGGATGTCTCCAAAAAGAGCATGGACAGGTCCCTGCTGGGGATACTCCAGTTGGAGATCCTGCATTGAACAGGGATTGGACTCCAAAGGGATTGAGTTATGGGTGAGGGTATTCCAGAGACCCCAGACACAACAAACATGGGGCCAGGGTGACACATCATGATGTCTTGTTCCTACCCCATGTGCCATTACCTCTGCTCCATGTCTTCAAGTGATGGTTGACCATTGACCTTCAAAGCCAGATCCCGTAAGCCTCTAAAACATGTCAACAGAGAGGGGAAAATATTATGCTGAGCCTCTGGCCTGCAGAAAATTGCTGTTCACTTTCCCCATGCTCAACCCTTCCCCAATAAGAGGGAACAAGTCTAAATGACTTTTCCTCTTTTCACTAGTATATACATACCATCCCAATGATTTCCATGGTCTCAGAAAACCAAGTAGATTATTGAAAGAACCTTGTGGGGAAAGGTGAAAATCACTACCATCCCCGTATCTATGGGGGATACATTCCAATGAATACTGGAAACCATGGATAATAGTGAACCCTATATGTTGACTATACTTGGGTTGGAAGCATATCATATAATTGAACTGGAGGACTCAGAGCAGGTACGGGCCAACTTCAGCCCTCCAGGTGTTTTGGACTTAAACTCCCACAATTCCTAACAGCCTACTGGTTGTTACGAATTGTGGGAGATGAAGTCCAATACGCCTGGAGGGCTGAAGTTGGCCCATACTTGACCTAGAGAGACCCTCAAACACTTCTATTTGTGGACATCTTTAGGTCCTTCAGTGTAACATATACTTTGTTATGTGTTGGAGTTCAGCCTGTGATTGTGTTTCAGGATCAGGGTGCTTTGGATGTGGGAAGTGATGTCATGATGTCATGATGAATGTCATGATGGCAATGGTTTGGTCAATGATATTGATGCAGAGAAGAACCAGGAGACCCCTGTGCAAAGTGTAGTTTCCCATGAGAATGTCCCTGTGGGTGTGAGGATAATAGTGTACTCCCTGAATTGCTACCAGAGGGTTCCCAGGATTTAGGGCTTGAAAACAACTGGGCATCTGGCCCAGCTGTGAGACTTAATGAACAAATAGGAAGAGGAAATTAATCAAAATAGACAGGCCAAACAGTGCCTTTGGCGTTCTTCAGGCTTCAACAGAAAAAGATAAGGGGATCTCAAGTAAAATGAAACCAAGTCCTGAGTGTGTAGAATAGCTTAATGAGGGGATAAAAAGTTCCAAGTATTGGAAATATAGTCAGATGAAGTATCGTTGGAATCAAGTGTAGTTCTTGTCCTTTTGTTTCATGGAAGCTTTGCCTGGAAGATACTTGTCTAAGTATTTCTTGTTCATGGTGTGGATTATTGGAATGTATGAATGCCTACTCATGCCTTGGATTAATGTTTCCTATTTTTCCTGAATTATATTCGTATGGACTTTAGGTTCTTGTGGGTTTTTTCGGGCTATAGAGCCATGTTCTAGAGGCATTTCTCCTGACGTTTCGCCTGCATCTATGGCAAGCATCCTCAGAGGTAGTGAGGTCTGTTGGAAGTAGGAAAATGGGTTTATATATCTGTGGAATGACCTGAGTGGGACAAAGGACTTTTCTGCTGGAGCTAGGTGTGAATGTTTCAACTGACCACCTTCATTAGCATTTGAAGGCCTGACTGAGCCTGGGAAAATCTCTTGCTGAGAGGTGTTAAGATGTGCCTGGTTGTTTCCTCTCTGTTGTTTTGCTGTTGTAATTTTAGAGTTTTTTAATACTGGTAGCCAGATTTTGTTCATTTTCATGGTTTCCTCCTTTCTGTTGAAATTGTCCACATGCTTGTGGATTTCAATGGTTTCTCTGTGTAGTCTGACATGGTGGTTGTGAGAGTGGTCCAGCATTTCTGTGTTCTCAAATAATATGCTGTGTCCAGGTTGGTTCATCAGGTGCTCTGCTATGGCTGACTTCTCTGGTTGAAGTAGTCTGCAGTGCCTTTCATGTTCCTTGATGCGTGTCTGGGCGCTGCGTTTGGTGGTCCCTATGTAGACTTGTCCACAGCTGCATGGTATACGGTAGACTCCTGCAGAGGTGAGAGGATCCCTCTTGTCCTTTGCTGAACGTAGCATTTGTTGGATTTTCTTGGTGGGTTTGTAGATTGTTTGTATGTTGTGTTTCCTCATCAGCTTCCCTATGCGGTCAGTGGTTCCCTTGATGTGTGGCAGGAACACTTTTCCTCTGGGTGGATCTTCATCTTTACTCTCGTGGCTTGTTCTTGGTCTTGCAGCTCTTCTGATGTCTGAGGTGGAGTATCCATTGGCCTGGAGAGCCCAGTTGAGGTGGTTCAGTTCATCTTGGAGGAGGTGGGGTTCGCAGATTCTTTTTGCACAGTCTGCCAAGGCTTTAATGGTGCTTCTTTTTTGACTTGGGTGATGGTTGGAGTTTTTATGTAGATATCTATCTGTGTGTGTGGGTTTTCTGTAGACGGTGTGACCAATTGTTGATCTGGTTTGCGGATGACTAGGACATCTAGAAAAGGCAGTCTTCCTTCATTTTCTTTTTCCATGGTGAACTGGATGTTTGGGTGGATGCTGTTAAGATGGTCCAGGAACCTGTTGAGTTCTTCTTCTCCATGGCTCCAAATGGTGAAGGTGTCATCCACATATCTGAACCATATAGTGGGCTTTTTGGTTGCTGTCTCCAGGGCTTGTTTTTCAAAGTGTTCCATGTAGAAGTTAGCTATGACCGGGCTGAGAGGGCTCCCCATAGCTACTCCATCTTTCTGTTCGTAGAATTCATTGTCCCACTGAAAGTAACTGGTGGTAAGGCAATGGTGAAACAGAGCCGTGATGTCTTCTGGGAACCTCTGGTTGATGAGTGCCATGGTGTCTGCTACCGGGACCATGGTAAATAGAGATACCACATCGAAGCTGATCAGTTGGACTTTGTTTTTATGGACTTTGCTGGATTTTACCCTGGACTATTTTTGCTCTTGCTTATCTTTTTACCTAATTGGATTTACCTATTTCTTTAAAGTGCTTTTTACTTTCTGCTTTTTAATTATCTTTGATAAAAGGATTGTTTTTCAATCAATGGTGTGATGTTTACAGTCAGAAGGCTTTTCCTGTCCTGGAGTGCAACATTAGCGTACCATGCAGATTCATACTGGAGGACTAGAGAGTCCCGCAAACACTTCCCCTGGTCTCTACGCAGTTCTCCCACCCTTGAACTAGTAGATGCTCAACTACATCTCTGTTGCAGAATTTGTTATCAAGCAAATTGTGCAAGACATCAAGTGCTACATGATTTAATGACCTCTAAAGCCAAGGAATGGGCTGCCTTCAAGAGCATTCCAGCATACAATAGACTTACTGGTAGAATTCCCACACTTCCTTTGCGTAATGCTTGACTTCCTCTTGCGCCATTGCCAGGAGGTGCTTGTTTGCTCCGATGCCGCCATAGGTCGCCTGGAATGCCGAGGTCAGAGCCTTCAGGAGTTTCCCTAAAGGATGCAAAGAAGACTTCAAAGCCTGCGAAGAAGGAGGAAAAAAAGGCTTCTTATCATATAGAACAGGGATGGAGAGAAAACTTCATAACTATTCTTTCCCAGGTTTATGAAAAATTTGGAAAACCCACTGGGAAAAGTGACAGACCAGCAAGACATTGACAGAACTCCGGTCTGGCATTCAAATGATTCAAAGTGTTGGAGATGAACTTTTCCATGAAGAAAGACACTTAAGTATTTACTTTTTTAAAATCTTGGGTGTATGTACATAGAGAAATTAGTGCAATTTGACACCACTTTAACAGCCATGGCTCAATGCTAAAGTATCCTGGGATTTGTAGTTTGGTGAGGCACCAGTACTCTTTTCCAGAAAAGGGTAAATACTTGAAAACTACAACTCTCACGGTTGATCACCATACCTCTTCCAAGTAGCTTTGCAGGGCTTCCGTCTCCTGGTGTTCAAGTAGTTCCTCAAGCAGGTTCTTGGGAGCCTCTTCAGTTTCCCTGCAGAACAACAATGAACAGAATATGACTATCAAGTTTGTATCTACACCTACCATCAGCCCTTCACATTTGCTGGTGTTCAGCCCCTATAAAAAAATGGAAAACCCATAAATTAAAAAAAAAAACCCTGCTATTTTTAACATAAGAGAACACCTCTTGAAGAATCTCTAGGTCTTCCTACGCAATGCTGTGGTCAACCAATGTTGGTCAACTTTGGTGGATTAAACTAAAATGTTTTCTCTAGGAATCTCCTGATTTTAGCTCCAACTGTGCAGAAGTTGTCAAGCCCTAAACAGTTCTGACCCAGCTTACCTGTCCGAACTCATCTCTCCCTATGAACTATCTAGGTGCTTAAGATCATCTGGAGAGGCCCTGCTCTCGGTCCCGCCCCCTTCGCAGATGCAATTGGCGGGAATAGCTAGTGTTGTACCCTTGTCAAATTCTGAGTGTTTGGATAAGGAGGAAGGGGATGCTGGGAGAGATTCAGAGGGAGTAGAGGAGACTGGAAGTGGCCCTGACAGGTGTTCCCAAGGGAATGGCGATAACTGTTCATATGGGAACTTGCCAGAAGTGCAGGCTGAGAGAAATGGGGGAGACAAAAGTTTGTTGAGGTCAAGGTGATTCGAACTAAGATGCAATTAAGACAGAATTAGAGATAAGGGAAGGCAGGTGCAGGAGACATGATCTCATGGGAGGAATTCTGACTTTTTAAAAGTGGTTCATTCTGGTACAATCTTAGTGAGAGCAATGCTGCATTCAGGTGAAGAGCTCTCAGTTTCTTGGGGCCTGTGTTCTTGGAATTCATGTATTCAAGTTTCAAGCTGTTTCTGTTTTTAGTTCAGGTGAGGCATAGTTTGCCTGTCTTGGATTCATGCGTCTTGCCTTTGGAAATCTTGGGGAATTGCTGTTGGGAACTTTCTTTGAATGGATTTTTGAACTCTCCGTTTTCATGGACATAACCTTTTGAACTTTGATTCTATCTTTTGAACTTGCTTGTTTTTTATATACTCTGCTTTTAATAAACTTTTACTTATTGGATTACCTAGGCAGTGTGTGATTTGAGGTGAAAAGAGACTTCAGGGCCCTAGTGCAACAGCTAGGGCTTCTGGGAGTTGGAGTTTGAAATGCCTGGAGGGCCACAAGTTTGACACCTCTGGTCTAGAGTCTCCATTACCATCTACCTGAACCTTTTTAACTGCCTGCTGATGTGGCAGCTTAAAAAGCCAATGCAATTCTAGGTGGAGTCAATACGAGTTTAATGTCTTTATCAAGGAAATGTCATAGTCCCACTCTCTTCTCCCCATGACCTTCTGGCAAGGAAACTAGTCCAGTGTGGGCTAGGCAAAACTACGGTGAGGTGGATCTGTAATTGGTTAAATGGATGAACCCAGAGAGTGATTCTCACCAATGCTTCCTCTTCATCTTGGAAAGAAGTGACAAGTGGAGTGCCACAGGGTTCCGTCCTGGGCCCGGTCCTGTTCAGGATCTTTATTAATGACTTAGATGAAGGGTTAGAAGGTGGGATCATCAAGTTTGCAGACGACACCAAATGGGGAGGGAGAGCCAATACTCCAGAGGACAGGAGCAGGATTCAAAATGATCTTGACAGATTAGAGAGATGATGGGCCAAAACTAACAAAATGAAGTTCAGTGACAAATACAAGATACTCCACTTTGGCAGAAAAAATGAAATGCAAAGATACAGAATGGGGGACGCCTGGCTCGAGAGCAGTACGTGTGAAAAAGATCTTGGAGTCCTCGTGGACAACAAGTTAAACATGAGCCAGGAATGTGATGTGGCGGCAAAAAAAAGCCAATGGGATTTTGGCCTGCATCAATAGGAGCATAGTGTCTAGATCTAGGGAAGTAATGCTCCCCATGCTCTATTCGCTTTGGTTAGACCACACCTGGAATATTGTGTCCAATTCTGGGCACCACAATTCAAGAGAGATATTGACAAGATGGAATGTGTCCAGAGGAGGGCGACTAAAATGATCAAGGGTCTGGAGAACAAGCCCTATGAGGAGCGGCTTAAGGAGCTGGGCATGTTTAGCCTGAAGAAGAGAAGGCTGAGAGGAGATATGATAGCCATGTATAAATATGTGAGAGGAAGCCACAGGGAGGCGGGAGCAAGCTTGTTTTCTGCTTCCTTGGAGACTAGGACGCGGAACAATGGCTTCAAACTACAAGAGAGGAGATTCCATCTGAACATGAGGAAGAACTTCCTGACTGTGAGAGCCGTTCAGCAGTGGAACTCTCTGCCCTGGAGTGTGGTGGAGGCTCCTTCTTTGGGAGCTTTTAAACAGAGGCTGGATGGCCATCTGTCAGGGGTAATTTGAATGCAACATTCCTGCTTCTTGGCAGAATGGGCTTGGACTGGATGGCCCAGGAGGTCTCTTCCAACTCTTAGATTCTATGATTCTATGATTGGTTAGACTTCCCCTGGAATAATAACCTTGTGTCCTGTTCTGGGCAAAGCAATTCAGGAAGGAGATGGACAAGAGGGAAGGTGCCCAGAGAAAGTTAACCAAGATGGTCAAAGGTTAGGAAACCATGAATCCCAATGAGGAGCAGCCGAGGAATGTTTAGCCTGGAGAAGAGAAGGCTGAGAGGGGGCATACAAGCCATATTTAAATATTTGAAAGGATATTGCATTGAACAGAAGGGAAAGCTTATTTTCTGCTGCTCTGGAGACTAGGGCACAATGGAGCCATGGGTTCATATGGCAGGAAAAAAAGGTTTATTTATTTATTTACCATATTTATATACCGCCCCTTTCAGCCTGAAGGCGACTTGAAGCGGTTTACAGTTGGCAGTCAATGCCTCCAAACAACATAAAATACAGTTATACATTATATATACTATTAACTATATAAAAGCAATAAAACAATAAAAGCCAGAAAACACAAGTCCTCAGCGTCTCATAACTAAAATCGTTTTTCCGTCGCATCATCCAATCATTCCATGGATCTCAATTAGTCTGTTACACTGCGTCTGCAAATGCCTGCTCAAACAGCCAGGTCTTGACTCTCTTTCGAAATGTTAGGAGGGAGGGGCTGATCTAATATCCCTAGCGAGGGCTATGGATATTAGATCTCTATAGGGGTCGAATACCAGCAAATGTGAAGCTTAAGATCGTCTGGAGAGGCCCTGCTCTCCGTCCCGCCCCCTTTGCAGATGCAATTGGCGGGAATGAGAGACAGGGCCTTCTCAGTGGTGGCCCCTTGGCCAGGAATTCTAGGAGCTGAAGTCCAACACAACATTTGAGACCATTGCTCTAAACAGTTTCAAAAATCATGTACATTGACTCACATTCAGATTCATGGTGCATCTCAAACCCTTACCTGTCGCAGTAGAGGTACTCCTGGGACTTGCGCAGCTCCTTGCTGGTCTGGACATGGAAGCCCATGAAGGACTCCTCCGTTTCTCCTTGACCACCAGAAGAGACGAACTCTAGAAATTGGCTGAAGAGACCTTCCCACCTTTGCTCCACTGGGAATTCCCGCTGACCAAGCTGTCTGGACAAAGAGAGAGTTTCCCTTCCTCAGGTTGGGCCTCTATGGGGCTGTGTTTCCCATGCATCTTTCACAAACAATCAAGAGGATGAGGATTGGAGGACCACACACATTAAGATGTACCTGCTTAAGCAAAGCTTTCTCATGAACCTATGTTTGCTGAATTTCTTTTTCTACCACTCCTTGAAGGAGAAATAAGGGTGTCTTGAAGATCTCTGATTCATAGGATCAGCATAACTCAAAGCCAATTTGATAAAGTCCACCACCACCAACAGCTTGTGTGAGAAGCTATCCATTTGTAGGCACATCAATTCCCCAAAAACCATTGTACGAGTGCAGGGGTATTTTTTTTTTTTTTTTTGCAATATGAAGTAAAATTTCAAAACCTGTCTTGGGCCCAAAAATTATTTTGAAAAATAATTTGGGTTCAGCACCATCTAAGGTCCTCTGCAGGGTGAGTGGGGCTTCCCATCTCTTGACAGTTGTCCTGACTCTTCTCCTTAGGAAAGAAGCACGAGATATGAAGCACGAGATATGAAGCAACATTGCCTACAAAGCCCTGAACGGTTTGGGACCACCCTACCTGCGTGACCGTATCGTTGTCTACGAACCCACACGTTCACTTCGGTCATCTGGAGAGACCCTGCTCGTGATCCCGCCCACGTCACAAGCGCGCTTGGTGGGGACACGAGACAGGGCCTTCTCTGTGGTGGCCCCCCGCCTCTGGAATGCCCTCCCGAAAGACCTCAGACAAGCCCCTACACTGGCAATCTTCAGAAAGAGTTTGAAGACCTGGCTTTTCCAATGTGCCTTTTCAGACTAGGAACCCCAGTACCAAATCCCAGAAGCACTTTAGTTAGAACTAAGATCACCGCACACTGCACACCGCACTTATATTATAATCCCATATCCCTCCGACACATCAGCACTTTTAATCCTGTACCCCTACTCTGGCCGGCTCAGTTTTAATAATGTCTTGTTGTACTGCTTTTGTTATTGTTTTGCTTAACTGTTTATTTGCTAGGTACTGTATTGTTGTATTGTGTGGGCTTCGGCCTGTTGTAAGCCGCATCGAATCCCTTGGGAGATGCTAGTGGGGTACAAATAAAGTTTAATAATAATAATAATAATAATAATAATAATAATAATAAAGAATGCCTTCTACTTACATTTTGGTGATTGTATCATCTGGCTCTTCTCCGGAGGTGTTGAGGATTCCTTCGGTATGGAGTCCTTGGCTGGACTTGTTGGTGAAGGTCCCTTCCAGAGTGAAGCCGTTGGGGAAGGTCAGTTTGCCCTAAAAGCATCCACACAACATAGATAACTCAACCTGCTCCATTTGCTTTCAGGCATCCACATTGTTTTCAATCTTAACCTCTTTCTGTCCATACTTTTGAGAAATTTGCGAGACTTGTCAAAGTTTCATCAAAGAAAAGTTAAATGAAATGTCACTCCTTCAGTTTCTGCCCAGTTCAATAAATACAGCCAACATTGTTCTTTTCTGTACAAAAAAACAACACTTTTCTGCCAAGAATTTGCTGAACTGCAGACATTCTCATTCCCTCTCCTTGTGGGAGTTTCCAACACATGTGATACCCATTTTTCATCTATCTTTGTAAGCTGCTTATCATTTCCATCCCTATTTAGAAGCAACAAAAAGCACCCCAGGTGTTGTAACTCAGAGTAAGCTTCACCTTGCTTCCAAACACCACCACACAAGAGCCATAGTTTTATAGTTTATTGAGGAAAAAATCCAAGTCAAAATAAAGAATAAGCATTGCAAAGTTCCAAACATTAAGGTTAAATGCAGAATATAGTTCCAAAGATCTTCAGGTAAAAGCAGGAGACACAATCCTATTGGCAAAGTTCAAACCAGAGTCCCAGGTACAAGCAATGAAACAATTGCCCCATGAATCACAATGCAAGGAATCCCAAGCGTACTGCTTTCCAGGCTAAGATTATTCCATGAAGCTTTCAGGCTAATAAGCTACGTTGAACTGACACTTTCCTTTGGTTTGCAAGAAGCCTAAATACCTTTCTAACATGAAAACATTACATGAAATCATTGCGATGACCTTTCACCGAGCTGGTGTCTCGTCTGCCGGCCAGGCGAGAACTCCGCCTGACCCAGAGATCAAGACGAGCTTGCCGGGTCAGGTCACTGTCAAGGCTTTCAGTACTTTCAGTATCAACATGGGAAGGAGGCAAATGCCTCCCCACCTCTTCGCTATCTCCTTCGTTAAAATTCCTTTCTCTTGGGAACCGCTGTGTTGATGTTGACTGTGCACTGTCTGACTCTGCATTGTCTGTGCTGTCTGTGGGAGCCGCAGGCCCAGAGACCTGAGGCACAGAAAAAGAGCCAGAAATCTGAATCCCATCATCCTCATCATCACAGAACATCTCATCCACAACACCAGGCCTGAATACATTTTGACAAACTCCATCTTAGAATCCTAAATTCACCAAGAGCACTGGATGTACCAAAGCCTTGCTCACCTTTCCGACAAACATCAGGTCTCTGGTGAAGTTTCCTTCATAGATGGAATCATCTTCAAGGAGAAGAATACCGGCTCCCTAGAAAGGGCAGCAAAGGGAATTAATAAACTCTCTTTCCATCTCATCCTGCTTTTCACAACATTTCAGAAACACTTAGGACTGAATGCTAAAAAGGAAGAAGCAGTGTTGTTATTGTTAATGGCCAGAAGTCAACATCAATGGATGGCAAAATGGGAGACCTCTAAGTCACCAAATGCTCAACAACCCTACTCAAGACTTGCAAGCTCAGAACAGTCTTGCTTTCCTTGATTGAGTCTATCCATCCATAATATTTTAAAATAATTTTGTGTATTAAGCCAAGCCCTGAGTCCCCTTGTGGGGAGAAGGGCAAGGCAGAAATGTATGTAATAAATAAATCTATATAAATAAAAATGTAATGTTCGTTTGTGGAATTGACACCAAATGTGAACACAAGACACCTATCTGGCCAACGAGTGACCATCACTCATAAAAACATGTTGCATTATCACGGGGTGTCTGCGCCCTACACCACTGGAGAAATTACACTGCTTAGCCGGTATTGCACCACCTGACATCCGCCGGGAAGTAGCAGCCAATAGTGAAAGGACCAAGGCAGAGACATCTCCAGCTCATCCCCTGTTTGGGTATCAGCCAGCACATCAACGACTTAAATCTAGAAATAGTTTTCTAAGATCTACAGAGACACTCGCTGGAACACCTCAGCAAGCGAGAGTCCAAAAGTGGCAGGCTCAAACCCAGAACCTCAACCAATGGCTGATACCAAATGAGAGACTCCCCCTGGGCACACAGAAGACTGGGCGACTTGGAAGGCGCTGAACAGACTGCGCTCTGGCACCACGAGATGCAGAGCCAACCTTAAGAAATGGGGCCACAAAGTGGAATCCACGACATGCGAGTGCGGAGAAGAGCAAACCACTGACCACCTGCTGCAATGCAACCTGAGCCCTGCCACATGCACCATGGAGGACCTTCTTGCAGCAACACCAGAGGCACTCCAAGTGGCCAGATACTGGTCAAAGGACATTTAATCAACTACCAAACTCACAAATTTTGTATTTTGTCTGTTTGTTTGCTTTGTTATGTTAGAAATGTAATATAATCGACTGGTTGCACTGACACGATAAATAAATAAATAAGGAGTGTTCATATGTGTATTGCATTATTATATCACTTGCCACAGCAGTATCCTTCATAATCCTGGCATTCTGTGGTTCAGCAAGGTGTTTAGAAGTACAGAATTCGAAATACCACATTGAACTACAAATCCAAGGATTCCACAGGAAGCAGCCATGGCACTTAAAAGTGGTATAAAAATTCCATGAACCATGTTGTGTGTAAAAGAACATGGCTTCCACATGCAGGAAGACACAAACAACCTGCAGGAGACTGAAGAAACGTCTCCCAACGTCCATTCTTCTCTCCACTTACCACCATCTTATCCAGATGGAACACCCTCCGATAGCACACTCCAGACTGCATGACCACAATCCCCGTGCCGTGTCTCTGGTCTTCATGCCACATCCCGATATACCGCTCCCCTCTGAAACAGCCAAAGCAGAAGAAACAGTCCTTCTACAGCAGCCATGGGCAAACTTTGGCTCTCTAGGTATTTTGGACTCCAACTTTCACAATTCCTAACAGTCTTGCAGCGCTGACTCGTGTTCAGCTTGTGCTTTACTAAGATTCTGAGATCCCTTCCAAGATGGGTGCCCTTCATGATAGGAAACAATAATAAGGCAAAAGAGGATGCAAGACGGAAGCAAGGTCCATAAAAGAACCCTGGAGCTCGGGTTTCCACCTCCAGATGTGGACAGGACTTAAGTTACAGTTGTAATAACTGGAAAAGTTTTAAGTGGATTTCATCCTGATCTTTTTTATGACACATCCAAAAACTTTGCTTGGTATCTAGATACCAAGAAGAAAGAAGGACATGGATACATCCTAAGCATGGTTGATGTTAATGCCATATAGCAGGAAGTTCAATTGACTGAATGATCGGAGCCACAGAAATGATATTTACAAAGCCATATGTGTCAGGTTTTACAATGTATTGTAATGTAATATAGCTGAGTCATGCACTGCTAATAGGCTTCTATTGGAAATGCTGAGTCATGCATTAACTGTATATAGAACTTCATTTGGGGAATGTGTTCTGGCCTAGTCCAGGTGATTGTGAATGATGCAATCCTGGGTCTGAGTTAAGTTAATGAGTTGGGAACCAATCAGAGATTGCTATGTGTAATTGTATAGAATTGTATATAAGGAAGTCGTGTACAGTGTATATTTCCCTCCTTGTGCTGTGATGCTGTTCGTCGTTAATTGATGAAAAGAACCTGTCTGCTAAGACAAGATATAACCGTGTGCTGTGGTAAGTTTGTAGTGTCATCTAGATTGGAGGGGAAAACAATGGTAAAACTGACAATGGCCGGGCATGTGCTCAAGTGTCTGTAAAAGAGTTCCAGAGTGACTGTAGTTTGTGGGAGCAGTTGACTGAAAATACTGTGCAGGAAGAAGCTACTGGAAAGCGCTGAAGTTGTGCAACTGATCTGCTGCTGAATTGTGAAATTAATCTCAACGATATGTGCTGTCGCACGCTGGGCCTGTAATAATGTCTGTTTGCAGGACGTGCTCTCTGTATGCCCAACGGGACACCGGAGTGCCTCAGCTGAAGGGCCCTTTAGACTTCCCAACACAAAGTTCTACTGAGGCTCAAGATAGATTCATAGAATCAAAGAGTTGGAAGAGACCTCAAGTGTTGTCCCCATTCTGCCAAGAAGCAGGAGTATTGCATTCACCCCTGACTGATGGCTACCCAGCCTCTGTTTAAAAGCTTCCAAAGAAGGAGCCTCCACCACGCTTCAGGGCAGAGAGTTCCACTGCTGAACGGCTCCACAAGGGAAAGTCTCTCTTCCCGTTCCAAGGCTTGGCACACCGCTTGACTCAGTTTCCATTACCACACAGCCTGAGCACAAGAAAGGAGGAGGCAGAAGGAGGAAGACCCCAACATCATAGATTAGGATCATAGGTTTGGAATTGGTTCCCAGGGTCACCCAGTCCAACCCCATTCTGTCAGGCAGGAAGACAAACAATCAAATCATAGAATCATAGAATCAAAGAGTTGGAAGAGACCTCCTGGGCCATCCAGTCCAACCCCATTCTGCCAAGAAGCAGGAATGTTGCATTCAAATTACCCCTGACAGATGGCCATCCAGCCTCTGTTTAAAAGCTTCCAAAGAAGGAGCCTCCACCACACTCCGGGGCAGAGAGTTCCACTGCTGAATGGCTCTCACAGTCAGGAAGTTCTTCCTCGTGTTCAGATGGAATCTCCTCTCTTGTAGTTTGAAGCCATTGCTCCATTGCGTCCTAGTCTCCAAGGAAGCAGAAAACAAGCTTGCTCCCTCCTCCCTGTGGCTTCCTCTCACATATTTATACATGGCTATCATGTCTCCTCTCAGCCTTCTCTTCTTTAGGCTAAACATGCCCAGCTCCTTAAGCCGCTCCTCATAGGGCTTGTTCTCCAGACCCTTGATCATTAATCATTCAGCAAAGTTCTTTAATTGGGCTTACATCTTCAAATAAATGAATTAAACACTTTATAACTTTGGAACACCGGTAGCTTCCTCAATCTGCCAACAAGGGGGCAGGCAACTGGTGGTAAACTGTTCCTTTCTTCCTTAGGAAAATCCTTTGACCCCTCCCTGGGCAATCTCTCTTGCTGGTGTGAGGCCCTACACCAGGCTCCAAGCTGCTTTATGGATAGCCCGAGTGGCCCCTTACCAGGCAAGGTTCCTGTAGATCTACCAAGCTGAAAGGTTTCCTTTAGTTTCTCCACGAAGGCTGTAGGAACTATTTTTTTACTCCCCAGCAGAGCTGTGGATCTATTTCTTTAACCCCCAGCAAAAGCTGTGGAACCTTTCCTTTTTTTCCCCAGCAAAGCTGTGGAACTATTCCTTTACTCCTCAGCAAAGCTGTGAGAAGTGAAGCCTTTGTGCAGGTGGGAGAGAGTGACCCACACGTCCTGCTGTTAGGCTCCAAAACAGTGAGACTGAACAAAGGCCCTCCTTTCCCTCCAAAACCCTGGGGAAAGGGGTGGGCCTAAAGGCTCTAACAGTGATTGACAGGTTAGTGGACCTATGACTGCAACCTGGGGAAGCTACCTGATTGCCAAATGCATGGCTTAAATAGATTCATGCAAACTTGCAAGAAAAGGAATCAAATCTCCTGGCACTGCCATAGCTTCAATCCGTTGGCCACCAACATACCCTTCCTTGTCATCCCACACCCCGTATCCACTCTTCTTGTCGTTCTCCCAGTGTCCAGTATATTTAATGGGGTTTTCGGCCGAAGAAGTGTTGTCCAAGATGCCAAACCCTTGGCGGAGGTTGTCCTTGAAGTACCCTTTGTAGACCATCTCGTTGCCGTACCTGTGTTATAGGTAAAATCACACATCATGCATGTATAATATACATCTTCACATGGGAAACTTGACTGCATTGGGTGCTCCATATAATGCACAACCAATTGATTGTGCTTTCGGCCTCATTGCTAGATTTTAAAGAAACTTAGTACTATTCATGTATTTATTTGCTGCAATTCTGTGTTGCATTTCTCCCAGAGCAGGAGCCAAACAATCAAAAAATCACAATTAAAAAAACAATTCAAATAAAAAACAATAAGATAGAAGAAGTAGAAGAGGAGGAGGAGGGTTAATAATAATAATAATTTTCAGACTGACAGTTTTGGAGCACAATACCCCTGACCTCACGATCGTGTTAAAAAACAAAGTATGGATTGTTGATGTTGCAATCCCAGGCGACAGCAGGATTGACAAGAAGCAACTGGAAAAACTGACAAAATATGAAAATTAAAAAACTCAAGAATGACATCAGCAAAACAACATAGGGGAAACAAACAGGCACATAAAATCACTCTCAACAGAAGATTCCCCCCAGGCCCTTCCAAGCCATTGAATGCTAATCAAGGTGATCAGCTGAAACATTCACAGCTAGCCCCAGCAGACAAAAGTCCTTTGTCTCACCCTGGTCATTCCACAGATATATAAACCCATTTTTCCTACTTCCAACAGACCTCACTACCTCTGAGGATGCTTGCCATAGATGCAGGTGAAACGTCAGGAGAAAAATTGCCTCCAGAACATGGCCATATAGCCCGGAAAAACCTACAACAACCCAATGAGGAAGTACTTCATCAGTGTCGGGGATGGACGGTGAAGCGACAGCTCCTCTGGTGGCCAGAAAAAATTGGAATATTAAATAGCCTCTGACTGTCTGTCTATATATATTGTGTGTCTATGGCGTTGAATGCTTGCCATGTATATGTAGACTATAATCTGCCCTGAGTCCCCTGCAGGGTGAGAAGGGCGGAATATAAATAATGTAAATTTATTTATTTATTTATTTATTTACAATATTTGTATTCCACCCTTCTCACCCCGCAGGGGACTCAGGGTGGATTACAATGTACACATATATGGTAAACATTCAATGCCAATTTGACATACAATGTATACAGACATACACAGAGGCTATTTAACTTTTTCTGGCCGCCAGGGAAGCTGTCGCTTTCATCGTCCATCTGCGACACTGATGAAGTACTTCCACATTCCCCGCATGCTTTGCTGGAGTCTTTTTTTATGGCCTCATAAATTAGTTAATGTAGCCTCCCCACACAAGGTGGTACCTAATTTTCCTACTTCACAGATGCAACTGTCTTTCGGGTTGCAAAGCTCGACAACAGGCTACAAATTGGTTGGAAGCTCACTCCGACCTGGGTTGGCTTCGAACTCATGACCTTTTGGTCAGAGTGATCTTAATGCTGCTGACACTCAGCCTGCTGCACCACAATCCCGGTGCACAAATAATTTGTAGGCCATGACAAGCACTTTGAATTGGGCTCCGAAATGAACCAGTAGTCAATTGAGCTGACTTTTTTACATGGAAGTTATAGATAAACTGGAATAGAAGATTACTCAAAAGCAGCTCTTTTGGAATAGTTTGACTCACTCGCAGATCCCGTAGCCATTCATCCTTCCTTCCCGCCAGTGGCACTTGTAACAGTCATAGTGGTCCTCAGACGCATGAGGGACAAGGTAGATCCCGAACCTGAAACCCCAAAAGGAGAGAGGTCTGAAACAAGAACTGGGTGGCGACAGTTGGGGTCAAAGCCAAAACATCATTTAGGACAGTGTTTCTCAACCTGGGGGTTAGGACCTATGAGGGGGTCACGAAGGGGTGTCAGAGGGGTCGCCAAAGACCATCAGAAAACACAGTATTTTCTGATGGCCATTGGGATTCCATGTGGGAAGTTTGAGCCAATTCTATCCTTGGTGGAGTTCAGAATGTTCTTTGATTGTAATGAACTATAAATCCCAGAAACTACAACTCCCAAAAGTCAAGGTCTATTTTCCCCAGGTTCCACCAGTGTTCACATTTGTGCATATTGAGTATTTGTGCAAAGTTTGGTCCAGATCCACCATTGCGTGAGTCCACAGTGCTCTCTGGATATAGGTGAACTACAACTCCCAAAGTCAAGGTCATTACCCACCAAACCCTTCCAGTGTTTTCCGTTGGTCATGGGAGTTCTGTGTGGCAAATTAGGTTCAAATCAATCGCCGGTAGAGTTCAGAATGCTCTTTGATTATAGGTGAACTATAAATCCCAGCAACTACAACTCCCAAATTACAAAATCAATCCTCCCCCAACCCCACTAGCATATACATGTGGGTGCATTGGGTATTTGTGCCCAGTTTGGTCCAGTGGATGAAAATACATCTTGCATATCTGATATTTACATTATGATTTATAACAGTAGTAAAATGACTGTTATGAAGTAGCAACAAAAACAGTGTTATGGTTGGGGGTCACCACAACATGAGGGACTGTATGAAGGGGTCACAGCATTAGGAAGGTTGAGAACCACTGATTTAGGACATCCAACCACTTCAAAGGTGCTCCATGACATTTTCTCAGAAGATATGCCACTTCAACCAGGCATGGGCCAACTTGGACCCTCCAGGTGTTTTGGACTTCAACTCCCACAATTCCCAACAGTCTACCATGTGAGTTGAAGTCCAAAATACCTAGAGGGAGGGCCAAAGTTTGCTCATGCCTGACTTAAACTCAAGAAGAACTTCTTGACTGGAAGAGTTGATTGGCAGTGGAATAGATTACCTTGGAGGGAGACGGACTCTCTACTGAGTGTCCATCCAATGGGTCCATCCACAGTCTCTTCCATGACATGCAAGATGAGAGCACCCTGAGCCCAATTGTCTGGCCAGCCTATGGGCCAGCCCTTAGAAGAAAGAGCCACACCAGAAGCCTCCTCACCCATGTTCCAAGCCGTCTTTGAAGTCTCCCACGTAGTTCCGGCCATCTGGCCACGTCAGCTTCCCCCTGCAAAGAGCAAAGACTAGTTGCAAAAAGCATCCACAACAGCAACTTTATTTTGCAACGAGACAGCATTGTGGTAAATGTGATCGTTTGCCAAAAAAGGGGAGCTGTCACTATTGCCTTTTTAGGTGAGACCGTTGAGGTTCAGCCTGCGTGTGAACCTGAACCTGCTTCTCTGATTCCTGAACCTGATTCTCTGATTACTGAACCTGAACCTGATTCTCTGATTCTTTGTCCTGATGTTACTGAACATGTATTTTTCCCTGATGGTAATGAAAGTGTTGATTCTGAGGTCAGTGGCTTGGAAAGTGAAACTACACATCCTGATGAGAATGTTTCAGAATCAAGCAGTGATAACTCTCCAGAGGAGCTAGCACCTGCCTTTTTTTAATGAGGATAGAAAAGGACAGATTTGGAAAAACAGGAGTGAATCGCAGAGTCTGCGAAGATCAAGCAGATTAAAGGAAAAGGAGGCACAGGCTTCAAAGCCTGGAGGCGTGTCCCGAAACAGTTTCTTTAGTTTAAAGTGTCTCTCCCTGGGCTGTCTTGTTAGATCAAGCATCGTTTAGACTGAGGCAATATCTTGGCAGATTTCCCGTTTCCCATGGCCTGCATTCCCAGAGGCTTCTAGTTTCCAAGTACGGTTAGTGAAATGCTAACAAGTTCCAGGTTTTTATAGTGCTGCTTTTGGAATATCTAGTTCAGAGATATTCCTGACTGCTGAGTTTTACTGTGGCTTTTTGACTTTGTATTTTCCTCTATTTTGTAACCATTTTTCATCAATAAAAAGGGATTGTTTTTCCCACAGTTTTGTGTGGTGGTTTGTTATCTAATGGTCTCGTTCCCGGCTCTGGGTTGCAACAAAGACAAAGAAAACCTGGGCTCCTCTCCCTCTTCCAGAGCAGAATCCACCCACAACCAAAACACAGGAAGATGCCACCCACAGATGCAGGCAAAACGTCAGAGAGAGTGTTACTGGAACTTGTCCAAAAAACTCACAGCAACCCAATGATTTTGGCCATGAAAGCCTTAGAGAATTGTTGTTATTGCTGTTGTTGTTTACAATTTGGTGTAGAGCCCAAAGTGGATTTCCTGTTGCTCCAAGATCTGCCAAAGTTTCAAACCAGGCTGAGGACTTACTTGCCGTGGGGCTTCCCCAAGCGCCATTCCCCTTCGTAGGCAGCCCCCTTGAGCCTCCCTTCGGCCCGGAACGTGAAGGCAGAGAAGCGGCACCGAGGAGGGTCCCTCCCTTCTCCTGCGTGGCTCCACAAGGGAAAGTCTCTCTTCCCGTTCAAGGCTTGGCACACTGCTTGACTCAGTTTCCATTGCCACACAGCCTGAGCACAAGAAAGGAGGAGGCAGAAGGGGGAAGACCCCAACATCATAGATTAGGTTCATAGGTTTGGAATTGGTTCCCAGAGCCACCCAGTCCAACCCCATTCTGTCAGGCAGGAAGACAAACAATCAAATCATAGAATCATAGAATCCAAGAGTTGGAAGAGACCTCATGGGCCATCCAGTCCAACCCCATTCTGCCAAGAAGCAGGAATATTGCATTCAAATCACCCCTGACAGATGGCCATCCAGCCTCTGTTTAAAAGCTTCCAAAGAAGGAGCCTCCACCACACTCCGGGGCAGAGAGTTCCACTGCTGAACGGCTCTCACAGTCAGGAAGTTCTTCCTCATGTTCAGATGGAATCTCCTCTCTTGTAGTTTGAAGCCATTGTTCCGCATCCTAGTCTCCAGGGAAGCAGAAAACAAGCTTGCTCCCTCCTCCCTGTGGCTTCCTCTCACATATTTATCATATCCCCTGTCAGCCTTCTCTTCTTCAGGCTAAACATGCACAGCTCCTTAAGCCGCTCCTCATAGGACTTGTTCTCCAGACCCCTGATCATTTGAGTCGCCCTCCTCTGGACACGTTCCAGCTTGTCAATATCTCTCTTCAATTGTGGTGCCCAGAATTGGACACAATATTCCAGGTGTGGTCTAACCAGAGCAGAATAGAGGGGTAGCATGACTTCCCTAGATCTAGACACTAGGCTCCTCTTGATGCAGGCCAAAATCCCATTGGCTTTTTTTGCCATCACATCACATTGTTGGCTCATGTTTAACTTGTTGTCCACGAGGACTCCAAGATCTTTTTCACACCTACTGCTCTCTTTGCATTTCAAGGCATTGGGGGGGGGGGGGGGGGGGGGGGGGGTCTGTGTGGGAATTTTGTCCCAATTCTATTGTTGGTGGGGTTCAGAATGCTCTTTGATTGTAGGTGAACTATAAAACCCAGCAACTACAACTCCCAAACATCAAGGTCTATTTTCACATTTGGACATCTTGAGTATTCGTGCCAAGTTTGTTCCAGATCCATCATTGTTTGAGTCCACAGTGCTCTCCGGATGTAGGTGAACTACAACTCCAAAACTCATGGTCAATGCCCACCAAACCCTTCCAGTATTTTCTGTTGGTCATGGGAGTCTTGTGTACCAACATTGGTTCAATTCCATCGTTGGTGGAGTTCTGAATGCTCTTCGATTGTAGGTGAACTATAAATCCCAGCAACTACAACTCCCAAATGACACAATGAATCCCCACACTCCCTGATCCCACCGGCCTTCAAATTGGGGTATTTGTGCCAAATTTGGTCCAGTGGATGAAAATACATCCTGCATATCAGTTATTTACATTATTTATTTATTTATTTATTTTGGGCTTTTATATCCCGTCCTATCTCAACCTCCGCAGAGGGACTCAGGATTCACATTACGATTCCTAACAGTAATTATTACAATTATGAAGTAGCAATGAAAATAATGTGATGGTTTGCATAGAACTGTATTCTATGCAAACAAACAAAAGTATGTTCTTTCTTGGCATTTTAAGGTCCCACCGTATAATTCTATGACCAACTTCCATTGGATGTTGACTACAGAAATACACTGGATAGCCTTGAAATACTGAGAGAAGACACTTCTCCTAACCTTTGCTATGTCCTTCACTGTCTAGTGAAAGTTGACCATGGATACAAACATCCATGAATCCTGAAGTCCAATAATATGCAATGACAGGGGGAATGGTTCCCTTCTCTAAAATGGCACATTGTTTTCTGAACTGTATTTGTGGATATGGAGAACCAACCAAAGATTATTGTATGGCTATGGAGAGAGACCTACCCGTGACTCTGGCTCTTTGGCCACGAGGAAGAACTCTTCTTCTGGTGTCCTAACACGGAGCGTATGCCTGGGAGAAACACCAAGAGGAAAGTTGTAAAACAGTTGTCTTTCCCAGACATCTGGAGAATGTAGTTATTTTGGAATGGCCTCCTTTGTCTCATAGAATGCATCTACACTGCATAATTAATCCAGTTTGAAACCACTTGAACTGCCAAGGCTATGGAATCCTGGGAGTTATAGGATTATTATTATTATTATTATTATTATTATTATTATTAAACTTTATTTGTACCCCGCTAGCATCTCCCGAAGGACTCGATGCGGCTTACAAAGGCCAAGGCCTCAACACAACAACAGCAAAACAATAACAATACAATTCAAAGCAAATTAGAAACATAAGCAATGACAAAACATTACACCATTACGTAATAAAAACCAGCATGTACAGCTCTGTGTGTGTGTGTGTGTATATATATATATATATATATAGAGAGAGAGAGAGAGAGAGAGAGAGAGAGAGAGAGAGGGTATAACATTGACACTGAACTACAACACCGCCTGTGCTCTGTGAGTGCAGCATTTTTCTGAATGAAGCAGAGAGTGTTTGGGGACCGGGACATCTATAAGGATACCAAGGTGCTTGTTTATAAAGCCATTGTCCTCCCAACCATGCTATATGCCTGCGAAACGTGGACTGTCTACATACGTCAACATTGACACTGAACTACAACACCGCTTGAGCTCTGCGAGTGCAGCATTTTTCTGAATGAAGCAGGGAGTGTTTGGGGACATTCATAGGGAGACTAAGGGGCTTGTTTAGAAAGCTGTTGTCCTCCCAATCCTGCTCTACGCCTGCAAAACGTGGACTGTCTACAGATGTCACATGCAACTCCTGGAACGATTCCATCCGCATTGCCTCTGAAAAATCCTGCAAATCTCTTGGGAAGACAAGCGGACAAATGTCAGAATGCTGGAAGAAGCAAAGACCACCAGCACTGAAGCAATGGTCCTCTGCCATCAACTCCGCTGGACTGGCCGTGTTGTCCGAATGCCCAAAGATGAGCGTCTCCCAGAGCATTACTCCGAACTCAAGAATGGAAAACGGAATGTTGTTGGACAGGAAAAGAGATTGAAAGACGGGCTCAAAGCCAACCTTAAAAACTCTGGCATAGACACAGAGAACTGGGAAGCCCTGACCCTTGAGCACTCCAGCTGGAGGTCAGCTATGACCAGCAGTGCTGTAGAATTTGAAGAGGCACGAATGGAGGGCGAAAGAGAGAAACTTGCCAAGAGGAAGGCACATCAAGCCAACCCCGACTGGGACCGCCTTCCATCTGGAAACGGATGCCCTCACTGCGGGAGAACATGCAGGTCAAGAAGAGGATGACAACATCTTGAGCTAAATTACTTCTGGTGCCTCACAAAATACAACTCTCAGGATCCCATAAGCATTGAGCCATGGTGCTGAATTGCAGTCAATCTACAATGTAAACATACCCTTGCCCTCCCTCTCCCCGGCTCTTTCTGCCTGCAATAAAACTGAGGAAAACACCCACCTTCTGCAGTACAATAAATAGCAGGGAGATAAATGTCATGGGCTTTGAACTGCGGCTGCAGAACCACAGAAAGAGTCCCTGCTGCTAAGAAAAGCTTCACTCACTTTCCCGTTTCCTTGGAGGTTTCATCCACCCACACGAGCTTCAGGTCAAAGCTCTGGAGGCTGCTTCCCTAGAAAGAGGAATGGATTTTCAAAAGTAAACAAGAGGATCACAAGAACAAATGTCACACAGAAGCAGTCACAATAGGTGAGGTTTTAGGACATGCTGAAAGCACCTGTTCTTCTTGCCTTCGGTAGATGACAAGACTGAGATTGCAAAGAATATAAAACAGGCCTGGGCCAACTTGGGCCCTCCACGTGTTTTGGACTTCAACTCCCACAATTCCTAACAGCCAATAGGCTGTTAGGAATTGTGGGAGTTGAAGTCCAAAACACCTGAAGGGTCCAAGTTGGCCCATGCCTGTTATAGAATCATGGATCTAGAAGAGGCCCCAAAGGCCATCCAGTCCAACCCCATTCTGCCTAGCAAAAAAGACACCTACAGACAGATGGCCATCCAGGCTCTGTTGAGAAACCTCAAGAGAAGGAAACTTCACCAAATTCCAAGCTCTCCCTAATGTTTAGGTGGAATCTCTTTCCCTGCAGATTGAATCCATTGATCCATTGTGTCCTGGTCTTCAGAGCAGCAAAAAAAAAACAAAACAAAACAAAACAAAAAAACAAACACACACACAAGCTTGCTATCGTTTCAATATGACACGCTTCCAAATATATAAACATGGCCTAGCATGCCTCCTCTTCACCTTCTCCAGCTAAATATCCCCAGCCCCCTAAGCAACATCTCCATAAGGATTCATGCTTTCCAGATTTTGGACTATTTTGATCACCTTCCTCTGGAGACATTACGTGTGCAATGTACATTGTTTTCTGTCCAGAAAATACTTTTTTCCACCAAAAAAGAGCAAAAGCAAAGACAGAAATGAGGAAAATCATGACCGGGTTGTTGTAGGTTTTTTGGGGCTATATGGCCACAACAACCCAGTGATTCTGGCCATGAAAGCCTTCAACAATACAAAATCATGACCGCTTCCTCAGAAGAATGTCTTAGCTTTTTGAGGCATCTTCCTCAGAAGAATGTCTTAGCTTTTTGTGGCATCTGTTCTCAAGGATTTGATTGTTGTGAGTTTTTCTGGCTGTATGGCCATGTTCCAGTATGGCCATGTTTCTCCTGACATGATTGCTCTTTACTTCTCCTCAATATCTGTTTGGCCTCCTTACCTGGATGAGCACAAGGATGTCGTGGAAGAGCAGGACACGGTCCAACCTCCCGGTGCTGGAAAAGACGGCCAGGTTTCGGCTGTCTTCCAGGAGGCGCCTCTCCGGATTGCAAAGGACATCCTGCGACACAAATAGTTGGGAAGTGACATTGGGACTGGAGGATGCCTTACTGCATTGTTGTTTCCCCTTCTGCCCTCATAAGAAGCATTCAGTAATTCTCCTAAAACCTGAAAACACTAGAGAAGGCATGGGCAAATTTGGGCCCATCAGGTGTTTTGGACTGCTGAAGCTGTTTGCAATTTATAATGTAGATTTCAAAGTATGTATGTATGTTTAAAATGCAGTGCTATGTTCCAAGGATAATGTATTCCTGTGTGGAAAGAGTTAACTGAACCATGGAGGGAACAGCATTCCTAGAGAAGTCATAAAACAAGTGGACGCAGCATCCTGCGTCCATACGTCACTCTGGAATGCAAGAGGTGTGGACTAGTACTGATTACAGTTTGTGTGTTGGCGATGTGCAAGTTTACGATGTGCTGAGTGTTAAGTAGCTTCTAATGTATATAGCTGTAAAATAAAGTAGTTTATAGCCTAAAGTAGCTGTGATTGATAGTGTTCCTGCCTTGCTGTGCAGCCGATGTCACTGACATGGACTTCTTCTCAAATTGTGGGAGTTGAAGTCCAAACCACCTGGAGGTCACAAATTTGCCCATGCATGCATTAAAACATTTGTCTGTTGTATCATCTATTGTATGCATTATATCGTCTACAGTATACATAAGTCTACTGTATCATCAAAGACATATACATATTCTTTGGTATAGGACGGAAGTGAAGTTTTTAAAATGTTCCAATGATGACACATTTTCTAACAAAAATTGGCATTGATTTCTTTTATCTTATTTTATTGTCCCTTCTTTTTCTCTCTGGCGTCTTACCAAACTATAAGGCTTCTATATCATGGGGCCATTGCACTGAAAATGGTGTAGATGTACTCTTATTGAACTTTGAAGAAATAAGAAGGTTTTAAAAAGAAAATAAATGGACCTATCAATCTGTTAGATCTCCTTGCAATTGTAATTTTAAAAAACAAAACGCACCGTGAATTTGTGACTCAGAGACTTCCACAGGTTTCTGGTGAGGCCGGCTTCATCCAAGGCTTGGCTAATGAAAGAGCGCAGCTTTGCAAACTGTTTGGAAGCATTCGCGATGGCTTCTTTGTCCGGACCCTATTTGGAGGAGCAGAGGAAAAGCAAAAAGCTTCATTCTGTCATTAATGTCGCATCTCAGGCTAGATTCACCTTGTTCAGAACACCACACACACCAAGGCTGTAGGTTTTGTAGTTTACTAAAGAAAAGGCAAAGTCTTAAACACAAAAGTAAAGTTGCACGAGTTCAATAGCCAAACAGAGTCTTAAATGCAAAGACAGAGTTTCCAAACTCCAAAGGCAAATAACATGAAGCATCATCCATAAGCATTGATCAAACAAGATTCCATGGTAGCATGACAGAGTCCCAAGAAACCAAGATCCAAATCAAAGTCCCAAGAAGCCAAAAGCATTGCCCAAAAGCCCAGGCAATCCCAAGAAGTTATCAGGGTGTTCACTGAAGTTATACTGACAAAAGGTTGCCTGCAATCAGCTCATTAAATATACTTTCCCAGCATGAAAGCATTCCTTTGACCTCCCTCTTGTTTGCAAGCCTTGAACTACGGCAAATCCTGAATTGCAAGCGATCTGCCCTATCTAAATCTGCAGAGCCTTCAAGGTCGAATAACTCATTATCCTGGAGCTGGGAATCGGCAGCCTGAGAATCAGCAGGCAGAGAGCTCTCAGGCTGGCTCACCTCCTCCACCTGCACCTGTGAAGTTTTACTAAGATCAGAAACATCTTCTAAGACAACATCCCTTCCCATGGGAAACTGGAACTCCTCGTCTTCAGCATCAACATTGTCTGTATCAACAATAGGAACATGTTCAGGAATCTGAAACCCATCATCCTCTTCCTGCTCTTCCTGCAGCTCCAGCTGAGCCACAACAATTGAAAGCTTTGATGTCCGGAATCACTGTGTTTCGATGAGTTTTTGAGGCTGTATGACCATGTTCTAGTAGCATTCTCTCCTAACATTTTGCCCACATCTGTGGCTGGCATCTTCAGAGGTTCTGCTTGCTGTGAAGCAAGTGGAATAATGTCCAGCATGGGAGAAAGAGCCCTTGTCTATTTGAAGCCAGTGTGAATGTTGCAAATACAGTAGAGTCTCGCTTATCCAACGGTCACTCACCCAACATTCCATATTATCCAACGTAGTCTGCCTCCCGCCCAGATCGACAGCTGTTTCAATACATTGCGATATTTTGGAGCTGAATTGTCCCATTGATTATATACTTTGTTATGGTGTTGATTGTAATTTGGTGTATGTTTGTAAGGCGTTGAATTTTGCCACTAGTTCTGTGTAAACCGCTTTGAGTCCCCCCAGGGGTGAAAAAAGCGGCATATAAATACTGTAAATAATAATAAATAATAAATGCATAAATACTGTAATTACTCCATAACGTTACCATGTGTTGAAATGCTTTTCAGTCAATTTGTTGTAAAACATGATGTTTTGATGCTTAATTTGTAAAATAATAATAATAATAATAATAATAATAATAATGCATCATTCGAAAATACATCACACAGTTCTAGATGCTTGGGAAGTGTTCGACTTGTGATTTTGTGATATGAAATCCAGCATATAGATCCCGTTTGCTGTGACATACTGTGCTTTTGTGTAAATAATAATAATAATAATAATAACAAATTTCAACAGAAAGGAGGAAACCTTGAAAATGAACAAACCTGGCTACCAGTATTAAAAAACTCTAAAATTAGAACAGTACAACAACTGAAAGGAAACAAACAAGGCCATCTAATTACCTCTCAACAAAAGATTGCTCCAGGCACTGCCAGGCAATCAAATGCTAATCAGGGTGATCAGTTGAAACATTCACACCTAGCTCCAGCAGACAAGAGTCCTTTGTTCCACCCTGGTCATTCCACAGATATATAAACCCCTTTTCCTAGTTCCAACAGACCTCACTACCTCTGAGGATGCTTGCCATAGATGCAGGCGAAACGTCAGGAGAGAATGCCTCTAGAACATGGCCATATAGCCCGAAAAAACCTACAACAACCCAGTGATTCCGGCCATGAAAGCCTTTGACAATACAATAATAATAAACTTTATTTGTACCCTGCCACCATCTCCCCAATGGGGACTTGGGGCGGCTTACATGAGGCTATAACGTAATTTGACGTTTAATAGGCTTTTCCTTAATTCCTCTGTATAATCCAACATTTTTGCTTATCCAACATTCTGCCGGCCCATTTATGTTGGATAAGCGAGGCTCTAAGTTCAAATAGCATTGAGTAGCCATGAAGCTTCAAAGTCACTCAGTGAAGGTATCGGCATAGAAACTGCATCTATTCCCCAGTGTAGATGCACCCTAAGGGTGCAAATAAAGACGAGGATGAAGATTACCAGGGTCTTTATCTCCTCGAGCTTGGAGAAGAGAGCGCTGTATTGCTGGAGGTGATCCTGGAAGGGTTTGTGGAGCACCGTATGGAGAGCCACCGCATTGGAGGTGTCCGGGGAGAAGTCTTCGAGGAGCTGCTGGAGGGACGGCTTGTGGGACTTCCAGACCTCACTGCAAGGAATCAGCAAGACAAAGAGGTGAATCACAAGAGGCGAGGCAAGAGGAATCTTCACAATCAGAACTCAAAAACCACTAGATGAATTGACACCAAATTTGGACACAAGACACCTAACAACCCAATGTATGTCCTTCACTCAAAAAAAACTGATTTTGTCATTTGGGAGTTGTAGTTGCTGGGATTTATAGTTCACCTACAATCAAAGAACACTCTGAACCACACCAATGATGGAATTGAACCAAACTTGGCACACAATTCTCCCATGACCAACAGAAAATACTGGCAGGGTTTGGTGGGCAGTGTCCTTTGTGTTTGGAGTTGTAGTTCACCTACATCCAGAGATCACTGTGGACTCAAACAATGACGGATCTGGACCAAACTCTACAAGAATACAATATGCCTAAATGTGAACACTGGTGGAGTTTGGGGAAAATAGAATCTTGACATTTGGGAGTTGTAGTTGCTGGGATTTATAGTTCACCTATAGTCAAAGAGCATTCTGAACCCCACCAACGATAGAATTGGGCCAAACCTCCCACACAGAACCCCCATGTGGACCACAGCAACGCGTGGCAGGGGACGGCTAGTAAATAAATAAAATAGGTGGGTGAAAGCTGGGCTAAAGGCCAGGAGATCACCCTGACCTGGCTTCGAACTGGCAGCCTTTCGATTGACAAGAATTATTATAGCTGGCGTTTAACCTGCTGTGCTAAAGCTGGACCTATATATTTAACGTGTGTGGCAACAAAAGAAATATAAAAATACAAATTTTTGCAGTTTTCTCCTAGGTTTCAGGAAAGAGTTTAGTAGAGTTTACAGCTCCCTGAACTCTACATTTTTTGCACAATTGGATCTGTGCACTGCAACTTCCCCAAAAGTAACTGGGAATAATTTTTTGTGTGGGAAGGGGAAGCATTTTTTGTCAACTTGCAGAAGCAATATGGTAAGCAGCGGGCTCCAGAGTTTCAAGATTATGGTTTCTAAAAGGGAAGTGAGAGGTCAAAACAAGAGAATGACCTCTACAATATATATATAGATCTCTCTCTCTCTCTCTCTCTCTCTCTCTCTCTCTCTCTCTCTCTATATATATATATATATATATACTAGCTGTACCTGCCACGCATTGCTGTGGCCAACCTTCCCTCCTTCTTCTCTCCTTCCCTCCTTCCTTCCTTCTTTCACTCCTTCCTTTTCTCTTCTTTCTTCTTCTATGTTTCTTTTCTCGCTTCCTTTGCTCTTTGGTTCCATCCTTCCTTTTCTCTTCTTCCTTCCTTTCCTCCTCTCTTTCATTCCTTCTCTCCTTCCTTCCCCTCTTCACTTTTCCTTCTTCCTTTCTTCCTTCCTTCCTCTTCTTCCCTCTCCTCCATTCCTTTAACAATTCCTTCCTTCCTTCCTTCCTTCCTTCCTTCCTTCCTCCCTTCCTTCCTTCTCTTTCTTTCCCTTCCTCCTTTCCTTCCCTCCCTTCTCTCTTTCTTCCTTCTCCCCTTCTCTTTTCCTTTCTTTCCTTCCTCCTCTTTCCTTTTCTCCTTCCCTCCTTTTTCCCCTTCTTCTCTTTCTCCTCCTTCCCTTCTCTACCTCTTCCTTCCTTCTTTCCTTATTCCCTTCCTCCTTCCTTCCCTACCTTCCTTTCTTTCCTTCTTTCCTTCCCTCTTCCTTTCTCTCTTTCTCTCCCTCCTTCTCTCCTTCCTTCCTTCCCCCATTCTGTGAGTTTTGTGTGTATATATATTTGTGTATATGTGTGTGTATATATTAATGTATATGTCTATATAAGTACATAAGTGGTTTTGTGCATGTGTTGTATTGTATTTCTTATTTCTTGGCTTTTTAAGTCCCTTCCACCATGTTTTCCAGTGTTGTTATGAGTGATGGTCACTCGCTGGCCTGAGAGGTGTCTTGTGTCCAAATTTGGTGTCAATTCGTCCACTGGTTTTTAAGTTATGTTAATCCCACAAACAAACATTACATTTATATATATACTAGCCATCCCCTGCCACGCATTACTGTGGCTCAGCCTGTGTATATGTGTTTTGTGTGTGTATATATTTGTGTATATGTGTGTTTGCCTATATATATGTGGTTTTGTAAATGTGTTGTAATGTATTTTTTTTGTTTTTTGGCTTTTTAAGTCTCTTTTGCTGTGTTTTTCCATGTTTTTATCAATGATGGTAACTTGTTGGCCTGATATGTGTATTGTGTCCAAATTTGGTGTCAATTCGCCCAGTGGGTTTTGAGTTATGTTAATCCCACGAACGAACATTACACACACACACACAAATGCTGGCCTTTTCCCTATATTTCTTTTGAAAGAGGTATTCTTTCGAAACTCATTAAACTTCAAGAGGCAGCTTGCTGTTCTCTCTCCTTATTCTTCATGCCTTCGGGAAAAAATTAGTCAGCTCGGTTCCCTTGAAAGGCAGACCTTGGATGCATCTACATTGCAGAATTAATGCAGTTTGGCACCACTTGGGCTCTTATGGCTCAATGCTATGGAATCCTGGGAGTTCTGGTTCTACAAGGTCTTTCGCCTCCCTTGCCAAATAATGTGAAACTACAAATCCCAGGACACCAAGGCATTAAGCCAAGGCAGTCAAAGTGGTGCTAAACTGCCTTTCCAAGTCCTCGTTTTCTACTGTGTGAATGTCTCGTGAAACTACAAATCCCAGGACACCAAGGCATTAAGCCAAGGCAGTCTAAAGTGGTGCTAAACTGCCTTTCCAAGTCCTCGTTTTCTACTGTGTGAATGTCTCGTGAAACTACAAATCCCAGGACACCAAGGCATTAAGCCAAGGCAGTCTAAGTGGTGCTAAACTGCCTTTCCAAGTCCTCGTTTTCTACTGTGTGAATGTCTCGTGAAACTACAAATCCCAGGACACCAAGGCATTAAGCCAAGGCAGTCTAAGTGGTGCTAAACTGCCTTTCCAAGTCCTCGTTTTCTACTGTGTGAATGTCTCGTGAAACTACAAATCCCAGGACACCAAGGCATTAAGCCAAGGCACTCAAAGTGGTGCTAAACTGCCTTTCCAAGTCCTCGTTTTCTACTGTGTGAATGTCTCGTGAAACTACAAATCCCAGGACACCAAGGCATTAAGCCAAGGCACTCAAAGTGGTGCTAAACTGCCTTTCCAAGTCCTCGTTTTCTACTGTGTGAATGTCTCGTGAAACTACAAATCCCAGGACACCAAGGCATTAAGCCAAGGCAGTCTAAGTGGTGCTAAACTGCCTTTCCAAGTCCTCGTTTTCTACTGTGTGAATGTCTCGTGAAACTACAAATCCCAGGACACCAAGGCATTAAGCCAAGGCACTCAAAGTGGTGCTAAACTGCCTTTCCAAGTCCTCGTTTTCTACTGTGTGAATGTCTCGTGAAACTACAAATCCCAGGACACCAAGGCATTAAGCCAAGGCAGTCAAAGTGGTGCTAAACTGCCTTTCCAAATCCTCATTTTCTACTGGTTTCTTGAAAATCTTAGATTTTTTTTAATGTCTTCATTGCTTAATTTAAAGTAAATTTAGATTCACATATATTCAAATAGCAGACTAAATGATGCCTCTTATATAAAACAACAAAATTAAAGTTTGCTTTCAAGATTTTAAAATATATATTTCCAAGCCGTGGATGGCTGAATCCGTGGATACAGAACCCTGTGTTGAAATGCAGAAATAGTGTATTCATTTCAAATTAGGTGCTTCAAAGTTACGCTACAATCTTTGCTTGTTTACTTGCTCTTTTATTCGTTTGCTTACTTTTCTTTATTTGCTCGCTCTTTTGTTTGCTTGTTTGTTCTTGTTCTCTTGCTTGCTCTTTTGTTTGTTTACTTGTTCTTTTGTTTGTTTGTTTGTTTGTTTGTTTCCACGCTCTTCTGCTCAACCTGCTTACCTTTTATTTCTTGCCGCATGTTCAAACCCTTGAACCACAACACAACGGGCAAATTTGGAGAAATACCTATTTGTGGAAAAGGCAAAACAAACACAAATTAGTTTGCATGTCTAAGTTGTTATCAAGCTATGATCGTTATCCGCCTATGTGGGTTGAACTATTATAGATTTGATTATTTGATTATTTTTATTTGTCGTGTCAGGACAACCAGTCAAATTATATTACATTTCTAACAGAACAAAGCAAACAAACAGAGAAAATACAAAATGTGTGAGTTTGGTAGTTGATTAAATGTCCTTTGACCAGTATTTGGAAACTTGGAGTGCTTCTGGTGCTGCATGAAGGTCCTCCATGGTGCATGTGGCAGGGCTCAGGTGCATTGCAGCAGGTGGTCAGTGGTTTGCTCTTCTCCACACTCGCATGTTGTGGATTCCACTTTGTAGCGCCATTTCTTTAGGTTGGCTCTGCATCTTGTGGTGCCAGAGCGCAGTCTGTTCAGCGCCTTCCAAGTCGCCAGTCTTCTGAGTGCCCAGGGGGGAGTCTCTCATTTGGTATCAACCATGGATTGAGGTTCTGGGTTTGAGCCTGCCACTTTTGGACTCTCGCTTGCTGAGGTGTTCCAGCGAGTGTCTCTGTAGATCTAAGAAAACTATTTCTAGATTTAAGTCGTTGACGTGCTGGCTGATACCCAAACAAGGGATGAGCTGGAGATGTCTCTGCCTTGGTCCTTTCACTATTGGCTGCTACTTCCCGGCGGATGTCAGGTGGTGCAATACCGGCTAAACAGTGTAATTTCTCCAGTGGTGTAGGGCGCAGACATCCTGTGATAATGTTGGCATATCTCATTAAGAGCCACATCCACTGTTTTAGTGTGGTGAGATGTGTTCCACACTGGGCATGCATACTCAGCAGCAGAGTAGCATAGCGCAAGGGCAGATGTCTTCACTGTGTCTGGTTGTGATCCCCAGGTTGTGCCATTCAGCTTTCGTATGATATTGTTTCTAGCACCCACTTTTTGCTTGATGTTCAGGCAGTGCTTCTTGTAGGTCAGAGCACGGTCCAGAGTGACTCCCAGGTATTTGCTGATTGGATAAATATGTTATCTGTAGAACTCTCTAGGTCAGTGGCTCTCAACCTTTCTAATGCTGTGACCCCTAAATAAAGTTCCTCATGTTGTGGTGATCCCTAACCATATTTTCGTTGCTATTTATATCTTGCTACTCTTATAAATCATAATGGAAACGTGATATGCAGGATGTATTTTCATTGTTGGAAATTGAACATAATTAAAGCATAGTGATTGATTATAAAAACAATATGCTCGGGGAGTATGGACAATGGATGATGGGATTTGCAGTACCTTCAACCAATTCAGTTCTGACTTCCACAGACCCCCACAAATTATAGACCTGGAACAAACTTGGCACACAGAACCCCAATGATCAACAGAAAATACTGGAGGGGGCTGGGAGGAATTGACTATGATTTACAGGAGATGTAGTTCACCTACAAATGGAGAGCACTGTGAACGACTGTGCATTTGGACCCAACTTGTGGGCAGGCCTCCCGAGTTCGGAAAGGCGAGTGGGCCAGGCTGAAAGGCTGTCCGCATGGCGAGGCTTTGCGGACAGCCCTCCGCCTGGCCCACGCGCCCTTCCGAGTTCGGAAAGGCGTATGGGGCGGGCTGAAAGGCTGCCCACATGGCAGCCATTTTGGAGGGGGCGAGGCCAACCAAGGTAGCTTCGCGACCCCCGAAAATGACCTAACCCCCCTGGGAGTCACGACCCTCAGGTTGAGAACCGCTGCTCTAGGTCCTCCAAGGCAATTCATTGTTGCAATATATTATAAAATGATAAAATATTACAATATTATAACATTTTCATATTATATTATAAAATGTTTTAATTTTATAATAGTTTATTATATTTTGTTAAAATGTTATAATACTAAGACATTCTTCTCTTCTCTTAGGCGATCCCTCGCTTTCCGAGGATGATTGTCTTCCAATATTCTTGTGGGTCCGTATGTGGCTGTGGAGCCCTATTCTTGCTCTGCATCTTCTTCCGCAGTGAGGGCATTGGTTTCCAGGTGGAAAGCGGTCTCGGCCGGGGTTGGCTTGACGCGCCTTCCTCTTGGCACGTTTCTCTTTTTCACCCTCCACTCGTGCCTCCTCAAATTCTGCAGCACTGCTGGTCACAGCTGACCTCCAGCTGGAGCGGTCAAGGGCCAGGGCTTCCCAGTTCTCAGAGTCTATGCCAGAGTTTTTAAGGTTGGCTTTGAGCCCATCTTTCAATCTCTTTTCCTGTCCACCAACATTCCGTTTTCCGTTCTTGAGTTCGGAGTAGAGCAACTGCTTTGGGAGACGGTGGTCGGGCATCCGGATAACATGGCCGGCAGCGGAGTTGGTGGCGGAGGACCATCGCTTCAATGCTGGTGGTCTTTGCTTCTTCCAGCACGCTGACGTTTGTCCGCTTGACATTATAACATGATGCAAAATTATTTGCATTATTCTATAAGAATAAGAATTATTTTTCCACCATATTTGAGCCCTAGCGCTCAAAACAACTTTCAAAAATTTAAACAATTGGTATTAAAAAGTGCCTTGCACTCACAACATTCAGATGTTAAAATATAACACTACGCCACAAAATCTCCTAGTTTGAAAGTTTTATTTCCTGTTTAATTGTGCAGTATTGTTGCACTAGAGCCCTGGAGCCTCCTTTCACCACAAACCACACACTGACCAGTTGATCCAATGTAAGAGTTTATTAAAAGCCAAGTATAATAAAAGCTGAGTATATGAAAAGCAAGCAAATACAAAAAAAGGGAATCAAAGTTCAAATGGATATTTCCATAAAAGCTGAAGGTCCAATTATCCATTCAAATAAAGTCTCTAAAACAATTCCACTGAAATATTCCAAGACAAGGTACAGAAATCCAAGGCAGGCAAAAGTATGCCTCACAAGACCAGAATGCAGGAGCAGCTTGAAAACTTGATTACATGAATTACAAGGCCCATGAAAACTGAGAGCTCTTCTCCTGAATGCACTATTGCTCTCACAAGGATTATCCCAGCAAGAACCACTTTTAAAAAGCCAGAATCCCTCCCATGAGATCATTTCTCTTGCACCTGCCTCATCTCTAAGTCGCTTAGAGACTTAGATTGCAGGCCCTGTTTCCTCATCTCCAATATCTCTGAGCTTGACAAACGTTCATCTCCCACATTCTGCACTTCTGGCAGGTTCCCATGGGAATGGCGATTACCTTCACCTTTCTCCTGGGAACTGCCAGGAGCAGGAGATTCCAAAACATCTCTCTCTGAGCCACTTCCAGTCTCCTCTGGGTCCTCTGAATCTCTTCCAGAATCCCCTTCCTCCTCATCTGAACATTCAGAATCTGACCATGCCACAAGTATTTACTTTGAAAATAGTTGTTATACTCCAGAAAAGTTTTTGTGGCTAACACAAATTCTGTTGAATTAGTTGAGACTGGATGAAATATTCATTGAAAACCTAGATGGAAGCAATTAGGAAATGACATTTATAACCCAGGATGTGTTAAATAGTGTTATTAAGCTATCATTAGATGATGACAACAGCAATGATGATTACAGCCCCAAATTTCCCCCAGGATTGAGACTGAAAGCATCTTATTATCCCAAAAGCAATACACTTCAAAAAGTAAATATTAAAATTAAATGTGATCTAACGGCATCCCCATTGAAATGCACAAAACACAAACAATACTTTGGAGGACTTCCTCCAACCCAGAATATCATGAAGGCAATTACAACTACTCACTGGATGTAAGCGTCAAGGAATAAGTCCACTTTCCAGGCTAAGTAGAGGTCGCAAACACTGGCCGACTCTGTTTCTGCCAAGGTTTGCTTCAGGGCTCTGTAGTTCTCCTCCGTCAAGTCCCAAATCACTTGGAAGTGGTCATTTAGAAGCAAGAAGAATTTGGCCTGCTCAAAGGAACCTTGGAAGTGGGAGGGGAGGTCCAAGAAAACAAGGAGAGAAGAAACAATCAAAGAATAATGAATCAAAATAATGAAGGCATCCCCAAAGTATTCAGACCTAAATATTGTCATAATAGTTAATTAAACCTAGCTTTGATGAAGGTTGAACATGCACTTGGTTCTTCCAATGCAACAAACCTTGACTAGATGGATTTGGAAGATATCTCCAAGGACACATTTTACTTAGACTGAGTTAGAAGGTACCCCTGAGATCTTCAGGATGAACATTCACCAGCCTCTTCCAACACAACACACCTTGCCTGAATGGTTACCACTACATCAATATTTTAATAGCAATTAATTCATTAAGACGAACTTTGACAAAAGTTGAATATTTACCAGGTTCTTCCAACCCAACAGATCTTGTCTAGACAAAGTTGGAGGGTACCTCCAGGACATTATACATATGTTTTAATAATTATTTATTTATTAAAGCCATCTTTGAAGAAGGTTGAACATTCATCAGGTTGTTCCAACATAACACATTTTACCTAGACTGAGTTAGAAGGCACCCCTGAGATCTTCAGGATGAGCATTCACCAGGCTCTTCCAAAACAACACATCTTGCCTGGAAGGTTACCACCACATAAATATTTTAATAATAATTAATTCATTAAGATCAACTTTGAAGAAGGTTGAACATTTACCAGGCTCTTCCAACCCTATAGATCCTGTCTAGACAGAGTTGGAGGGTACCTCCAGGACATTATACATATGTTTTAATAATTATTTATTAATTAAGGCCATCTTTGAAAAAGGTTGAAAATTCACCAGGTTGTTCCAACATAACACATCTTGCCTAGAAGGTTTCCACCAAAGTCTTCAAATATAAATATTTTAATAACAATCAATTAATTAAGACCATCTTTGAAGAAGGTTGAACAAGTTCTTCCAATGTAACAGATCTTGGAATATGTAACTATTTTAAAAATAAGTAACTCACAAAAGTTAGCTTTGAAGATTGTTGAAGGAGCTGGAAGGTAGCCCCAAGACCTTTCAACTATCAAGATTTTAGTAATAATAATTAAGAAAGGCTAGCTCTGAAGAAGGTTGAATGTTCACCAGGTTCTTCCAACAGAACACATCTTGAAGGTTGCCCCCAAGCTCTTCTAATATAAACATTTTAATAATAAATAATTAATAAAGGCTAGTTTTGAAGATGGTTGAACATGTACTAGGTTCTTCCAATGGAACACAGCTTGCCTAGAGGACACATTTTTGGAAAAATCAACAAACGGTGGGATGAAGTATCTCAGAAATGCTAAGGAGAAGGGTGAACAACTCTGCAAAAGGTGGAGAACTCAAGAAAGAAGTTGACTCCTCAATAGTACAATGAAGGTGGTCTATTGGAAGGATCTACTTGACATTTAGAATAGCCATGTGTTTTACTTTATCTAGGAGAGTCCTCGATATGAAGGTGTTGAAGGGATGGAGACAATAAAGTTCTCCAGATGTTTTAGACTCACATCCAAAAAGACATAATGGTCTAAAGCAAAAGGAGGTAGGGGTTGTACTACAAAACATCTAGAAAGCTGTATTATTAACCAACAATGCTTTCCTTGAAGGGCTATCACTGGGTGGCAAAGAATTCTGAAAAGGAACACCTGATCCTCTATTTTGGTGATCCAATTCTTTTCGGATTGAGATGTAAATGGACACTTGACCTGGCAGAAGGGAGAAGGGAATCCAACAAGGAAGACCAAAAGGATGCCATGGAAAAGGTTGTTTCCTTTCCACCATTATTTAGCAGGGATACCTAGGGTGCACCAGCACTGTAGAATGAGTGGAAATTGTAGTTTGTCAAGGTCCTCACCTGCTTGCAACAGGGGCTGGAGGACAACACTGTTGATGCGGGCAAGGCAAGCGGAGAAGGTCTCTTCACACCGTAGCAGCGAGTAAGCAACGTCTGTGATGCTCATATCCTGCCAGGATAAGAAAGGAGAAAGAAACAGTAAGACTTAGAGCTTAAGGCATCAGTTATATACTCAGAATCTATGCAGGGATCTACATTTGAATCCCTCCTGACAGATAGCCATCTAGCCTCTGTTGAAAAACCTCCCAAGAAGGCGACTCCAACATGCTCCTTAGCATGGAGTTGGAAGATACCTCCAGAGACCATTGAGTCTAACCTCATTCTGCCAGGCAGGAATACACAATTGAAGCCCTCCCAATAGATGACCAGCAAAAACTGTCTGGCTCTCCAAGTCCAAAAACCTTAGGGGAGATCTACACTGTAGAATTAATACAGTTTAGTACCATGGCTCAAGGCTATAGATTCCTGGAGTCGTAGATATATAAGGTCTTTCACCTTCTCAACGCGTGCTGATGCCTCTCCAAACTACAAATCCCAGAAATCACATAGCATTGAGCCATGGCAGCAAAAGTGGTGTCAAACTGTATTAATTCTACAGTGCAGACGCACCCTTAGCTGGGAAAGCTAAGGGACCATAATGCTGGGAATTGCAATCCAACAATGTCTGTGCTGGTACGACTGTACCAGGAGCTCCAACTTCTTTTCCTTTCTATTGAGTGTTTGCATGTATTCCAAAGTTCCATGCATTTTGCAATAAGGTGGCTTCCCTTGGTTTGCAATCATAGGGCCAATGACCCATCAATTATCATTATGTTCTTTAGTTCCGCCCCTTTTTCTGGGTTTAGGAGGGAAAAGGGGACCTCTAGTTCAGTTCACACAGAGAAGCCTTTCGTACAGGACGTGAATCAGTTCCACCTGTAGAAAGCTTCGTCTTTACAGCTTTGCTGGGGGGATCCAGTCCCACAGCTCTACAGAGAACTACAGCATAGCCTTTGTTGGGGAATTTAGTTCCACAACTCTACAGCCAGCTCTTTGCTGGAGAAATACAGCTCCACGGTTTTTCAGCCAGCCTTCGCTGGGAAACAAAGGACTTCTTTCCTCTTGGAAATCTACACAGAGACTTTGGCCTGGTAAGGACCTCTCGCGGCAGCCATAACACAAATTGGAACTGGGTGTAGGGGCCCCACGCCATCAAAGCCTAAATACAGATTGCCCAGGGAGGGGTCAAGGATTTCCCTTGTAGAAGAAACAGTTTATGAAGAAAGTTGCCTGTCCCTTGTGGACAAGATTTAAGCAAGCCACCAGTTGATTCAAAGCCTTGAAGTATTTGTTTGATTTATTGAAGATTTAAGCAACAATAAAACTTTGTTGAACTTTCTAAGTCTTTAAAAGAACTTTGTGTGGGGAAATCTGAAAGGCCTCTCAGCCGAGGCACCCCCGGCGTCCCGTTGTGCATTCAGAAAACACGTCTTGTCTACAGACTCTTTCACAAGCCCAGCGCGTGACAACACAACGTCAGGAAAGTAACTCTGAATTATCATTCAGTTGGATTTGGAAATATTTTGTACTTGAAGCTTATTCTTTTTTTTCTGTTGGAAAAAACAAAACTGGCTGCAACCTGAAAGAGGAAATGGCTAATTTTGCTCTTGGCAGCATTTTAGGAAGTCTGTTGTGGCGAAAATGCCAAGTTCAACCTGAAAGGAAAAGCAACCGTTACTGCAAATTCAGAATGGAACGAAAGCGTCACTCTGCCCACCGCTGGACTTCTGGTTTGGCTTCTTTCCCCTTCTTTACCTTATAAGGAACAGAAAATCCCTCCAAACGAAACCATATAGATAGGCAGAGGCTCCCTTACCCAAAAGGCTTGGGACCAGGAGACATTTGCATTATTTGTCAGATTTTTGCAATATTTGCACCTACATCATGAGACGCATTGGAGGAGGGACCCAAGTCTAAAGAAAACATTCATTTATATGGCATCTCCATCTTATACATATAGCCCAAAGGGCCTTGTATATACAATATTTACACCAATGTTGTGCATGAAATGCATTGTGTGTGCATTGAACCATCGAAGAGCAAAGATGCCCCTCTCTCTCAGCCATCCAGGAGGACAATTCCAGAGCATTTCGGACTTTGGCATCCCCAATACAGGATACTCAACCTGTTGTTGTTGTTGTTCATTCATTGAGTCGTTTCTGACTCTTCGTGACTTCATGAACCAGCCCACACCAGAGCTCCCTGTCGGTCGTCACCACCCCCAGCTCCTTCAAGGTCAAGCCAGTAACTTCAAGGATGCCATCCATCTATCTTGCCCTTGGTCAGCCCCTCTTCCTTTTTCCTTCCTTTCCCCCCAGCATCTTTGTCTTCTCTAACCTTTCCTGTCTTCTTATGATGTGGCCAAAGGACTTCATCTCGGCCTCTACTATCCTTCCCTTCAATGAGCAGTCAGGCTTTATTTCCTGAAGTATGGACTGGTTGGATCTTCTTGCTGTCCAAGGCACTCTCAGAACTTTCCTCCAACACCACAGCTCAGCCTTCCCTATGGTCCAGCTCTCACATCCGTAGGTGACTATGGGGAATACCATTGCTTTAATTCAACCTGAATGCACACACAAATATTGCTAGAAGGAATCCTGGAAGCTGTAGTTTGGCTATGGGTGCATCTAGAACAGTGTTCCTCAACCATCCTAATGCCACGGCCCCTTAATACAGTTCCTCATGTTGTGGTCACCCCCAACCATCAAATTATTTCAGTTGCTACTTCATAACTGTAATTTTGCTAATGTTATGAGTTGTCATGTAAATATCTGGTACGCAGGATGTATTGTATTCACTGGACCAAATTTGGCACAAATACTTGACACGCCCCAATTTGAATACTAGTGGGGTTGGGGGGGGGGGGTTGATTTTGTCATTTGGGAATTGTAGTCGCTGGGATTTATAGTTCACCTACAATCAAAGAACATTCTGAATCCCACCGATGATGGAATTGGACCAAACTTGGCACACAGAACTCCCATGACCAACAGAAAATACTGGAAGGGTTTGGTGGGCATTGGCCTTGTGTTTTGGAGTTGTAGTTCACCAACATCCAGAGAGCACTGTGGACTCAAACAATGATGGATCTGGATCAAAATTGGCATGAATGCACGATATCCCCAAATGTGAACATGGATGGAGTTTGGGGAAAATAGACATTGACATTTGGGAGTTGTGATTGCTGGGAATTATAGTTCACCTACAATCAAAGAACATTCTGAACCCCACCAATGACAGAATTGGTCCAAACTTCCCACACAGAACCCCCATGACCAACAGAAAATACTGTGTTTTCTGATGGTCTTTGGTGACCCCTCTGGCAGCCCTCTCACAATGCCCCCCTCCCAGGGGTCCTGCCCCCAGGTTGAGAAATGCTGCCAGGTTGGAAAATATTGATCTAGATATCATAAGAGACATTGGAGGTGGGACCCAAGTCTAGAGATAACATTCATTTATATGACATCTCCATCTTATGCACATAGCCTGAAGGACCTTTTATATACAGTACTAGCTGTCCCCTGCCACGCGTTGCTGTGACCCAGTCTGTTGATCTGGAAAATAAAGTAATGAGAAAGTGTTGGTTTCTAATAAATGTAATTTCTTTATGCTTCTGGGTATTCCTTGTTGTTTCTTTGTCAGTGTTGATGTGGAGAGTGTCTGGTTTGCCCACCCTGGAACATGCAACCTATCATTGTCCTTCTTTAGGGGTCCCTTTCCAATCTATGATACTATATCTCTGTGTGTGTGAATCATATCTATCTATCTATCTATCTATCTATCTATCTATCTATCTATCTATCTCTATGGCTGGATGGTTCTTTGTCAGGAGGACTTTGATTACGATTTCTTGCCTTGATGAAGGGAGTTGGACTGGATGGCCTTAAGTATTTTCTGTTGGTCATGGGAGTTCTGTGTGGGAAGTTTGCCCCAATTCTGTCGTTTGTGGGGTTCAGAATGCTCTTTGATTGTAGGTGAACTGGGAATCCCAGTGACTACAACTCCCAAATGTCAAGGTCTATTTCCCCCAAACTCCATCTGTTTTCATATTTGGGCCTATTGAATATTCATGCCAAGTTTGGTCCAGATCCATCATTGTTTGAGTCCACAGTGCTCTCTGGATGTAGGTGAACTACAACTCCCAAACTCAAGGTCAATGCCCACCAAACCCTTCCAGTATTCCCTGCTGGTCATGGGAGTTCTGTGTGCCAAGTTTGGTTCAATTCCATCATTGGTGGAGTTTAGAAAGCTCTTTGATTGTAAGTAAACTATAAATCCCAGCAACTACAACTCCCAAATGACAAAATCATAATTTTTTGAGTGATGGTCACTCCTTGTGTTGTGAGACGTTTTGTTGCCAAATTTGGCATGATTTCGTTCATTGGTTCTTTTGTTTTTAAGGTACTCATTATGCAAAGAGCATTTTTTTATATATAGATTTAAAACAATTTTCTGCATGAAATGCATTTTGTGTACATTGAACTATCAGAACACAAAGATGACACTCTCTCAGTCATCCAGGAGGACAATTCTGGAGCATTTCGGGATGTTCAACCTATATGCACTGTTTTTGGAGGCATCTGCATTATAGAACAAATCCTGGGAGTTGTAGTTTTGTTATGGCTGCATCTAGAGTGCATGCAGTTTGACCCCATTTGAACTGCCATGGCTCAATTCTCCAGGATACTGGGATTTGTAGTTTGGTGAGGCATCAACACTCTTTGGGAGAGAAAGCTTGAGACCTTGCAAGGCCAACAGGTCGCAGGTTTGAATCCAGAGACAGTGCAGATGAGCTCCCTCTATCAGCTCCAGCTCCCCATGTGGGAACATGAGAGAAGCCTCCCACAAGGATAGTAAAAACATCAAAACATCCAGGCGTCCCCTGGGCAACGTCCTTGCAGATGGCCAATTCTCACACACCAGAAGCGACTTGCAGTTTCTCAAGTCGCTCCTGACACGACCAAAAACCAAAAAAAGGCACGTAAGGTGGTGCCAAACCGCATTCATTCCACAGTGTGGACGCACCCTTAGATATTTTGCTTTAATGTATGAGGTACTTTGGGCACCATA